TTGTGCACCTGATATATACCCCGTTATGCTTGAGTTGAATAAATTTTGTTGTGAAACACGAAACTCTTATTTGTTGTGTTGGCATAAATCAAATGCTAATATAGGAAAGCGTTAACCAAATACCGGCTTCAGATCCGTAAGGTGTGTGCGTTAGTAATAAAGCGTAACCAATAAGTTATATATACATTACATATGATCTGCACTTTTATTCATTTAAATGGTTACCACTCAACACGGGAATACCATTTGCAAGTATTGTACAAATGATAAAAATATAAATATATTGTAGGTGTTTGTCGTGTTAATGGTAATGATGGCAATGTTGCAGTATTGCTACAGTACTGCACCTGCACCTGCACATTACATGTCCGTTTTCATGCATAAGCCAAATCAAGTCAATGCTCAAAAACAGTCACTGAAAAACCACTACTGCTATACTGACTTAGCATTACAATTGTTACATCACATACACATTAATATACATACAACCGAACCAACATCCAGGTGCAAACTTTATTAAATTAGTCAAATGGAAATCTCGACATAAAAAGTACTCTCAATTTTTGTTTTGTTTATCCTATAGTTTTACTACTAATGCATACATAAAAACTATGGGTTTGGTCTATATTTGGGTCCGTTTCCGTTACCAGACTTTTGCATAATATTAACGCATTATTACTGAAATCATTACATAAAAAACCAAAGGACGACCTTTCATTGCGACCTTTTATGGGAACAATCATTTGGATCCTTATTGTTATTAGCCTTTTGTTAACCGTTGGCTTATTTAATGATATTATTTTGTTATTTATAATTTAAAAATAACTGTAATTATAATTTGAAACACACATTACAATATTCAAAATAAAGTTTATACAGTATATTGTATATTATGATAAAAACTTTAAATACATTTTTCGTTTTGACAATTATTAAGTTGAATAATTACTAATAAAAAGTAGATAAAATTATGATTAAGATTAATTAATAACCAATATTTTTAATATTATAGTATATTTTAAATTAGCAAAATATATAAATTTACATTTATAAAATTATTCTAATTAATATACTGATTTAATATATTTTAATAATTGAAATAAAATTACAAATAATTAGTAAAAAAAAAGTTTGTAATTTTATATTAAAACAAATTAAATACTTTTTAAGATTCTTATGAAAAATAATGTATTTACTTTTTACGAAATACAAATTTTGTATTTGAAAAAATAATGATAATGTTTAATATTTTAATATAAAGTATAAATATAGTGAATCGAGTGATTATATATACAGTATATATAATGTCAATATGTGTTGCATCTATGAGACAGTAAAAGCACAGCAATCAATAAAAATGGTCTTTCCTTTAGAATAATTCATTTGTATTTAGAAAACGGTGTCTCTAATGAAATAAGTGAAAACTCATGTTCAATGCCTAACAGTGCTCTCAATAGCACTTACATCATCGCTACTATATGATACCATAACATATTTTGTAATAATAATAATAATATGATATAATGTGATGGTATATAGTAGTGTTATAAAACTCATATGATATATATTTTTGGGGCAAACAGTAAAGATACTGACACTTAATAAATGGTAAAATGACATACAATTTATAGCGGTCTCACTTGTGATGATATGACTGACTCTGAGAACATCCTTTTATACGAAAACCAACACTAAATACAACACAAAAATTTACTTTTAATAATCATTTATAAGTAACATTAGATCTCAAAATTTTTTATTTATATCGAAAATAATACATTAATGACTTTTTGTGAAGGATAGAGATTTATTAAATATATAATTTGTTGTATTTTAAGTATTGTCTAATAATTTAATAAAACCATTGGACACTCTGTGGTCATTATAATGTTATTTCAAAAAAGTCAATGATATATATGACAAATCTCATAATATTATTACATATGCAAAAAACTTAGTGTTACTTATTTTGACTTTAATATTATGTATTATATAATAGTATTACAGGTATACTGTATATTGTACTGTAATTTATATTTTTTCATACATTTTTTATTAGTATGAAATTAGTGATTACAAACCATTTCTTTAAATTTTCACTAATAGTTATTATAAATTTAGACCAAAAATCACATTAATGTTATTAATTTTCAACCAAACTATTATATAATATAGGTTTTGATAAATATTTTTTTAATTAAATGATTTTGTAAATATATTATAGCTTAAATTATAATCAAAAAATATCTACAAATATATTTATAATTTTAAACTTCATTTTTTGAATGTATATATTTAATTAATAATTAATTATATATTATTTTTATATAAGATTTACATTGTTTAAAAAATAATATTAATTTAATATAATAATAATACAGTACTTTATAACTACAGTGTACTGTACAGTGACTGCATAAATAAAGCTATTTTATAGTACTATTGTATATATATATAAACTTTATATCTAACATAATGACATCTATAGTTTGAAATAATAATTAATTCCAATTTTATTTTGCATTTGTAAAATATATCTTAATTTTAGATCATTAAATAAATAATTTTAAAAATTGAGATTATAATTATTATTTAAATTTTATATATTAATATATTAGATCAAATAATAATTTTTATTTTAAAAATTACAATTAATAATCTAATTAACTCATCTACTCAACTAAAAAAAATGTCATCGATTTTAGTCAAAATTACATATTATTTACAGCATTATTAAAAATTTATATTTATATAAAATATTGAATTATATATATTATATAATTTATATTTAATAATTATGCATCTAATTTGTAAGTTTATTCAATTTGTTTTCCAGATAATACAACTAGTATTTGACAAAATTGCCATCCTCGTTTTATTATCCAAAAGTTTCTTTCTCTCTGGAATTCCCGGGGAATTTATTTCCTTGTGCTACCACCTATTGAACCCTAGATAACACGTATTATTAACTTTGAAAAACAAATATTATATTAAACTATATTTCGAATGATATTAATAAATAGTGTCATTATGTTTATTAAATTGAAATTTATTTTATAAATTTTTTAAAATAATTTTTTTTGTGTAAAATATTTAAGTTTTGGTACTATTTATTGTAATAATATAAAATATATTTTCCCTTTCTAACGATAAAGGGAGGGATAATAATGTTTTTTCAATATTTTCCAGTAAAATTAGAGGGATTTTATTAGGAAACTTTTCTCCCTGGGAAAGTTGATCGAACTCTAAATACAATATAATAAGTATAACTTAAAATATAATGACAATAATTAATAATTATATTTAAAGCTCGCATTTAATTATTAAAACTTTTGTTGCGCTTAGAAATTGTTAGAAATTGAAAGCAATATAATTCGTTAATTAACGTCAAACTTATAGTAAAATTTAGTTTTAAAAATAAGAATTTCATTATAATTTGATTATTTAAAAAACAGTTTAAGTTTTAAACATTAATATAGTATATTAGAGACCAATTTATTTCATTTATTAATAATAAAGTTTATTTGGCTAATCCGGAGTTTACGCACATTAAAAAAAATTGATTTTTTTCAACAGATAATTGTTAATTATGATCTAAAAAACATATATCCATCAAAATTATTGCGCGGAAACACCTAAAACCTAACTAAAATCTAATCTAAATACCTGAGCTCTCATAACATAATTCTACACTAATTATAAATAAAATAATATTAAACAAACATAAAGCGCGTGAATATAATTAACATTTATAACATTGATAATAAAATAGTATTATTGTCATTTCTTTAAAATACTTTTAAAAACACTAGTTGTCCACGCGGAACATATAACCATCTAATTTTATAGAATTTATAAATTAATTGAACCACAATAATAATGATTTTAAAACATAAATCGAATATATGAATGTTATTTAACGTGACAAACACTGATTCCGTAACCCAAGTACTGTATAGATTAGGTTAGGTTACCATTGAAAATTAGGTTAGGTTGCGGTTCGAACACCAGGTTAGGTAACGCGACAAACTGATTCCGTAACCCAAGTACTGTATAGATTAGGTTAGGTTACCATTGAAAATTAGGTTAGGTTGCGCTTCGAACACCAGGTTAGGTAACGCGACAAACACTGATTCCGTAACCCAAGTACTGTATAGATTAGGTTAGGTTACCATTGAAAATTAGGTTAGGTTGCGCTTCGAACACCAGGTTAGGTAACGCGACAAACACTGATTCCGTAACCCAAGTACTGTATAAATTAGGTTAGGTTACCATTGAAAATTAGGTTAGGTTGCGCTTCGAACACCAGGTTAGGTAACGCGACAAACACTGATTCCGTAACCCAAGTACTGTATAAATTAGGTTAGGTTACCATTGAAAATTAGGTTAGGTTGCGGATCGAACACCAGGTTAGGTAACCATTGAATAGGTTACCATTGAAAATTAGGTTAGGTTACCATTGAAAATTAGGTTAGGTTACCATTGAAAATTAGGTTAGGTTACTGATCGAACACAGGATAGGTAACGCGACAAACACTGATTCGGTAACCCTAGTACTGTATAGATTAGGTTAGGTTAGGTTCAAAATTGAAATAACATTGCTTTAAATTAAAATTGAAAATATATCAATAATTTTTTGGGTTTGTATTAAAATATTGTTTTTGGGGAAATGTGACAGACATACAAAAATCCAGATTATTATCTTAAAGTATTATCTTGATAGTCATTGACAACAATATTATTTTATTAGTTATTATAAATGTTTATATAGATCTCGCGCTTTACAATTGATTAATATTAACTTTTTTATAATTAGTGTATAATTATGTTATGAGAGCTCAGGTATTTAAATTAGATTTTAGTTGGGATTTAGGTGTTTCCGCGCAATAATTTTGATGGATATATGTTTATTAGGTACTAATTAACTAATTTCTGTTAAAAAAAATCAATTTTTTCTAATGTGCGTAAACTCCGTATAGGCCGTTTATTTTGTCTCTGAAATGTCTGAAAATAACAAAAATATTAACTCTAAAGACCAACCATTAGATCCAAGTGATGACACGACACAACCCAATCATAACGAGAATATTCCTCTTCAGTGTCCCGTTTGTCACAACCATATCGACAACAGATCTCTGACAGACACCTGTTTACACGAATTCTGTTATAACTGTCTGTTAGAGGCCTCGCATACCAACAATCGGTGTCCAGTATGTCGTCAAGAGTACAATAATATCATTCATAACATACAGTCAGAGAACCACTTCCAACAAACGCCAATATCTCATAATAATGACCGACAAGTAATGCAATTCTTGATGAATGCAAGACTCAATCAAATGCGTTATCGTCTGATTAATGATAGACAACGTCTTCATCAGTTTACAAACAATCTTCAGCGCATCTCAGATACAAACAAAAATAATAATAATAATAATAATAATAATGGCATTTCTGACACAGATATGCAAGAGTTGCAGAACTTTAACCAAAGAAATATTGAATTCAATATACAAATGATGGCTATTATTAATGAAATGACTGATGATATCTATGGCACCGGAATATTAAATCAACCGATTCACCATCAGGTCATCATTGGTCAACAAGTACTACATAACCACAATCATCAACTTAATCATAATAATAATAACAACAATATTGTTGCCATTGAATCTGATGAGTCCATCGATAATGACGACGACTTATACCCAGTAGAAGAAGATCATCAAGAGTTGCCACAACACCAACCTATGAATGTTGAGAACAATGTGGCCCAAGAAGTGGTACCAGAAGTTAGACAACAGCAAAGAGTTGTTATACCTTCGAGTAATAACAATATTTTAGAAAACACTTCTAAAACCAATCAAATGACTGACAATTCAGGAAACAAATCAAACGATAAGTCCGAAGATAATAACGAATCCAATTCTGACTAATAATTCAATGTCTTAAGTCTTTTTCAAATGTTTATTGTATTCAAATATCATTTGTTATTCATTATTATTTTCAATTGAAATATTTTTACTTAATTTGTTACCAAATTTTTATTATTACCGTATTTTTATATAAAAGTTCATATTTTTTCAAATTTTATATAATGACATCTTATAAGACTTTTGATTCTCTCATTTTGTTTATAATTATTCCACAAATTATTTAAAAATTAGTTTTAGATATTACAATATATTTGACAATTAATAAAAATATATTCATACAAAAAAAGACAAATGAATATTTAAAAAATTGAATAATAATTTTGCTATACTGTATATATATTTCTAATGCATTATATATATATATATATATATATATATATATATACTAGTTTTAATGTTTAAAATGTGGCATCACTTTCATCTGTATCAGTTGTATCCAAAGTGTTGATGTCGATGGACTCATTGAATCTAATTGGATACTCTAATTGGTTCCCTTTATCCCAAGTGTATAACTTCTGATATCTTGGGTTATATGAGATGAAGTTTGTTTGACTAAAAGGATTTGTAAAATCAATGGAGACTTCTATTTGTTGGTTACGATACAAATCAAAGGCGAACTCAATTTTGGTGTTTCTTTCGGAAACACTTTCGACACCATAGAGTACACCACATATTATAAACATTTCGCCGACTGTTTGGTGATCTATCGTCAGATTCCAGATATACTCGACTTGAGTGCTATTAAACTTCATAATCATTGTATTGTTAGTATAATGTGACGGAAATATAACCCAAAGTCCATTTTCATCAGTGGATATATCCATATAATTGTTTCGAGTGGTGTATAAATATTTGTTAAAAAACGATTTCGAGCCGTCGTTTACCATCAAGAATGAGGAAGAGTTGGACGACAAGTTGAAAATCACCAGTTTATTGGTTCCTTCGTGACTGTAATATAATGAACCCGAATATATAGACTGAGAATTACCCGAAAATTTATGTAAAAGAGTGTAATTCTTGAAAATTTCTTTATTTCTGAAAGTTTCCTTATTTGCAAATTCCATCAAAAGTGTGTTATCATCCTTAGAGGTCATCCAATATTTATGTTCGTCACCCGCTTTGATAGGCATCGGATCTTTCATCCAACAGCCCCACTCTGACTCCGAGTCCCGATAAAACACTGGTTTACCGATTTGACTTAACAAACAATCTGCAATCGATTTTAATAAATTACTTATACTTTCAATTTTAATGATAACTTAACTGTTATTTCTTTTAGACAATGATTTCCACGAAGACGTGTTGTAATTGGATGCCAAACTCACTGAACCAATTGTAGGCCTTTCTTCGCCTTTACATTTTCGCTGAACTATTTGATTACATTCCGGACAGGGAGAACACTCCTGTTCCTCAAGTGGTGGTGACGGCACCTTAATTATAGATTATTATTTCTATTTTTATTTTTAATGTTAGAATTATAGGTATATCTTATAATTATTGTTAATAAAATATATAATCAAAATAATTAAATATAAATAAGTGAGATTTAACATTATTAAAAAAATAATTAGATTTATAATATAGTATCACTAATAACTAAATCAATTGATTAATTATTTATTAACATAAACACATAGAGTGTGTATTCATTAAACATAGACTATAGTAAAACATTGAAAGTTTATAAATGTTTTATTAAATTTTAGATTGAATTAGAATTTAGAATTAATTTAGTGAATGTATGGCTAATGCTATTTAGAGACAAATAATATAATACCTCTCCATATATAACATAAGTGGACTCTTCTACTGGAGTTTTTGGTAATCGCGGATCGATTTCTAAAAATATTAATAATTAATAAAAAACATATAATTTAAATATATTATTGTTGTTAAATAAAGTTATTTTCCAAATAATTAATAAGCAATTAAAATGCTGACCAAAAACAGTGAACAATCCGTGTGTTTTTCCCCTTTCATTCTTAGCGATGCATTTGTATAATCCGTAATCATGTGATTCAATATATGTTATATTAAGTATTAATTTGAAACTATAAGGACCTAACTCTTGTTGATCTAACTTATATTTCCAGTTGTTTTCAATTATTTTATCTGCAAATTGCCAATAGCTAAGAGGTGGAGGAAATGCTTCAACATAGCACTCAAGTATTATGAAACTGCCGTTATTGGTGCCAACCATTTGATTGGGTGCTGCGATCTTCACCAACGGTGGAACTGATTTAATATTAAATACATTTATTATTTCTATTATAAACTATAATTAATAAATCAAATTACAGGTCACTTCAACGTTATATTTCTTGAAAGCAGAGGGCGGAACACCATTTGTGGCCAAACAGACATAAATACCTTTAAATATATAATTAATACAAATATATTAGCATATCGTCTATTATACCATTACACTGACTATATTGCCATATAATGTGAAACATAATAACAATTTGTTTTTTTAATCATATTTTAATATATCATTTCTAAAATTTTTTAATCTTTTGCTATAAAGTTCTAATATTAAAATAATAAAATAAAAATATATCATTTTATTCAATTTAATTCATTTAAAATTTATTTATTTTTATGAACCAATAATTCCAATAATAAACAGTTTTTGTTAATATCTATTATTATGTTAATATTACATAATAACCTAACATAATATACCTTACTACGATATATTATATATAAATAATAAATAATTTATATATAATTAATTAATATAAAATAATTACCTGAATGTTCTCTACTAATTCTAGTTATATTAACGCGATTTCCTTCAATCATTGTGTCTGAAATAATTTGATAATTTATTAATATTTTAAAACTAAATAATTAAATATCACAAAATATAGACACATACGCGAAACTGTTCCCAAATTAATGGCTTTATTGTCGTCCCGACGCCAAGTAATATCGGGTTTTGGATGACCACTGGCCGTACATTTTAACCTAACATTTTCATTCTCTTTAACAACAATAGTCTGTTGCATATCAGGCAAATCATTGATTTGTGGGGCAACTGATTTCAAGTAAATAAATATCTAATTAGTAGACAATAAATATTTATGAATTGATTATAATTTACTTAATAAAGTGCTGCTATTTGGGTGTTTCCAGGCCTGTATACCCGGTATTCCTGATAAATGCAACAAATAAACAATCATTAATTAAACTGTTTGTATAATAAATTGTTAGACTCTAAATATTTTTCATTAATCTTACCGTTGATGCCATTAGCACCGGGAGGACCGCGTTTACCTCTGGGCCCTGCAGTGGCACAGAATATCAATAATGTATTCAAACAAAATATTAATTGAATTTTATAATTAAAAATCTTATAAAATAAACATAAATAAGATAAGAAATATATGGAAACCATTGTAACACAAGTACTCAAAATATTGACCCAAATATCGATCCAAAGGATAGCACAAGACATGAGAGGAGAGGATTCACTAATACATTGTTAGGTAAGAGTTGTTTGAACTCTAAATATTGAAGTATTCTTAATATTAAGAATATTCTGTATTATAAAAGATGCTATTTTTCAATAACTTTCATTGATTGACAAACATATGTAACATTTATCTTTACTATAATATCCAATACATAATATACATACCGGGTAAACCTAAATAGAAAAACAAAATATTTAAATTAGTTATTACAATAATTTGTTTTATCAATTATTTAAATTTGTTTAAAAATTTTGTATCAAACAAAACCTGTCATTCCTGGAACTCCCTGTAAAGTGAGAGTAAAAAACAATAAATTCATATAATCTATAAACATATAAATTGAGTAAAATATAAATATAAATAAATATATATATATATAAGTCAACAAATAATTTATCACCTGAGCTCCACGTTCTCCTTTTAGACCATTAATGCCTAAACAATAAAATAAGGCACATATTATAAATAAAATTTATTATTGAAAATAAAGAATATTTTATAAATAAATGAATTTATGAAAATAAACGTAAGATATATTTTCTTTTTTTAATAAATAACTACAATGATTTTATTTATGATAATAAATGTATGTCTACTAAACAGAATTATTATAATTTATTTATAAAGGAAATAGATTTTTATGACAAATTATTTAGTTCCCTAAAAATATTTTTTTAATAACATATTCATAAACTAAGTCATCATTGACTTCATGTATATCATGAATTATAAACATGTGATTAAATTTTTATCGAAATAAATATAAAAAATAATAATTAGTGTATTGTAGCAGAAATACCTTAATATTGTGTGTTTACTTTGTATCACTCAATATAAAATGATTTTATTTGCAAAAATAATAATTTAAATAATAGTAATTTAAATTTCAATTATTTTTTATAATTGAGAAAAGAAATAATCGTTAAATTTTTTGAATTTTAACATTTTATAAGGTAACATTAAAATTAAATACAGTATTTTGCATATGATTAACATTATAAATAGAAATGCTTTAAAATCATAACTCTCTCTCTCTCTCTCTCTCTCTCTCTCTCTCTCTTAAAACAAGAAATAATTGAAGTGAAAGTAAATTATGACTGATATGTGAAAACATAGTGTAAACTAACAAAAATCCAGAAACCAATTAAATTTAAGGTTTGTATAATTTAATTATATATTAGTTAAAGTTAAAAATTAATTTTTAAAAATCTAATTAATTGTTTTAGTTAACAAAAATAAATTAGTTAAATAAACAAAATATTTAAAAATTTATTTGTAAAAAGATAACAAATTTGAAAATTTTCTATAATTAAATAAAAATATTTGAATATAAAATTTAATCGTTATATAAACAGATTATAAAATTGTTAGACTATATAAAAATATCTTTAAGGCGTTTATAAATTAAAACTTATTTCACTAATAAATGTATATTCAGTGCAGTATTTTTTGAAATCTATTGAAAACTTTTAAAATATTAGCAATAAATTCAAATAATAAAAAATKTTATCTTTATTTTATAAATAAAGTATTTAAATTATATAAAAATTCAAATTTTGCCAAATATACGTTTATATAATACATAGTGTATATTATAGCAAAATAGCAAATATAGCAAAAGTTTTATTAAAAATTAAGTAATATTTTTACTATATAACAATAAATGGTTCATAAAATACAGTATATTCGTAGACATTAGCAGTATATATGAAAATAATGTTTGAATACATTGTGGAGTTTTAGATATAGATAGATAGAGAGAGAGAGAGAAAGAGAGAGAGAGAGAGAGAGAGAGTAGTAGTAGTAGTAGTAGTAGTGATTCACTCATATCTATAACAAACTTATTGATCCAAACGTGACTTTGAGATACAATTATAATCCAAGTATTAAAATAAGAGACACTTTTTTGGTGTCATATAGTCTGAAAATTTTGTACTCTTGTAACTATAAAATTATTTTGAAATTTTCAATTTTGAAAAAGTAAATGTCATTTCAATTTGCTATATTATTTTTATCATAAACACATATTATATTACAAATGCAATTAAGAGGCTTAGTATATAATGATCTTAATATTAATAAAAGTATGTTTATACTATAATAAAAATTATATATTAAATTATTAATCAGTTAATTAGATTTATCTAAAATATAAACAAACTAATTATACAAAAAATGCGTTACATGATTGAGAAATAAAAATAAATTGTGAATAAACTAATGAAAACGTGTCATAAATTTCTTACAAACTATTTCACTTTGACTTTGTATAATACAGTATAATACAATTATCTTTATTTTTTGTTATTTAAAAAGTCTATATTTGTTGTTTACTACATATTAAATGAATGTCAATATCGATACTGTTAATGATATTTTATCATAATATAATATTATATATAAAACTATAAGAGATACCATTTTACAATTTTATGACATTATTAATTAACAATTGAAAATCACTTAAGTTATAAATTAAAAATAATGCATTTAAATTTTAATTATTTACTAAAAACAAATATACTTTTTATATTTTAAAGAATTATTATTGCTCTTTAATATAAACTACAAAATTTAAATAATAATAATTTTATACATTACTGTAACTTAGTTAATGTAGTTAAAATTTATTATATTGAATTTTGTTGTTTATGCCAAAAATCTTTTATTTATTTAGCAGTTAAAATAATTATTTTTTAAAAAATCATAAATCTAATACTATACTATTGAACAATAATTGCTAAGAATTTAACAATAAATACAAAATATAATTCTCACTTAAATATTCACACGAAGTTTTAATGTGATTTGTTGAATACATTACTTAATTATACTTTACAGTCAATTTCACATAATTATTACTATTATTATTATTTAAATAACAAAATAAGTAAATAGTATTTTATTATAATAGTATATTATTAAAAAAGAAAACAAAATAATAATAATAATACATAAAAATATTTTACCGTTTGTTCCATTAATTCCTTTAGTTGTGTTGATGAAGATAAAAATATAAAAAATTGTTATATATATAATTTTATAAATTTTATTTTTAAAATTTAATATTATATTATTTGTAGGCATTTCTTGTTTATAATTATTGATAACTTAAAATTTAATTTATTTTTTGTTTGTTCATTTATATTTAAAATAAATAAATATTTATAGAATTATATAATAAAATTAACATTTTTAATAATATATAACATAAACTTATAAATATTTGAATTTAAAAGATATAAAACCTGATTTTCCAGGAATTCCCGGCATACCAGGCATGCCATCCTGTCCATTTTTTCCATCCCTTCCAGGGGAACCATCTAATCCCGGTTCTCCTGGGAGACCTTCTCTACCGTCAAGACCCGGTTCACCTAAAAGATTATAATATATATATATTATTGATTTACTGTATTATTATTATAAATAGTTATTTTAAAGTAATGTTTCCGGTATTCAGCTTTAATCCCAACAATAAATGGATTTTTATTTTTGTTTTGTCTATATTTCTCAATAATATACTATATGTTATATAAGTATTGTATGACTTAAATTCACTGTTATTTTCATCAATAAATTGGTTTACATTGTGTTAACATATATCATGAAATGCATTCACATTTGGGAATAACATAGAAATGAAAGAAAATGTCATTTCTATAGCAAAAACATATGAAAAATAGGACTGTGTTTGAGTGCAATTCATCTCAAATCTGGCAAATATAGTGTATATTTTATATAAATATATGGTATATATATGACATTGTATGCAAAGAATCTCAAACTTTGGTGTTTGTATTTTGCAAAAATGTTATTCAATATAAATTAGGCATTGGTTTAGTTGTCCTTTGAAATACTGTTTAACTGTTTAATACCAGTCTATTCATTGGTATGAACTTAACACTACATTACTCTATACTATAGCTCAACAAAGAATATTCTAGTTATGTGTATGTCATATGAATGCCTTTTTAGGGCACAAACATTACATTTTGTTTGTCAAATAAGTATAACACAAAAATATTGATTCAAAATTGTTGTAATAACAAAAAATATCGGATTTATTGAAAAATATTCTCATAATATTCTATAAAATCTACTTATAAAACATTTAAACCAAATTGTTATAATAAATATATATATATATATATATTTAAATATGTTTATTGAATCTATTTGCCATAACTGTAGATATAATCAATATAATATTGCAATTTGAAATCATAATATTATTTTTATTATTAAATTTTATATATTAATTAATATTAATGATAATAATAAATTAATGAAATGTAGAGTATGTTATGGCTTTGCATTCAAATGTTATCTCTAAAAATTGATAAAACACTTGTATTAATTCAAGTGCAATAAGTTTGTGTTTGTGAGGACAATGACAACAACTCTTGATGTCATTGACAGCACAAAAACTATCAGACCTTTGAGGTCTCATTTATTTGCACTCATATAAGTACTAAACTAATAATAAGTGTTAAACATATAGAAAATTTAATAAAAATTATATAATAGTTATTGTGATTAAAGTGATGCAAATGTGGTCAACTAAATATAAGGCTAACTTAATATAAAAATTATTGAATAGCGTTAAATTAATTAAAACATATTATAATACCTTTAGGTCCGGGAGGACCTTTGGGACCGGGAGGTCCAGGTCTGCCTTCAGAACCTTTGTCTCCATATGAACCGCGATCTCCTTTATTACCTTTCAGACCTATTTAAATAAAATTAAATAAACACTAAATACTGTATATTTAAAAATTATAATTATCAAATGTTTAATTTATTATACAGTACTGTATAATATAATATATGAAATGTTGTTTTCAAATAAACAATATATGTTAATTTAAAACAGTAGTTATAGTGAAATGTTTGCTGTGTATCGATATTTTTATGTCATCAAAAAGTTGTTTCACTTAAATCATTATTTATTCATAAAATAAGCGACAAATTAAATGAACAAACAAATAAAAAGATGAAACTATGTGTGCAATAAAAAGCACGAAATAATGTCATTTAAGGGAATATGTTGTGTACACAACTTGTATACACAAAAAATGAGAAATGAATCGATGATATGTTTTAGCCAAACAAACAAATAAAATAATTTTAAGCAAAGAATTTTATATAGATTCACAACAATTGTATTTTATATAATATTATGTTGAATAAGGATTGCGAGGAAAGAGACAAAATGAATATCTTAATACAGGGAACGGTAGACACAATGGTTTGTATTATGACATTCAACACACCCGTAGATCAAAGCATTCATTCAACTCTCTTATTAAGAGTCCATTGTCTATGTCTAAGGAAAAGATGATTTAGAAATAGAAATACATGAATACCTTTAAGCTATTTAGGGATAACACTCATACATCTATAGCTTATATTAATAGACAATACATTTATTTATAAGGTTTATGAAAAATATATAACTAAATATTTCATTAGACTATATATAAATTTATATATCAGGGTTAAGCAATGGGAGGGTAGGGCAGAATATTGCCATTTTACCCCCCCCCTAAAACCAAGATTTGATTTGACTATATGATAAAAAAAAAAGTATTATACTTCAAGATAATTATTATAATAAAAGTTATAATAATAAAGTACATCGTTGTATTGTTTTTATTACTTATTTTTAAATTTTACATTAAATTCAAAATAATGTTTTTTTTTATAATTTTTAGTCTAATATTTAAAATTATTGCGATAAATAAAAGAGTTTATTGGGAATATTTTCTGGAAATTTAATTCCATTTACATAAGAATTTTCGGGAATTTATGGAAGTTTTAGAGAATTTTTTCATGACCTAACCTTGATTTTCAAATTTTTAAAAATTAGCATTTTAAAAATGCACTAAAAAAGTACACCAACTCTATTCTCCAAGATTTTTCTATTCTACCCTACTTTATATCCCCCCCTAAAATTCAATACCTTACTTAACCCTGATATATACAGTATACATTGATATAATGAGATACTGGTAGTCTAATTAAGCTAGGTCATTTAAGATGAAAACTCATTTGAAATTATTGCAAATGTTATTAATAATAATATAATACAATGTAAAGAAAGTGCTAAAATTATACATTTTTGTTAATAAAAAGTATTTTTACAAACTATTTAATAGTGACAGAATATTTTACTTATACAATAAAACTATAATATTATATTAAAATAAATATTTATATTGTTTAACTAAAATTATTTATTTCTTATTTTGCTTTGTGGTAATAATACAAATATTATATTATAATATAACTCTTTATTCAAACTCTACTTACTTTTTTTAAACATAATTTATATCAATATTGAATAAATTATGAAAACATTGCTAAATTAAAATAGACTATAACTTACCAACGGGTCCGGGAGGGCCCCTCTCAGCTGCCGGACAATACTGTTTAGCTGAATAACAATATTCTTGAAGTATATGTAACTAAAAAATAAGAAAATAAATTTCAATTATTTTATTGATAATTTTAATAGTTTTTAAGCTATCAATAAAAGTGGTCTAAAAAATGAGTAAACCTTAATATTTATTTTAAAAAATATGATTTAGTGTAACTATATTTGTAAAACAATCTAATAATAAATAGACAATATTTACACACAAAAATATATATTCAAATTAATAAAAATAATATACAGTTTAGTTATGTACAATTAGTAATATGTTTTTAAAAATATCAATTATATTTTATAAACTTTATTTAATGTTAATTTAATAAATGATACATTTCTTAGATTACTTAAACATTTACATTTTTAACACTTGAACCCTCTTTTGGTCTCCTTATAAAAGTTTTAGAAAATATACCACAAAATATTAAAAGCTGTTCAAAATTTTGTCTGGCAATGTTAGGCCAATTGCATAAAATGACTTTTTTAAATTAAAACTAATAAAAAAAATTTTTATCAAATCTTACGAATACTGTATTAAAATGCTTTCAAATAATTATTTTTAACAAATATAAGATGTCTTTGTGTTAGACAACTGACATTTATATTGAAAAACAGAAAAAATCAAATTTAATGGATTTGACATAATTTGCATAAAGCATAACACTTCAAATAAGACTATTTTGAAAATTTTGAAAATTATTCACGAGTTTTAAGTGCAAAGCTATATGCACTGTATAATTGAGTATATWTTATATAACATTATATTTTTGTGGTGTGAGTCATAAAAATCGATGCAAACGGTGTTAAGCTTTAAATTGAATGATTGATGATTTGAGTTATAGGATTGCAAATAAAACATAAAACATGAATTGAGAGAATTGACATCAAAATTATTTAGTGTTTTATGGCATTCATTCAATGGGGACATTCATTTAATAAGTTATTTAAAGAGTACTTAAAACTATAGTTAGCAGTTTTTATACATGTTTTTATATTAATATTGAAATCAAGATTAAACTCAATTATTTAACTTAACATCACTTCAGAAATATTCATTTAAATTCAAAATATATGAAAACATCTTTTGTTTTCTTAAAAATTATGACAACGAATGAAAAAATGTATAAACTTATAAAATAATTAATTTAACAATACATATTCATAAATATTTTTAAAATCATATCAAATTTAAATATCATTAACTGTATTAATCTTTTACGTAAACAGTAAAAACAATTTTGTTAATGAAAAAAAATCTTTGAATAAAATTCTGTATTTTGAATACAAAAAAAACATCCAAAAAGACTACAAGTTTTGAGTATAAATATGTTTAGAACGACTGTTTGAATAAAACTGAATAAATATATTATTAATTTTATTATATTGTGAGACAAGTAAGTCTAATCATTAAAACTAAAATAACTAAATATTATTAAACTAAATTTTTTATTTTGAATAACTAACTCAAACTGTTTAATCATAATTTAATCAAAATTATCTATAAAATGTTTAAAATAATCTTTTGGTTTATGAATTAATTAATTAACATTTATTAGTCTATAAATATTAAATTTTAAAAAATACTAATTAACAGTAAAAATGTTAAGTTTGACAATTTTAACCACTTTTGATGACATAAATTCTATCTTTAAATTTTTTTTATAAAAATTATTTTTGTTGCAATAATGTCACTTTATAATATACCATATATTACAGTACTTTATAAATTTGGTTGATATTTGGTGGACATTTGTGCAAATAATATTACCGTATGTATGCATTTTTTCATATCAAATAATAATTAAAAATTAACAATTGTTATGCAAACAAATACCGGTATCACACATTTATTTCTAGCCAATAGAAAAAATGTGAAACAGTGAGGTTGGAAAAAATTGCAGTGAGAAACTGTGCTGGACAATTATAAATTATTTTTACCAATTGTTAATTAATTAAACAAATTATTGCACTGTAAAAAATATTGAAGAAATTATCAATTATAATAAGAATAATTTCATAAACTTAATAATCAATATTATTCTGAAAAATTACACAATTTTTAAAAATAATATATTATTTCATTAATACTTCAAATGTCAACATACGGTAATTACTGTATGATGTTTTTATTGTAAATAATATATTATATTATACAGTATATTAAAAAAGCAAAAGTTAAACATACTTTTTCATTACTAAACACTATTTGGTATATATATATAGAGAGAGAGAGAGAGATCAATGCTTATATGATATTTATTTATTTTAGTAATTAGATATTTAACGCGACAATAGAGGACGAAATAGCGTTATCAAGGCATAAATTGTGCAGCAGTTTGTGGCCAACTACTGTACCAATAGTAATCTAAATATGATAATAATATATTTAAAATGAGTATTTATGCCATTTATAGACAAGTTAACACAATTTACAATTAATTTATAGATAATTTTATTTAGTTAGTCAATAAACATTATATATTAATGTTTTGTAATTTATTGTTAAATAATTAATGTTTAGAGAATTTAAATAATTATTATAAAGCAAATATAATAACTAATGGGAATAATATAAAGCTTTTGTAGTTTACAGTAGATATAAAACATTTACAAAAAGTTATGTTAACATAATATCAAGTATCAAATACTATAAATTTTGATAAAAAATAAATATATGATATATCGTGAAATGCAATTTTGTTGATAAAATGATTTATAATGTTTGCTGAATATATTATTAAATTTATATTTGTTGCAAAATATTTTTCTATATTTATTTTAATAAATATTTGTTATTTTAAGATAAATATAATATATTGAAAATGCAAAATATTTTTTTAGATATACAGTTTTTTATAATAAAACCAATATATTAAAACTTTAGATATTTTTCTAATATTTAATAAAATTTAATACATACATTGTTATACAATTCTATTAAATTTACATATTTAATCATTTAACAAATATATAATGGACCTTGATAATACAGTATTAATATATAATAGATACTATACATTGTACAGTTATACAATATATACTGTATATACTGTATATACTGTATATACTGTATATACTGTATATAAACTATTCTACAATAAATTATTAGATAAAAACTACAGTATACACTGTATTGTATACAGTATTTTGAATCTATAAAGTTAAAAAATTAATTTAATTTTGAATTGTATAAATTGAGTATAAAAAGTGAATCAATTAAATACAAAGTATAAAATCATCAAATTTAATAATATTAATAATAAATTTAATTAAATTATATTTTATTATTAAATAATTGTTTAATTATAAATTTTTATAAATCAAAATTAATTTTTATAATGTTAATCGATATTTTTTTTGACTCAGATGTTTATCACAATTTAAAATTTGTTTAATACAAATTAGTAACTTGTAATTACTGTCATTGACATTACTTATTTAATATATAGTTTGTTTTATAATTAATTTTATAAATTATATTTAAAATGCTAATTCAAATATATAACCAAAGTGATAATAAAGATATTAATTATTGTAATTTTATTATTTAAAATCTAGCAAAAACTAATTATGTGCATTAATGAGCCTTAAATAATAACAATATTCAAAATATTTTTATTTAACTCACACAACAATATTTAGTGTTTAGAAACTAAACATTTTCCTAAAAATATAATAATTTTTCTAAATTTTTTAAATAAACTATTATTTGGAATCCCCATAAAAATCATATTTCATTATTATATTAAAATTAATAAAAAAAATCTTAATTTAAATAAAATTTTGATGATTATAAATAATTTAGTTATATTTATTTTAATTAATAATTAAAAAACAATAATAATATCAACAAAATAAAAACTATTATTAATGAATAAAAAATACAATTTATTTATAATCATATAATACATAATCAATAGTAAAGTATATAAAAAAGTTGAGCAAAAACTCAATTCTGAGAGTAAATGCAAAGATTTGAGATATTGTTGGCTTATATTATATAACAGGCAATGAGTCATATCAAGGGCTCACAGATAACTGAGATTTGAGGATATGATATATAGCTATAAATAACATAATACTATATTACTGTACAAACAATATCATACAATGTTATATATATTGTATATATTGATATTATATGCAGTATTGTCCATAAAATATACTATTGAGTAAATACATGGGTAAAGCTATATAAATAGTATTTTATATAATTTCATCTATAAAATGATAGCATCTCTCAGTGTCTCTCAGTTTCAATGTTTCCAAACAAGTAATGAGACAAAAGTTTGTTTGAATTTGAAGCTCAGTTCACAAAACGTTTACACGTTATGCCATTAAATAAGGTTTTTGTTGTTGTCGTCGTCTTTATCGTAGATGTGCTGCACTTCCTATCATTTGACCGCTAAAATCATTTCCCTTTAATCATAAACTAATGCTTTAAGGACTTACACTACACAACACATTATAACAACACGTTATTCATTCATTTAATAACTTATTGACGATTACATACTATAGAGAAAAAAGACAGACAGACAGACAGACAGACAGACAGACAGACAGACAGATAATTGTGAATACATTAGGCGTTCAATTTTGGATTCACCCACTTTTTATTGAAACCATTTTTACATGTTTTTTAGTTTTAAATATCAGTAGTTTACTTGTCCTACAGTTAGGACTGCCAACAGTCCAAATTTCTGCCGGAATGTCCAATTTTTTGTTGTAATCTCCGATTTTACATTAAAAATATTAATAATTAAATTTCTAATTCATTTTTATTTAAATCAAAACAGATACTAATTATCAGAAAAAGTATTCTTCGACTTTAAAACATTATATTTTTGTAATTTCATTATTAAATAGTCATTTAAATACTAATTGAATAATTTATCAAAAGTGAATTCTTTTACATTTAAAATAATTTAAATTTTTATAAATGTTTGGTTTTAGATAAAGTTTTAATTAACGGATAAATAGAGTTAGCAGTGGTTGGAAATAGATGTCGGAAACGAAGCATATTTCAGGAACCGAACCGAAACCGTTCGGATCAAAAATCCAAAAAACGAACCGAACCGTAGTTACGTCACATACTTTTAAAAATATCTCAATTTTATTTTCATATAAAATATAGAGTAAAATAATTAGAATAAGTTTTATAATAATTATAATATAAAGTAATATTAATAATAAAAACAATTAAATAGAAATATTTTTTTTAATGAAAACCGTCACAAAATGCGGAACCGAACCGAAACCTTTAAGGTTCTGATATTTAATTGACAGTATATCTAGAGCAACACTACAACAATGACATTATTAAATTTATACAATTGTGTGTATATTAAGATAAAATTATTAAAATTTTATTATAACTTAGTTAGTAAACAATCAAAAAATGTTATTTTTATTAAATTATATAAAAAGAATTTTCAACTTTTGTGATAATTTATAGTTATTATCTAATAAAATAAATAATGATAACTTCATATTTAATTTATTACTGTTATTCTAAGTCTAAAACAATCTTTTATTTATTTTCATAATGTTTTACAATAAAAATAATTGCAAACAATTACATTTAATTTTTATATTCTTAACAAAATTCTGAAATTTATTCTAAAATTTTGATATATATTTTCAATGTTAACAAATGTTTGTTTTTATTTGATGATAATTTGCTATTTTATATGAGATAAACGAAAGTTAAATTTAATTTAAAAATTAAAATAAGAAAAAACTTTTATTTGAAAGAATTTAATCTCAAAGTTACGCTAAATAAATAATAAAATTGCGGTCCATGTATTTTATACTAAATTTACAAAAATTTTAATTGAATTTCTAGAAAACTAATTTTCAAAATAAATAGTTTTTAAAATAATATTTGATTGATCTGTAAGTCGACAAATATTTGTCGTTATGCTTAATATCATTTCAAAATCATTTAATCATATATACCGGTAGTTTGTTTGCCATTGCTTTTCACATCTAATGTTTACATTTAACAAATAAATTACTTTATTTTATACTCCTATCAAATGCCACCAAAAGAATAATTATTTGCTGATTGAAAGCTATTTATATTTCTTGAAAATTTGTGCCCAAAACAAACAATCTCTAAATAAATACATTCAACAAATTTGTTTAGTTTTTATATAATCTACTGTATACTAAAAAATCTAAAAATTCTACATTTATTACATTTTGTATCAATTAAATGTAGATATATTTTTTTATTAATATCTTATTAAACAAAAGTTAAAGTATATAATTTAAAGATTTAGATAATAAAAATATTAATAAAAATAAATAATTATTTTATAAGATTATCATTAAATATATTAAATATTATATATTGATAATTTAACAAAGAAATATTTACATTGCATTAATTATTCAAAAGGAGATAATATTAACAACTATTATAAATTATTACTGTATTTATGTGGTATATATACTGTTCATAATATACAGTAATAACTCCCTATTCTTAATGATGTGAAAGAGTTTTGAGAGAAATAAGAGACACATTATAGATAGTGAATCAATCATTAAAAGGTAATCATCAAAACTGAAAGACCTGTAATAAATACATTACTTGTTTGACAATTGTCTGGAGGATTGTCTGTGAATATAATGTTAATGTTAACAATAGGCCTAACGATTGTGTCTCTCAATGAATTCAAATAAAGTCAAACAATGAATTGAACACTAAATTATAAGTTAGGAGAGAAAAGGTTGAAATAAATAGTTTAAACAAAGTTTTTGTAACAAAAATTATTTGTAAAGACTTTTATTTTTTTATGTTTTGTCAAACATTTTTATTCATATTATTCTTACTTTTTTATATTATATTTTATATATTCTGCTATTTTTATTACTAAACGCTATATTATAGTGATTTAACTTACGTATAATATATATCATACTAAATATACTACAAAAAGATTTACAAAAAATATTATATACAAAAAAATTAGTGAACATTTCATTTATATATATACTGTACATGAATATAATGAGAATAAACTTTATTATAATATTTAATATATACATAATCTAATTAAATATACGTATTATGAAAATCCGTAAAAATAATAAATTATATTTTATTGATCATTTTTTAGTCATAACATAAATCTTATGGTAATTTATTTATAAATACTTTTAATATTTTTTACGATATTTTGTATTTAAAAAATCAATTTGTTTAAGTTTATAATAACAGTATTAATGACAATTGTAAAAACATTACAAAACAGTAAATATAAAGATTATAAAACTTTAGATTTTTGGTTAATAATCGAAAAAATGATGATCTCATTGAATACAATAAATGAGAATAAATGGGAGGAAAAGCACATGTTATAAAACACAGTGTTTTTGCTTTAACTTTGAATAGTAAAAACATATAAGTATTAAATTATTACTATACATATAAATATATTTAATAATCTATAAAATAAAAATTACACTAAAACAAAGACAATAATGATATACCAACTAACAAAACAGTTGAAAATATATATAAAAACTACAATATAGTGCCACAAAACAATTGTATAGTTTATTACTGTATTACTATTGCTATTATACATTATATTTACACTTACAGTATTAGTTATAAGAAAAAATCAATTTTGTTATACAAAAGACATCACATATTTGCCAACACATCCATTATATAAAGTTCATTATTATCACATATAAAATACAATAAATTTGTTAGTAAATATAAATAGACTGGTAATTGATAAATCGACAATTTATTACTAATCATTTGCTAAATTAACACTCATAACAATAGGTTTATAAAAATATCAATTAAATTTAAATAACCACAACTAATCTTATTATTGAGACCAACGACAACAACATTTTTTTTATCAATGCAGTCAATTGCAAAACTATTGAATGTTAACTCCCTTTTGAGTCAAAAATAAATGTGTATTCAATACTAAAACATGATCTACTGTATAAATAAAACATAAATATAACTAAATTTTTTATTTATATAGAAAAATGTGATAAAAAGTAGTGTATAGTATAATAAAAATAATAATCAGTATATATGTATGTGTTTTTAAAAATCACAAGCTTTTTAAGTTTTCATTGAAAACATGAGAATAAAAGAAATGAGAATTTGAAGCCTTAAGGGAGGAATTGGCGGCAATTGTTTGCAAAAAAAGGAAAGGAAGTGAAACAGAGAGAGAGAGAGAGAGAGAGAGAGAGAGAGAGAGAGAGAGAGAGAGAGAGAGAGAGAGCACATCGATATAGCTTTTACTATAAGTGTTGTATTGCTTTGTGATAAAGTGTTACATTTTATACTCTCAAATTGTTTTTATCTTTTCAATATAAACTACTATTATATATATATAGTTTAATATTATAGTGAAATGAAATGTAAAAAACAAAGAAGATTTGAGGAAATAGTCTTGAAAATAGTTTTATAAATTTTAAGAATAAAAATCTAACAAAAAAATGCGGACAAATTTATTTTTATTTGTATTTTTGTCTTTTTTATATCTCTCAATACCTTCCGGTGCCAAAAGATACAGTACTCCATCAAATAATTTGTATTCAAAAATGCTATTCAAATAGCACTGTACTAATGTATGATATAATAATAATATTTTTTATAAATTAAAAAAAAATAAAAATAGAGAATCACAAATAAAATAAATATTATATTAAAATTAAATTATTTGAACACTTACTGGGATTCTTGAGTAAGCCGTAAGCCATACATATCCCGGTGTTTCTGGTGTTGACTGAGGTTTCTGGAAGAACTCAACGGATGGTCCGCTGTTGTCGATGGGATTGTCCGGCGCTGAACGGGATTTAATTCTTCGGTAATGTCTTAATCTATTTGGCAAATGTTTGTCATTTTGATATGTTATGCCTTTTGTTGATAATGAGTGAAGTAACTGATGTAACGATCGGTTGTTTGAATCGTTTATTGAATCAGTGGTTTTATCATATGATTGTCTCAAATAATTGTTACTATCAGTGATATCTCTTTGAAAACGACTTTTAATATGTGGTTCATCGGAACCTTTTGTCTTAATCTGATGATTGTCTATATTATCACTCAATATATTTCCACAACTTTCACTGCATATAACTTTTGTGTCGATATACTTCTTATTTATTTGATATACGAGATAAAAGTTTATGCTCACCATTAGGTAGAGAATTGCTATAAGAATATATGAGAATCTTTGATGAAATTTAGTCCAAACAATAGCCATTATTATTAAAATAATGTTATAAACTTATGGCACTAATATTTGGTCCACTATTCATTATTATATAACAAATCTAACAATAACTCATAAACTAGTTTTATGTTTCTCTCTATTTTCTATCATCTCATCTAATGCACAGTCTATAACAAAATGAGTCCATGTGCTAAACTGTATGTGCGATATATGCCTACACTCGTTGCTATATTATATTCCTGGAGCTCACTCTCAGAAATGATTGTATTGTTGGTGTGAATACAGCATCAGATCCGAGAGCACTGTTAGAGAGTGTCTCACATTTAGAGTATAGAAATAACCAAATAATGAAATGCTTTTGAATATATAATAATAGTTGTGTTAGTGAACTGACTTATATCATACAAAATATGACAAACAATGCTAATACTAGACACAAGTTTCAAAGTAATTCTTAGCATTTGATCTCATATTTGATGTCATTTTATTATAACAATAATTTATATATAGATATGACCTGCAGTTATGTAATACCAAAAAAATACTATCAGACAATCATATCTTACAATTGATGCACTAATATTTCTTACCCGGTGGTCATCATTGACCATTAGTTAACATAAAAATATAATATTATAATAACTTTATATTACAATAATTTAACAATTAAATAAAGAACTAATAAAAAACTATTTAAATATTTAGTGCATTTAAAATAAAATAATTTTTTTCATATAGTAAATATAAAATTAAAAAAAAATGTTTTTAGATAAAGTAAATCAAGTATTGATAATGTAATTATATCAACAAAAAATTGTAATGATTTTATAAATATATAACATACATATATTATTCTTATAAGGAATAGAAATAATTGTTTAACATTAGTAATGGAATAAATGTTAATTAATCAAAGTTCAATATATGACCATTATCAAAATTTATTTTTTAAATTTTTTGAATTAATTTATAATAATACAGTATTAGATATAAATAATTTAGTGCATAAAATAAAATAATTAAATGTATAGTGTAAAGCAAATAAAACAATATAATCTAATTTTAATATTAAAAATTACAAAATACATGTATATTTATTTTATTGAAAATTCAATAATTTGGTTTAAATTGAAAATACATTTACAAAAACTGACTAATTTTATTAAATATAAAAAATTGTATAAAGTAAAAAACATTAAAATTAGAATAAATTTAAAAATTATAAAATACTAGTTAATCGTTTAAACTCATAGACTAAAAACTCAGAGTCAAAACTTAGACATTGTTGGGCCAAATGTCAAAAAATATTTGCCGTTTAGTAAACAAAAATATATACGAAATTGTATTTTAAAATTTCAATATTTTTATTCGAATTATTCTATTAATTATTCTTTTTTTATTAAACAATAAATCATAATAATTATAATTATTTTTTGGTTAAAAATTAATAAAATTCTCAACTATATTATTATTAGATATTTAGTAAATTTAATGTTAATTAAAAATAATTTATAAAATATTATAAAAATAATTGTCATATTATTTATTTATATTATGATTCATTTAATTATAGTATACAGTATTATGATATAACAACTTTATATTTTTACTGTAGTTATATATATAAAGTCTAACATTTATTTAAAATAAAAACTGTAAATTAATTAAATAATTTATAAAAATTACTCAGAACTTAATTTTTATGAAAATAGTATAAAATTATAAATTGATATAAAGATTTGTAAAATTCTTTTTAAAAATGTTAATATTATAAGATATTAATGTTATTTAAATACCTGTTGTATTAAATTTAGTAATAATTATCATATTCTGTAGAATCAGTTATATATTATTTTTATAAAATCTTTTATATATAATACCGTTATTTTTGTTTATTTGAGAAATTTATATTTAATTTTTCTTCTAATAACACATTTTGTATTATAAAAAACTTATTAAATTTTATTTTTGCTATAATATACAGATATGAGCAAATGTTTTAGGTATTTAAAAAAGTATAAAGTATTCGATTAAATTTTTTATGCAATACTACTATTCAACTATTCATTAGCATATGTTTTGAATTGTATCAAATTGTGTAGAAAATGCATCAAATTATCATAAAGTGTTTTAAAGTTATTAGATATTTTTCAAACCTCAAAATATGATATATTTTGTCTTTTAAAGACCAATATCTTCAATTTTTGTGGTAAGTTTGAATCATAAAATGAATATATGATTCTTCAGCTAATATACATAAAGTTTTGCTGCAATTATTTATTAACATAAAAATTTAAAATTTACCTCATTTAACAATAAGACAAATTAGTTTTAAAATAGTTTAATGAATGTTATATTCGTAAAAAAGACTGACTCCTACACTCAATTCTCATTACATTTAATATTAATATCAATTCAACAATTCTTCGCTGAATAAAAACGTTTTCACAGGTATTCACACATCACTAACATTATGGCACACTTTAAAGCTTTACTGAACTTTCCTGAATTAATTTATATTAAAACTGCCAGTCCTTTAAACTACTTTATTATCTCCTAAAATAGATAATTTAAAACACTACTTGCTTGCTTGTTTTAATAAATTACAAAAATAAATAACTTTAATATTTGCTAATTTATTATTCAAAATATTTACCGACAAAACGTTTAAAACAATTTGATAATAAGAAAAAATAAATAATTGAAGAATAATATGACATAAAAAATAATGGAATACTTTTATACTTTTTACTTATACTTAAAGCATTTGCTCATAACTGTATATATATGATAATCTATACATTTATTATATATACATTATATTTAACATTATTACTGTATAATTATTATTATATTATTAATTGATTATCATATGTAATACATTAGGTTTTATAAAAATAATGTCATATTCTTTCTCAAGTAATTCATTGATTAATTGTTAAATTTATCAATTTTTTCCAGTTTTTTTGTCTGTAATTATTCCCTCCCTTTTAATATTTCATATATTAATCCATATCTATAAATGTCAATTAACTTTCACTTTAATGACTGATCGGAAGTTGATTCCCGTATTATAAATATAATTATTACCGAAAATAGCATTTATTTAATTTTTAAATATCTAAACAAACATTGCTATTGAATGATCTTTACTTAGTTTTCCATTACAATAGACCGATCTTACAGTTTTCCACACCCTTTCTTATTATGTGACAATAAATATGATATTTTGCTTATAACAGTTTATTTGTTAAATTTTTTTATTATTGGACAGAAAAAAGTGCGTACTATTCATAATTACAATTATTTTATTATAATAATAATTAAAAAATATATGTTAATTAACTATTGTATATTGCATTTATAAACAACAATTTTTATTTAATTAGTTGCAGTTATTCTAAGTTCTATATATTTTTAAATATTTACGAAAATTAAATTATAAATATGTATTAAAAGACAAATAAGAAAACTATTAGATATTAGAGAGCAGATGTAAATTCATAGGTTTCTAATGGATTAAAACCGGTTAGAAATTTGATTTCATTTCTGCCTTCACGTGATTTGGCAGCTGTTCTCTGAATCCATTTTCTATCGGTGTAATAGTTGAGACAACTTTCCATTTCTTTGTCGTCATAAAGTGTTACTTCTATTGGAACAAATGGATCAAAATCTTTAAAACCCTTAAATATATATAAAAAAAATGTTTATTAATTTATTAATAAAAATAGCAACCAATATAATGAATAAAATACCAAATTGGTTAATAAATCTTGAGGTAAATCACTTAAATGTTTAGCAGTCATAGGTTCGGCATCGAGTTGTCTTCGGGTTCGTGTATTTACTTTCTTTAGCGGTGCCGGGAAGTTAAATATTCTGTAGGGAACTATTAGTTTCTTACATACAGACACTACGACAGCACCATTTGACTATAAACAACATTTTAAATATCAGTAAATTGCGATTATTATAGTCACAATTGAAATAATATACCCAATCATTAGTAAACAATTTTTTGAAGGCCCGGGCGATTGTAATGTTGTCGATATCAACTAGACTTCTGTCCGGATATTTTATTTTACTTTTTTCATAAAAAGCGTTCACTTTGTCGACAATAACTAATGTCTTAAACTTTTGAGAACTGCTTTGAGTCTTAATTTCTTTAATCAAAACAGCCATACAATCGGACGCATGTTTTATACGATTAATTCCGTGTTCCAGAATATTCTTGAGTGGATCTCCCGCTTCTGTTACCTCCCGCTGACTCCACACATATTGCTTTGACGCTCTTAACTATATAATAATTCAGATTATATATCATAAAAATATCGGATAATTAATAAATGTTTTTTATCTAACATCGAGTTCATCCAAAAGATGGCTATTATGTGTTCGGAAAAGTTGTAGCCAAACGGCCGCATCAATCGGTGTATCAATGCGTTCGACCTTATGCTGTGATTGTGCCGTTTCTTCGGGATATCGGACCCAATCTGAAGGGTTCGGACAATATAACAACAAAAACTTGTGTTCGAACCCGAAATGCAAGATATGGTTCAATGTATACGTCTTTCCCGAACCGATTGGACCAACTGAAACAATTCAATTATTATAAAAATTGTTTTCAACGATATTATATATATATAAGTCTAATACAGAAGACATATCTGTTGACTGGTCGCGAATAGTCCGCTCTTTTCAAATATTCAAAGACTTCGAGTGCAGGACTTCTAACCATAATAGAGGTCTCATTGAATGTCTTGAATGCGTTTTGTTGTTGTCTGTCCCAACCGCCTAATATAAACAATCTGTTGGCCAACTCGGGTGGTATCGTATAAAACATCGCTAAATGTTGTGAAGAGTGTTGCGATGGATGTGACTCTTGTGTCCGAAACGTGTCGGTAATCATATGTCTCGGTTCACATGCAGTGGACAGACAGCGGACAAATGGCCGGTGCTTTGGAAAACAGAGAGACAATGAATGGTGTCTTGCGATGAAAGTCATTGAGTGACAAACATTGGTGACCACTCTGTTAATCATTATTGTCTTCAAATCAATTGATTCAATCGTTTACTTAAAACATCACTTTTTGAGTTTATTTTGAATTTAGTCTTGAATTTCTTTAATCAAAAACGTCTTTAATATATAAACTAAATATTTATTAATATTTAACATTTAATGTATAAATTCAACAAAAAGGGGCAAAAAGTTATACTATAAGTGTTGACGTAATTATTGGATTAAATGACAATATGAATGATTCAAATGATTTAATATTATTTAAATCAAAGCAATGTTTTGATTGAATCAGTGATTGATTTAACACAACAACAACTCTTGTCTTGTGTTATGTCTTACAAGTTGTCAATTGATTGACTGATTGGTCTGATGAGCGATAAGAAGACAATTACTACAATGTCGGCCAACAATCAGTCAATGAAATCCAAGAAGAGTTACCATTTGTGGCCAAAAGAATCAATTGAATTGTTGTCACAACAGATGGGTTTTGACAAGACGTTGACCGACGACGCCGTGAATATCCTCTCTTCGGATATTAGTTTCAGACTCAGACAATTGGTTAACAATTCTGTTAAACATATGATGCATACGAAGTCCACCCGATTGAAGACATCGCACGTAAAGATAGCAATAGAGTCACAACATTGTGAACAAGTGTTTGGTTTTGAATCAACTGACAAACCAATTGATATGATTTGGATCAATGAGGCCAATGTCTTCGTATATGATGACTCACTCATTAATTTAAATGAAGAAATGGATAAAATATTAAACAAAAGTATTTGTGAAACTAAAGTATTTAAAAAAGACACTCATTTAGCAATGGATTGGCTTTCCATGGATTCAGCGATTATCACAAATGATGGCAATTATAGCAATGGCATTGAATTGAGTGATGAATTAAAACAATATTACAAGATTGTAATGTCTGTTGTTTTGGGAACCGATAATCATTTTTTTATTCGTGTCCTCAAAGACTTATCCTGTAATTGTCGACTTAATCCTGTTTTACCATATCTATTGAATTTTATATTAAATGGTATCAAAAAACTAAGTCATGATGTCTTACAACTCAAGAAATTTCTCAATACAATTGAAAGTCTTCTTAAAAATCCATCTGTTTTTCTTGCAACTGATCCATATTTAAATGTATTGATTCAGTCAATAGTGAGCTGTATTGTTGATCCTTTAAACCCGAAAACAGATCACTGGTCACTACGGGATTCGGCCTCACATTTACTCTTTAAGTCATTAAACGAACGCTTCTCACCATTTGTTGTGAATCGTCTTCAGAAACAGACTTTTAGTTATTTAATAAACTGTTTGCTCGACTCAGCAAAACCTTTGAGTTCACATTACGGAGTCATCAAAGCGTTTCAAGCATTTGGTTACGATTTTATTGTCGAATATTTGTTACCAATTCTTAACCAATATTTCTTATATTTGTTACCTATCATTGATTGTCAATCAAATGAGCCTCAAATCAGATCCGATGGCATTAGAGTTTTTGGTGAACTTTTATATATTGCAGAAGTTATATGTCTGAAGAATCGGTCGTTAATTAATATAAATTTTGAGTTACAGTTTGATCTCAATATATATACACAATTGTCTGAAATTTTTGGCGACGCTTTATACGCAAGATTGCCAATTGATTGCCACAGAATAAGACATAAGTTATTCATTGAGAAGACTGTCACAGCTAAACAAACCAATCTTTTTGAAACACAAGAGTCACTTCAAACAGGGGAACAATTGTTAGATACCTTTTATGAAACAGTGACCACTCTCGAGGACAAAAAGAGTAATAGGAGTCTCAATATTGATGACGACAATAATTCATGTGATAATTCAATGGCAAGTGATCCCGAAAAAGAATCGATTGTTACGGATGTACTACAGGTTAAGAGTACAATCAGTGATCCGACATTAGGTATAAAGTTAACGATTAAAAAGTTAAGAAGGAATGACACGGAACCACATTCTTATAGCAAACTCTCAGAAAATAGTGAATCTGTTTTTGAATCAATTTCTCTCAGACAGACGTCCATCCGATTTAATATATCAGGTATTTATATTAAATGAATATAAATATATATTTATTTCAATATTAACCTAATTATTATCCGACCATACGATTAGGTATCAAAATTAGCGACGTCTTTGAGAAGCCCATCAAAATCAATGATTATTATCCATCGCAATGGTTTGCTTTAACGATGACTAATAGAAACCAATACTGTTTACGAACTCATTATAAACTAAGAAAAAATATTAAACATTCAAAATGTTTATATTCATGTGATTTATTTAATGTTTTATAAAAAGAAATGATTGGCGATTGTAATGTAATGTATAAAATAAACATTATTTATTATATATTATTTTTTACTTTATTATTATTATTAATAATATTAACTTTTGATGTTTAAAATATAAATAATTTATCATAAAATATACTTTAAAATGTCAAACATTATTATTGACTACTATTTGGTACACTTTTCAGTAGATCTGTTGATGATTGAGGAACTGTTGTGGCGTTTATATTGATATTAGAGCGGTTGTGTTTCATATGCGAGCGAACCAAATGACCGGCCGCTAGAGCCGACATGAGAGACAGCTCTGCCGCTAAGACAGTGGCGCAAACTATTGTGGCGAACTCGGAGGAGTTACTGCCAGCTATTTCTGCAGAACAACCTTTTACTCCCAAAAGCTGTTTAAGACAAATATAATATCAATTAGAGATAAATTGTTTTCAAATTATATTATTAGTTAATAATTACCTCAAGACAAGCACTTTGTGGTTGAAGAACAGTTCCGCCACCAATAGTTCCAATTTCAATGGATGGCATCGTACAAGATATATGTAGATCATTACCATTTATTTCCATAAGTGTAATACAATTGGAACTGCCAACTGTTTGTGCCGGATCCTAATTTGTAAAATATTGGTGTTAATACATATTGAAACTTAACAAATATACAGTATATTTATCAATACCTGTCCACAAGCTATATAAATAGCGGCTACAATGTTGGCCGCGTGTGCATTATTGCCACCAATAGTGCCGGCCATAGAAGATCCGACCAAATTCTTACTTATATTTAATTCAACCAATGCTTCAGCAGATGTCTTCAAAACCTTTTCGATGACTTTTGCGGGAACAACTGCTTCGCACACAACAGATTTGCCTCTGCCTTCAATCCAATTAACTGCTGCGGCCTTCTTGTCCGTACAAAAGTTGCCGCTCAAACATGTGGCCTGAATGTCAGGAAAGACTCTGATTAACTCTTGAATAGCTAATTCAGTGCCTTTTGATAACATATTCATTCCCATAGCATCACCAGTTGAACCAATAAATCGCAAATAAAGATAACGTCCGGCCACTCGAGGGTGGATCCGTTGTAATCGTGCGAAACGCGATGTCGAGTCAAATATAAGTTTAATTCGTTCAAAGTTTTTGTCTTCTTGCAACCATTTCATTGCTTCAGCAGATCTGATAGCAGTCGGAAAATGAATGACAGGACCTCTTGTCATACCATCTTTATATACTGCGCTGTTGACACCTCCCGACATCACTAATGCCCGACAACCACGATTAGTACTGGCCACTAGACAACCCTCGGTAGTAGCCATTGGTACATAATATTGGTTATTATTGAGAAGTAAAGGTCCAGCAATTCCCAATGGCACGGGTATGTAACCGACAACATTCTCACAACACGCGCCTAAGACTAATGAATAGTCATATTGAGTGTACGGTATCTTCTCAATAACGCCAATCTTTTTTGACGATTTCTCAATTAGTCTTCTTCTGATAGCTACACCTCTCTCAGCATTTCCAAGAATTGATTCCAATTTGTAGGCCGGTATGTGTTGATTATCAACCAAATACAATATTTCAAGATCTGTTAAGCTATTAGTTCCGTCCTCTTTATTATATATTTCTAGTAAAGTGTTGATATCTCTTATTTGTTTCGATTCAGCACAAGTGGTATTTTGTTGACATTCAATATATTGTTGGATTAAATAGCTGTCATCGGTCTGCACTTCGCGGTCAACTAATTCTGTTTCACTCATATCTGAAGAACAGTCGTCTCCAATAATAAATGATATTTTTTCGTCGTTATCACAAACATCGTCTTTCAATGAGTTATCTGTGAAAGTGTCACTCTTTTGGCATTTTTTAGTCCTTTCGTGAATCATAGACTCGGTGTCCGAGTCTTGAGTTGTCACTAAAATTCTTGGTGTTTCTAATGTTTGCGTTCGAACACTATTTTCTGAAACAACTTGTGATCTCTTATTAATTGTTTGTTGCATTTCTTGTTGATACTGATGTTTAATGTGTTCGTTATAGTAATCCTTATTTTCAAAGAAGATGTATTTGACGGCCAATGCAAACACCAATCCAATCATAACTACCTGTTCCGAGCAAAGTGTCAAATATTTTCTAAACCAATTCTCAAAAAATGTCGGCTCTTTATCTAAAAAGAAGTCATGATTTGAATCCTTAAAATTGGAACCCATTGTTGAAGTATCTGTTTCTGAACCGATGGGAAATCGGCTGAGTGTATGAACCAGCATAAGAGCGGCTGACATAATCAGTTTGATCCGTTGGATCACAGGATTCGGTGCTTTTTCCGACTCTAATAATACTTTTGCCAAAGAACTCAACTGCCAAACGGGTAAATTGTCGCCTCTATTATAGGACAACTTAAACATATAAATCAATTATTAGTTTTTAACATCAAATATATAACTTTTATTATTACGCTAAAGGAGTTATCTGTTTATTTAATTATTACTATTGAATTATATAATTATTTAATATATTCTATATTATAATTAACACTATAATAATTTTAATCACTATTTCTTTTGTAATAATGTTAATTTAATTTAATTGTTTGCTAATTAATGTAATTAAATTTAATATTAATTATTACCTCTAAGGCCAATGAAAGATATGCAGGGAAAAGGATCATAAAAACCACGTAATTGACAATTACAGACAAACAGGCAAAGCAACTGATCTCTTCAAGTTTGGAAACACCAGATACTGTTCCCACACCGATTGCCAGAGTCTCAACCAATGTATCCAAAGTCAATGTTGGCCCTAAAATAGCCATTCCTCTGGCAATATTTTCTCTCACTTCCTCCTAATGACAACAATTAATTATATCGTTTAAAATAAACTACTAATTGAATACATAATTAACTAAAAAATTAATACATACTCTTGTATTGGATGAGAGAGCGAACTGAGCCAATAGACTGGCTTTTGATAAATCGGATAACAAGAGAAAGAATGGCAGAGCGTCTCTATAATTGAAAATAAATTATAATTTATTTATTTTAAGAAATATTTAACTAATTATAAAAAACACCGTTTGCTTACATAAGTTCAGTAAAATTAGCATTCAATGCATATAAAACTGTTGAACAAAATATAAAACTGGAAAGTACTGTAAAAAGAGCTGAGATCTGTACTAAATATTTTGATCCTAAATTGTAAAGGTTTTTGAATTGTTGGTAAATATAAAAAAATGCTAAACATCTCGATATCAATGTTATAGTATTAGCAAAACTCTCTGCACTTTTCAACTCTAATTCCTATAGAAATAAATTAATTATTTATTAATCATTATATCGTATATAAGTTATATCATATCATATATACCTCAATACATCCACTCTTTTTAAGGCAATATCCCGATGAATATGTATTAGTTTGGATCAAGAATTGTGATCCCAATGAGAATATACAGATCAATAGTAAAGTGAAGAAAGCGACCATTACTTCGCACGGATGGGACGCACATACCTTTCCGTATGTATAGAAAAGGCCAGACATCCTCCCAGACGTCATTCTGGTTGGAAATACAACAAAACATTTACATTTAACACTCATCTGCTTAGACATCATTATCAGACAAATATTGTCTAAAATGTCTTTTATTTAGCCATTAATAGTCACAATATAGTCATCATATAAATAGTCAATTGAATCATTACTTTTGTCATATAATAAACATTGAAATTCATTCAATATTACACACATAACGTTCAGCTGATATACGCTATAATTTTGTCATAATATATATATATATATAACATATAAACTCTATAAATATTAAATTTATCAGCAAATAAATTAAAGTTTCTATAATTATAAAAATTTTAATTAAAAATTACGATTTCCTCTCTATTTGTTTGTTGACTAACTGACAAACTTTTCAATATATAGCCACAAACTGTCACATAATTAATACATTGATAGACTTATTTTGTCCTCTAATTGTTAAGAGAGAGAGAGAGAGAGAGAGAGAGAGAGAGAGAGAGAGAGGACTAATCATAAGGTATAGCGGGATAGGGATAATAAAAGTAGACACACATATCCAAACCTACCTGAATGTTCCCATAACATGTAGTCACTTATGTATTACTATATTATATGAATATATTTTTCAGAGACAACTTTGTAAAGTATATATTAATAAATAGGTTATATCTTACATCAGTCATGTGATCAAACGTCATAAAACTTCAAAAATACGTGTAATTCTACAGTAAAACACATTGACATAAAACATTCAATTAATTTATAAATTGTGATAATCATTATTTTTTATTTATACTTAATTTTCCAAAAACACACATTGATTTAATTAATTTTTTATTCAATAGTTTTTTTTAAATAAGCATTAAATAATATAAAATTTATCAATTATTAACTTCTTAAAATATTAAAAATTATGTTAAATTACTTAATTAAACAAATTATAATTATAATTTTTGGTCAAATCAAAGGGAAAATGTATATATTTTTTATGTAATTAAATATATAATTGAAAAATACAATTCCGCTAAATAATTATAAAATCTTCAATAATAGTTATAAATTATAGATTCTGATGTTACCATAATATAACTTAAAACAATTAATGGCAATTAATCACAGGAACGGCTGTTTTTTCGGGAATCAAAATTTAGATTTTTTTACTATACCTCTCATAATAATAAAAATTAATTTTATTTAATAACTTTTTATACTATATATACTTTTATGCTGTGGATTTGATTTGAATAAATGGATAAACTTTTATCTATTAAAATATATTAATTTGGATCAAATTAGAGAAACTTGATTTAACGGTCAGTGCTATTTTAATAGTTATAATTTGTTTTATTTGTATAATAAGATCGATTGATGTATTGCTTAATTGTATTCAAGTGTTTATTAAACAGTGAACTTGTGAACTTACTTGACATATAAATTAATTATATTTTCTAAATTATAAATTCATAGTTTCAAAAGTAACTCTTATTCAAAACATATTTACTGTATTTTTACTTAAGTGTAGTCTTAGTTAACTCTATATTATAAACATTATATAAGTATTGTATTAACAATATATAACTGTACTCTCTCTGCAATTAATTTTTATTGTAATTTGTTTCAAAAGAATACTATATGTATGAACCGTATGTCCGTATGTGTTATATTCAATTAAAATCAACTTTTAATTAATTACATTCCAGTTAAATGACTAGTATTTTTGTAATATTCTTTGTAAATTAATACTAAAATTACAAATAGTTATATAAAATATAATATTTTTTAAATTATATAATTAAAAGGTTAATATAAAGTTAATTACAATAAGGTATTTATAAATAACACATTGTTTTCTATTCATTAAAAATGATTGAAATAAATTCAGTATATTATTCAAATTACAATTTTAAGGTTTAAAAAATATTTTATGTTTTCCTGAAGTAATCCATGTTTTAAATCAATAGCTAAAATACAAACATATCTATTATTGTCAATTTGTTTGCAAATTTCTATATTTATATCAATTTAGGCATCAATTATGGAGTGATTATCACGTAACACATTGCGATTCACTAATAAATATTATATTTAACTATAACTATTTAAATAATATTTTTAATTTATTTAACTATAATTTTTCAAAAACTTTAATAATAATAGACAAAATAGATACAGAGGTCTATAATTATTTTTAGAATCTATTGATCCATTTTTATAAATTGGATAAATATGAACACATTTGCATATATTTAGATAAATATTATGTTTAAGTTAATAATCATATTAAATATTGTGATCAAATGTGGGATAATTATGAGAGAACTAAGTTTTAACAATTTACCACTTATTTTGTCACTTACAGTAAATTTTTTATTTTAATTTTAGAAATTAATTCATATAAAATTAGTTGATAAACATAAACATAATATTCTAATTTAAGCTCAACTTAGAGGGCGTTATATAATATTTAAAATAAAATATTGATAAAAAATGTAAAGTTATTTCAAGTTTTGTTAATAATTAGTGCCTGAAGACAGTGCCTGACTTGCATCTGATCAGAGCCTCTGTACTACCAAACAGATCCCGTTTGACTGGCATTACATATAAATAAATATATAAATATAACAATTTGCTGTATATATATACACACATATACAATATATATATATAATAATAATATGCGAAAGTTTGTTAATATAATACAAAGTACATTAAATATGTAATGTTATTTTGTGTTGTAATTACAAAACCAGATATTTATATTTAAAAATATGTTTCAAATTTAGAGAATCATCTTTTGATTCGCAGATTTTATTTCTGGATACTAAACACTGGGTCGTTGACCACCAAAATTGTAATCCTAATAACTTTGACTATAAGCTCAATATGTAATAATAATAATAATAAAAACTATTTTGCTAAATGTGGCACAAATTAGTTCCCGCGGCTATCTTGACTTAATATAGACATTAAAATTAGATTAACCAATACTTGCATTTAATTAACACATATTTATACTTTATTTTGTTACTTTTATAATTAATTAACAATGTAATCACATTAAAAATTTGTTTTAGTTTAAAACAAACATTTTTAAAGCCCTTACTTCCGAATCCTGTATCAAATTATTTATTAGTTTGTTTCATAATTTATTGTCTTACAAATACATATTATATCATAATTTACAATTATATATTTATAAATTTTTAACATTTATTTTAAAAATGATAAAAACTTATTTAAAAACATTTTTGTTAAATTAACACATTTGGTGCTAATTTAAAAAAAAAACTTACATAAAAATTAACAATAATATAATAAAAATAAAACAATTAAATTGTAAAAATTATTCTTTACTTAAATTTAAATTAAATAACATATTCAATGATATTATGATAAAATTTTCAAAACAATTGTATTGTATTTGCAGATAAAATCAAATCAAAACCACTAAATTGTTTTCAATTATACCTAATTTTTAAAAATATAATTATACAATATGTATGTATAAATATTTATGTTAATTAAAAATAATGATTACAAACGCTGTGTTCAAAGCATTATTTCTTTGTTTTCTGTGACATCTTTGACATATTGAGTAAAACGCTTCAAAAACTTTGGATATTCACGTTTATATAAAGCCCTTAAAACAGATGCCGGCGCCCATCCGCCCGGGTTTACTATATTACAGGTGAAGGTAAAGATAAATAGGTAAAACAAATATGTGTTAATTCAATATTACAATCAATTATCACGTAAACAAGTTATCTAACATTTTAATTATATGTCAACATTAAACACAAAAATAATTTTAATATTATTTTATATATTTTAAAATGATTATTTACAAAGCTATTAACTAAAATTTTAACATGTGCCGGTAATATTTATTATAATCATATTAATTAATTGATTATAAATCATTTCTATAAAATATTTTTAATTACGGAATATTAATATGAATAAAAACTTTTACTTAATTTATATTTAAAACGTGTATACATTTATACAATACGTTTATACAAAGATATTTAACAATCTTTGGAAATCTTGAATTATCATTAAATATTTATTTTTATTAAAACAAAACATTTAAGATAATTTAATACTTATTTTATTTTTTTAATAGTAATTATTATTAATCAACTATTTATTGCTTTGTAATCTACAATTAATTTTATTATAAGACATATGATATAAAAAATATAATTATGAAATTTAATAGAAATTATTTAAGAATCATTCAATAAAATTGCGTAAATAAATGTTAATAAATAAATAAAATATAATTTATATATACAATTACACTGTTTAAGCTTTATTAAATTTTTCAAAATATTAGCTTTGATTTTATTATTTTAATACTATTTTATATATTTAAAAATAACTAACAAAAAGATATATACTAGAATATTTTATAACTATAAAATTCTAACATATACAAATATTTATCATAATCATTTTAATTAACTGATCAAAAATAATTTCTATAAAATATTTTTAATAATGATTTATAAAGATTAATAAAAAAACTTGAATTATCATTAAATATTCACATTTTTATAATAAAAATAATATTTAAGATATTTTATTACTTATTTTAATTTTTAGATAATAATTATTATTTATCAAAAATTTATTGAATTATAATAATCTACAATTATTTATATTACAAGACATATTTTTATCATATAAAAAGTACAATTAAAAAATAGTGGTTGGAATTTGAAAAAGTTACTAAAATTGGATCCCAATTACCGGTAATATAATTCAAGCGATAATGTTTAATGGAAATATATAAATAATGAAAACTTTGACCCCCTGAAAAAACACCCGTCCCTGGCAATTGTTGTTTCAATTTTTTTACCTATATATATATGTTTTTTGACAACATTTTTTGATAACAATTGATGTCAGGGACGGGTGTTTTTTCGGCGTCAGTCTCCATTTTTTCTATACCCCATTATATTTAAAATTAATTTAATAACTTTTAAATTATAATACCGATTGAGCCGTAACTTAATTAAGATATGTAATACAAATATTATCTCTTTAAGTATATAATTGAAATATTATAATAATTGGGATATAATTTAAACTACTTTTTCAAAACGCAACCACTGTTTTGCTAAAAATTATTTATGAATCATTCAAGAAAAATGCATAAATAAATGTTAATAAATAAAATAAATTGTACAGTATAAATGTTTTACTATATTTTAAATCTTATTAAATATTTAAAAATATTAGCTAAAAAATATAATAATAACAATTGTTTAAACTTAAGATTATATAGTTTTTTCTATTATAGATATTAGCACTATTATATAAATAAAACGATTAAAATAAATTTTACTATACATATAATACTTTATATATTTATATTATTTAATAAATAATTAATAAAGTAAATATTAAATGGTTTATTTAATTTTAAGATATCTTGATTTTATTTTAAATAAAAATATTATGGTAAATACTGTATAATAAATATATTAATAAATAGCTACACCATCTATTGTATTAGTTTTTAGCTTACAGGTATTTATAAATATATAAAATTAATTAATATTGATTTAAATAATTTAAAATAAATAAATTGAAATTGTTATAATAATAATTAAAAAATATGACTTACTTGTTGAGCAATAAATTATTTTACACTTTAAGTTATCTCTAGTAATCGGTTTTCCTTTTTCTGGTATAGGATTGATATATGTCTCACAAACTAAACTGACAGTCATTGTCATTCTAAGACATCTTCCTAACTGTTCTCAAAAAAATAATAATAATTAAAATTAATTAAAATAAAAATAAAATAATTTTGTTATTGAAAATTACTGGTATATTTGGTCTATCAGTTGAGTTATTGCAAACAATCCAAATATTATATGGATTGACACTATTTTTATTGTCATCATTTTGTTCAGTTCTTCGTATATGTGACCAGAAAGTGGTGTCCCTTTGAGCCGCCGGCCAAACTCTTTTGTGAATTTGATGAAATATTAATGTATTTGTATTTATTTCTTCAACCACTTTCATTGACTCCAATGTATTTTCCCAATCAAATCGTACGTCAGGACTAAAGAAATGGTAACACATTTCATGTCCTGAAATACCATTTACAACGTGAACAGCCTTTAATGGATCGCAAACAAGTCCATCGATTTCAAGTTCCCTTTTATATAATCTCATTTCTCCGTCTTCAGCGAATAGTTCCCAACCTTTAGCTCCTCCCTCACCGATCTCTAAACGTGAATAATATAATTGGTCTGTTGTTACTCTTTCAATCTCTGACCACAGAGGATGATCACAAACAGAAGGTAATGTAGGAGAGGGTTCACTCAAACTATTAGTCGCTAATTTCATTTGTCTTCTTTCCTGTTCTTCAATATCATTGCGATCAAGGGCTGCATCGACGGCATCAAAAAATTCGTCCTCTTTTATCATAGAGTGGGGGCCCTCCTCGTAATCGGGTCCACCGATTACTATCACGTTTTGTTGTGTCGATTCATTTTGATTTTGTTTTAGTATTTCTTCTAATTTCTTTCTCTTTTCAATCTCTTTATCGAGACGTCGTTTCCAGTTATCTTCTCTTTGATGCATTAGTTCAATACAATGAGAAAGAGTTGCAATTATACCGGCAGTCGTTGCCTTAAACGTAATCGCATCTCGTTTTAAATCCAATGAAATTGGACCCAATTCTGTGGCCACTTCTTTCACATGTTCTGCTATTAAAATTAGTGGTAAAACACAATAACTATTATAATTAATTTGTTATTACCTCCACTGTCATCATAATCATAATCCATATTATTTTCATATTCATCATCTACTGTAAAGATAATTAAAAAAAAAATTAAACCGGTAATCAAGATATCAAAATTTTCACAGTAATTACTTTTATTATGTTTAAGACAATTAAATGAAATAATTAAAGCTTTAAAATGGCAGAGACAAGTCATTTCAAATTAATCTTCAAAAATAAAGTAATACTTATATTATAATAATTTTTTTATATATAAAATATAATTCTAAAACATTTCAATAATAATTATTGTAATGACAATACAATTGTTTATTCAGATAATCAAACAATAAATTAATTGTTAATTAGACTCTAATGAGAAATAATTTATTTAAAAAATGTAAACAACAGGTGATATTACCATTAAGTTTGTGGTTTATGCCAACTGTTTGGGCGCACATATTGTAATATTTTTGCAACGATTCAACCTTTTAATTAAACAATCAATTGATTAATCCATAAATCACTAATAATTTAATTATTGAATACCTGTTGACATAATATATCTCTGAATGTCTCGATTTCATTCAACTTCTCTTTAAGACCTCTATTACTCTTAACGGACGTCACTGACCCTAAAGAAACAGCAGATCCGTGTCTTCGAAGACTATTATCACTTGAGTAGGCGCTGTCGTTGTGGTGTTGCTGAACAGATCATATAATATGATATTCATTATCATGTCATATGACATGCCTTACCCGATGGCCTTCAATGGCATCAACCCATCTGTTCCTCTCTTCAATGGATTGAGCCCTCAAATACCAGACACAGTCGGAAACTCCAACATCAAAGCGACAGTCGTCAAACTCATGCAACTGATCCATCAAAATAGATATTAATTAAATTTGTCTGACATATGTATAGATGTGGTCATACCTTGATCTGAGCCTTAATGATAGTGACGGCACCTCTGCATCCAAAAGCTGTTTCATCGGCGGACTTATAGTAAGTAAGAGTACCGTCTTTGAGAGCAATAAACCTCTGCTGCCATCCGTGGATATAATTAGTCCACTTCTGGAGCACGCCTTCAAACGGCGGTAATAAATCAGTACTATTGGTGTCTTTGACATCAGCGCCGATATCTTCATCATCGCTAAGACTCATCTGTTGAGACATAATTGCGACAAATGTTGTGTTTATGTCTTAATTAGTCATCAATTATATGAATATTAATATTAATAGTCATTCACTCATCACTTGTATTCATACGTCAAATACATTATTAATATTAATATAATTTAATAAACATTAAAATCCATTCAATACACACTAGAGCTAGGCGTTTGGAGGCGATAAACATATAAATACTTAATTAAATAAATACAGATAAATGGATTAATATATATACAAATATTTTATATAAAATAACACATACAAAATAAATCTTAAATTAATATCATATGATGTTTGAACTTATAATAAATAGTAATAGTAATAGTAATAGTAATAGTAATAGTAATAGTAATAGTAATAGTAATAGTAATAGTAATAGTAATAGTAATAGTAATAGTAATAGTAATAGTAATAGTAATAGTAATAGTAATAGTAATAGTAATAGTAATAGTTATAATTTGTATTGTCTTTTAAAATTCAAATTTTGTATTCATAAAATTTACTTATACTGTACATATAATGTAAGTAATTATATCCATAACTTGCCTCTTATGCCTACCTCTAATACACACATAACGTTCAGTTTATATACAGTACAGTACTGTAGAGTACGCTATCATTTTGTCATAACATTTAATATACAGTAATCTAATGTATAGACTATTACAGTATATGTCAAAATACTGTATACAGTATAAGACAATATATGACAAAAACTTATTGTATATAATTAAAAAAAAATACTTAAAATTTTCAATTATTCTTGTCATTAATTCTATACTAATATAAATTTATATATTATTCATAATATTTGTTAATTTTATAATGAGTGCCAATGTTGGCACAGTCTATGAAATACAGTGACAGCAATCATACCGGTATATTAAATGGTTGAATCAATTGTCGAAAAGTTAATAAATTTTGATATAATATTTGTATTTAATATTGTGTCCTAACATTCAAATCAATTGTATTCATATTTATAATAATTAAATATATTTTAATTTATAAATCGAAATTATTTTCAATTATAATTTATGATTTATTAGTGTATATTAATATAATGTAAAGTTTATAACTTAGTTTATAATAGGTTTCTAATTTGTTCTCAAATAGAAAATATTTATTAAATAGTTTTTTTGGAAATTCGACATTAAGTTAAATGTGTTTCAGATCACTATATCTATCAAAATGTTTGTTGAATTTGTAAATTAATACTATTTGTCAAACATTTTCCATTTAAAAACATAATTAGACTTAAATAAAAATAAAAGACATTTCTATTACATTACATATTTAATATTCTGTGGCAACAAAAATGATATAATTTAATTGTGAAACATTATATTTATATATTACATTATATAAACTTATATTTATATTATATTATTATTTATTTTGAATAAAGTAATTTTGAATTTTATATTACAATTTAATTGTAATATATATTATTTATATAAACATTAATATTCTGTAATATTGTAAGTTCTCTCAAAACATCCCAAACATACCCAAAAAGTAGACAAACAATTATATAAGCGCTGAATGTGTGACACTTGTGTTAAAACAGATATCTGTCCGCTTAAAGACCTGAGTCGGTTGACCCGTGATATCAATTGTAAGTAAAATTTTAAAATATTTTATAATATAAATAAATTTTAATTTTGACTTAAAAGTAATTTATAAAGTTAAATTTTAAAAAATTAATAAATTACTAGAAGTTTAAATTATTTTTATCTTTATCCTATAACTTGCAAAATATCTAATATTCAGAATTTGATTCAATAAATAAAGTGATTATAAGTATAATAATCTTTTTGAAATTTTTAAACATTTTATTTTTTTAATTCAATTTATAATTATACAGAATATATATCGATAGTACAGTATATGGTATATATATCTGTAAATACTTTTAAAAAATTATATTATATATATATATATATATTGTTAAGGATCAAAATACCACTATATTTTTAGCCTTAATTTTAAAATTTATTTGTATTGTATTTAACTACTGTATCTACTTTTAGTGCATTTATATCCTATTTTTAGTTACTTACCGTTCCTTATCATACCTATACCTAGAAGTACTGGTCATTAAGGCCATTCACTGGCACCACAATGACCGGTCAAATATCAACTATCATATCAAACCGTCTCTACATTCAAACTATCTAATAAATGCCTTTCCTTTCAAAACTACTACGACTGTATAGTATAAATACAGTACCAACAGTCAAACAGGCAGTCAGTGTTGTATTAGCAGTCATACCATACATACCTCTCACCACATATTGTACAACACGTGTACTGTTTTACTTACCATTGTTTTAACTCATTGTCTAAATTGTTAACCTTTTATAATAAAGTGATTACTATTGATATCTTGTGTCCAATCATTCATACATCAGTGACCGGTCTATAAAGTGACCACCAATTCATTACAGGCACCGACCGATCACTTAACTGAATCACAAGATATACCGCTCCGCTGGCCATACGATTTGGTTTGACATTCATTGAAGACTTGGATCAACCCATTGGCTACCACTCGTGTAGCACAACTGCAAGATCGGCTCATGTATCACCCGTTGGTCTAATAACGACTTTACTGGTGATCTTATAGTGGATATCTGTCTCATACCGACAAATATCTACTAGTGTTTGGTATCGATTAGACGGAAAGTACACGTCTCATACCGATCCACGCTAAGTACTGACCGGTCTATTTAGGCATTTATTGTCTGAGTAGACATTCCTCTGGAACTAAACAATACTACACACAACAATATATTTATAATTAAATATTTAAAGTCATTTATCATATATGATATTAATATATTAATTAGTGTTAAGCAATGTTTTGAATTTTTAAGGGGGTAGAGGGTGGGGTAAAATGAAAAAAAAACTTTTGCCAAAACACTTTTATTGCAGTTTTCAAAATTTCAAAATCGAGGGGTGGGGTCAATAGAAAATTGTGTGACATTCATATTAATGTATTCGTAATTTATAAATGAACATGTTCAATTGTTATATATATTTTCAAAATCTGATTAATTAAAAATTGTTAATTTGATTGTTAAAGCATTTCAATTAGAAATATGTGTTAAATTGAATTGTATTTAATCATTATAAATAAGTGATAATCGTAAGTTACAATTCGTATTTAACTTATTAAATATAAAAAAGTTTGATATTAAGTAAATTACAGAAAGAAATCTTTTAATATTATGTTAAATTTATTATAAATATTCATTTTTATACTAAAAAATAAATAGTATGTTTATTTTCAAGATGATGAATTTGTTAAAATATAAAATAATTTTTATGAATATAAATTATTTATTTTTTTAACTTTATGGATTCTTAAATTTAAATGTTTATATTATATATAATTTATGCCAAAATAATTTCACAAATATTTTACTGTTCAATATATTATACGTATTGATTAATTGTATTAAAATATATTGAACAGTAAAATATTTGTGAAATTATTTTGGCATAAATTAATCATAATTTAAAGATCTTTAGTCAACTATTTTTTTATTGTCTCCGATTTCGGCCAAACGTATTGCATATATTAAGCATAAAAAATACTAATACAAAAATTTTGGTTACATTGTGATGGAGAGGGAATTATTTTAAATAATGTAAACTTATTTTAATTAATGATAACTCTTAAATTACAAATCATAATTAAAATATATTTTCACTATTTTTTTGACGAATTATGGCATTATATGCTACTATGTATTTATGAAGAATATAATAAAAAATATATAATTAATTTTTAATTTATTACCCCTTGGTTATCGAAAAAAATTTAATAAAATCTTCCAATAATCTTTGATTATCAATAAAACCGATAATCGATAACTGAAATCTAAGATTATATGATAAACTTATGTGAATAAATAGTAAATTTTAATTTAATAATACAAATAAGTATTTAAAAAATAAACATTATGTAATAAAAATTTATATTTAATTATCTTTATTAATTTATTAATCAAAAATTAAATAAAATGATTAAAATAATGTTTGAATAGTAGTTTTTATGCTTTTAATTACGTGTAGCTAAAGAATGATTATAAATTTATTTTAGTAAACAAGTTATTTTAAAAATAAATGAAATAGTATTTAACTTTATAAACGTATTTGTAATAAGAGAGTTTCAAAATTATGTAATTAATTGCTATTACTTTTTTAGTCAAACATTAAATTATAATTATTAATTTTTGTTATAATTTTTAAAATAATTTAATAATTTGTGTGAAGTATAATAATTAACTGTTTATTCAGTAGTAATATGAAAAATTCAATTAGAGAAATGATAATATCATAGAGTTATCATCAAATTATTAGATTAAATGTTTTATACTAACCGAAAATAAATTAGTTTTTAATGTTATTTACAAAGAATAGAAAATTAAATATTAAATATTTAATAATTAAAAATCTTTATTATTATATTAAAATCAACATAAACACGACAATTAATTAATAGTATTTTTATAATATCCAATTAATAAATAAAAAGTTTTTTTAATTTATAATTAAGAATATAAACATATATTCAAAGATAGTATATAAACAAATAACTATATTAATGATAAACTTGAAAATGACAATAATTGTTGGCAATGATATTGTTATGATATAATGAATGAAAATGAAAATGAAATTTGATAAATATATTTAATTAATTAATAGATGACTTCATAAAGTGATGCTTTTTTATCTCCAGAACCGGTAACTATATATTTGTCATCAGATGAGATGTCACAACTCAGTACTGACGAAGACTCTTTTGACTGTAAATACAAACAAATCTATTATAATATCATTTCATTTAATATCAATTTATGAATCAAATACCTGAAAAATGGACGCTCCGTATGGTGTTCTCCAAGCATTCAATAGATTGTCTTTACCGGTGCTGACAAACCATTTGCCACAATTGGCAAACTTTAGCGATAATACACAACTTTCGTGTAAATGCAACTGATATTTGTCGGGTTTAGAGCAATGAAGTACTTCAACATTACTGCTCTCCATTCTGTTTATATTATTATACAAAATATTTCATCAATTATTATAACATTTGTTAAATCAATTGTCAAAACATACCCGACAGCCAACCAATCACCAGTTGGACAATAACCTAATGAAAATATTTGTGATGTAAAATCGTGTTGTTGTAGTTGACGACCCTTTAGTTTATAAACTATTAATTATCAATTAAAATCAAAAATAATAATTTTTAAAACCTCTCTGAGATCCCACGATCGGACAGTATTATCGAGACCACCAGTCCATAGTTTATTGCCATCACTACTGATGTCAATACAAGATGCCCCGTCTGTATGTCCTTGAAATTGGCGAACAAGTATTTGATTGTGAAGATCCCAAACTGCGATATTTCCATCACTGCAACAACTAAAACAAACTTTGTTGTCTGGACTTATGGCCAATGCATAACATGCCGGTGCAGATGATGTCAATTCAGCTTTTATTCTTGGAATAGTAGCGCCCAAATCCCATATACATATAGTACTGGCTTCTCCTCCAACTATAAGAGTTCTACCGTCGGGTAACAGTTTACACGAACGGATATAATTGTCTTTTTGCTATTTAACACAAATAAACAAAATTATATATATTTTTTTGTTTTACTTCATTTATATTTAAAATATATTACCAAACAATCCAATTGAGAAACAGGACTTTTATTCCCGGGTTGACTGATATCCCACACTTTAACACAACCTTTACCCCCAGTGTATACATATTTAGTGGGATTACTGATAGTGACGGCACAAACAACTTCTCCGTGATTTAGAGTATTTATTTGTCTGGCGTGTCGAGGAATCCCCGAACCGATGAGAGCATCGGGTGGGAAGGGAACGGGTTGTACTTGACCCTCAGCATTCACATGGAATGAATAAGCAGGCTTTCCTCCGGGTATAAAGCCAGGAGTTCGGAGTGAGGGATGGGCATCATATCCAGGAACCTATAAATATAAATATATATTATATAACAACTATTATGCATTAAATAATTAATTAAGTCTTACTAATCCTCGTGGATATGAATTAAGGGCGGGATTGATGTTGTTGTGCAACAATCCCTGTGAATAAGCGGCTGCGGCCACACTTAAATCAGCGGGTAGTGACGGGTGAGCAGATGGTGTTCCGTGTAAATAGGGAAAGGGAGGACCTGAATGAAAGACCAATATTTGCATTAGTTTATGATTTTTCAAAAGTGATTTTACAAACAGATAAGTGAAACAATATGTTTACCGATAGAAGTGGTAGGTTTAGGTGTTTTATTAGCGCTCGAACTCGGAGTTGTCGAGCCAGAGCTGGTCGGTGTTATTGGTTTAGACACAGGTGTAGGCGGTTTGTCAGCCTTTCATACATCAAACAAACAAACAAACAAACAATCAAATAAATTAATAACAAAACAATTGGCTTATATTGTCAACACAACTCTCTATTTGCTTTAAAGTTTACTGTTATTATAACAAATATAATTCAAATAAATATAAATATAGTTTAAATCAATAGACATCATAAATATAAAATATATAATAAAAGCAAATTTGGTCTCTAATAGCATCACACATAGGGATATGGGATTAGGATATATAAATATATTGTATATTATATGTTTGTATTTCATACAGAGTGCTCTTTAGGTTTTATTGACAGAGGAGTACTGCTGTTAGACGACGATCCCGATCGGGAGGGCGGCCGCTCTCGTTCCCGCTTAATACGGACATCTGCACCGTTCTCACGGGGAGAAGTAGAACCATTGCGAGGGGAGATGGGCTCCTATACCAGTAAAAACATACAAACATTTTGTTTTATTAGTTGTCATTTTATTATTTCTCGTTGTATATTAATTATGTATTTATTATTATATTAAAATGCTGTTTATGTTATCTATTAATTTAATAAACAAATTACAAATCAATTTGTGACTTCTTTGTATTGAATAACATATTTATAACATGTATATCATGTACTGTTAATTGTCATTTACAATATCTACAATACAATGCAGTATATCATTACAATATACAATATTAGTGAATAAAAATACTATGCAATTAGTCTTCTCAACAATTGTTGTAATTGTTATGTCAAACCAAAAAAGTCAATCAATTATCTATTATGTAAATTATTTTCTAATCAATTATCTACACTTGCAGTTGACTCGTATAGACATTAGCATGTAATCAATAAAATCAATGATTTACACAACACATATATAGATGTCTTGTAAATATACTGTATATAAACTACAAATATATTATTTAGACATTATATATATATATATATATATATATATATATATATATATATATATGTATGTATGTATGTATGTATGTATGTATGTATGTATGTATGTATGTATGTATGTATGTATGTATGTGTGTATATATATATGTATGTATGTAGGTATTATGTATGTATATGTTTGTGTGTATGTATGTATGTATWTATWTATGTATGTATGTATGTATGTATGTATGTATGTATGTATGTATGTATGTATGTATGTATGTATGTATGTATGTATGTATGTATGTATGTATGTATGTATGTATGTATGTATGTATGTATGTATGTATGTATGTATGTATGTATGTATGTATGTATGTATGTATGTATGTATGTATGTATGTATGTATGTATGTATGTATGTATGTATGTATGTATGTATGTATGTATGTATGTATGTATGTATGTATGTATGTATGTATGTGTGTGTGTGTGTGTGTGTGTGTGTGTGTGTGTGTGTGTGTGTGTGTGTGTGTGTGTGTGTGTGTGTGTGTGTGTGTGTGTGTTTATATACTTTATATATATTTATAGATATATATGAACCTCATTGGCCACATCCACAACCAAATCCTGATCACTCTTTTCGTCTTCACTGCCCTGAAGTATATAAACAAACATTTGGTTAGAAATTTATTGATTGTCTAAAAAATGAGAAAAGTTAGGCTTGACTTACATTGTGATCACTTTTTTCTATATCTTTAGATCTTCTCTTGGATTTAATCTCTACTTCAGGGGTACGACTTCGATGTAGTGTACGTTCAGAGTGTGGCGAAAATGATGCTCTCTATTCAAACGCAATGATATAATGATATGACAATTATTATTAGCCATCGGTCACTAACATAGAGATTAAATGCTTATATGTTTTGATAAGTTGGTATAAAAAGTCTGATCTTAACTCAGCTCATAGTATGTATATATCTGTATGTTTGGCAATGCATTCATTGATTCACTATTTTCCCCGCATTTGATTCGCCTTTTTGATCCCTCATCTCATCTATCCATTGATAATCATCTTTTAGCCAATGAGTTCATTCATCAATCTTTTTAACGCTCTCTGCACTCAAATCTATGTCTCAAATACTGGCATTCAATGTATTACTAAATCACTCATTCATTTTAGATTTGGTCTCAAATTCTATGTTCACTCAATAACTATTAAAAATGTTTTTTTGTTGTATTGAAATATCAACAAAATAACAAATAACTAACAGCTTATTTTTTGTTTTGTTATTTAAAACATTGTATTATTGTTATATTTTCAGCATATAAGAAAAAATCAAATATTACATTACTATATAACAAATATATATTCATATTTTACTGGCATTTTATGTATTAAAACAGTGTAGATATGCATCGTTCATAACTTGAATATACTGTATATTTATATTTTTAGATCGATTTAGAAAAGTAATGACACGAAAGGAGAGAGAAATGAATTTTTATTACATTCTCAAGTCATTTAAATACTCGACATAAAAGGATTTACTATCTGTCTAAAGATTTTCAATACCAACTATATTATAGACAATACATATCAAAACAAATGAAACTATGGTTTAGAAAAATAAAGTCAAATGGAAGACAAAAATAAAATAAAAGAAATACTCTATAGAAACACAAGAGAGAGAGAGAGAGAGAGAGAGAGAGAGAGAGAGAGAGAGAGAGAGATGAGGAAGAATAAGTATAACATATGAGACGAGAGAATAATCGATAAAGAGATTGAAGTGAGAAAAGCGAATCCATGGCTTCCCGGGAGAGAAACGTCTCTTTTTTATATAGAGTGTCAATAGATATGAGATATTTTTAACAGTACATACATTTATCGTATAACTTACAACTAGTTTTATATAACTTTTGGGCATAAAAGTGAAAAGTATAGTATTTTTCAAATAAGCTTAAAATAAATTGAAATTTCAAAATGTTTGGATTGTGTGCTATTTATTCGATTTTTGTTACTCTATATTGATATACAGTATAACTTATATACCGTATATTCTACAGTATATAGTATTTTACAATTTATTTTTGCAATTGTAAGACTAGTAAAAAACATTTTTTTATATTAATATTTAAAATTCATATTCAAAATTAAATTCACATTTTATTGTTGAAAAAATATCATAACATAATGTTTTTAGTTTTATTAAACAAAAATCATACCTCTCTTCTGTCATCTGGTTTTTGTGTCCAAATAATTCATAAAAACATAAGAAAAAATAGAGAATAAATAAAAATGTATTAAAAATCAATTTGTGTTAAATGTTGGATATGTATAATATGTGTATAATATTCTATAATATGTATGTTTACTGACCATTAAAAGCTCTTTTTTCATTGTTTTCTCTATGAGACGACTCTTTTGAAAGGGTTGTCGGGATTCCGGGTAAATGAGATGAGTTATTGTTGTTATTTGATGCGACAGAGGAGACGCCCGTTAGTGATCCGGCCGCAGACAAAGCTAGTAATCCAGCGGCCGCTGAACTCGAAGGAGGTATTCCAGCGGTTAGAGCTGCGGCGGCTGCGGCTGACGACTGCGGAAGGCCAGTCAGTGACGGATGTGGCATAAGTGGTAGGCCAGTCGGTCCATGGGAATGGGCAGATGGCAATTGCTGGGCATGGATTTGTTGCTTTAGTTGACATAGAAATACAAATAATTTTGCTATTATTGTGATACTTATGAATAGAAAATGTATATCAAATGAAATTAATGACAACAAAAGCGAGTAATACTACTCTAATTCAAGTCGAGAGCTATTATATGAACGCAAACCCTGTTTTTCGCTTCACTTCTCTTACATAAGCATATAGAGAGTGAATGAATGTGTGTGTGTTTGAGGGGTATAGAGATTACACAGAATCGCTATATTATGTTTGACAGGGCATAAGCCCATCGTCAGGGTTGCCCTCACTAGTTGGCCGTCACGGTGTGCCAGTAGAGCACTAACAGCACCAGAGCTCAGTCATCACACATGGAATTCATAATATTCTATATGTATGTGCTATTCATATATAGTATGTGTTATTTTGTCTAATAATAAGAGAGTTAGTGAGGAATCCTGTGAAACATAAATGCGTGAAAATAATGGCTCAACCATTGTGTGTAAGAGTACGGCGTCTTTTGGGGTTTTATGCTCTGATGACTTGAGAGAAATACTACTAACTATATACCAGTGCAGTGAATATATATATATAAACTATTATAGATATAAGTATAGCCTTTGAAAAATAATGTGAAGCACAACCTCTAACTATAGTCACAACTATTATTGTGTCCAAAAAATTTTCTCATTCTCTCACTTCACGGCATTTCTAAAACAGAATTTATTTTTTTAAAGGGAATGTCAGCTAAGCGTTGAAGGACTTCCACCGACAACATACTCAGTACAGAGAGAGAGAGAGAGAGAGAGAGAGAGAGAGAGAGAGAGAGAGACTTAAGTATAACATAATTGACTTGACTTACCATCAAATGAGCGATTCCTGAGTGCTGTTGCTGTGAATACAATAGAGATTTCAAATATTAATATATTGTTATATCACTAATGACTGACTCGGCTCTCAAATTAACAAACAACTGCCGTCACACTACACAACACTCAATAATAGTTAACTCTCTAATGACTTTAAACTTAATATTATTATTATTTATATATTTAAAAATTAAAGTAAATTACATAAGCAAAACTAATAATAAGTAAATGTGATTTTTGTTTTTTTTTAACTACTTGTCTATCTTTTGTTTTTATATTAAATAAATAATTATTACATGAAAGTAAACATAATATATCAAAATAAATATAAAATTTATCAATGAATTGATTTTATATATACAAATTAGAGCTATTAACAAAAATTAATTAATTAATTAAGTGGTCAATACATACCCCGATAATAGCATTAAGTTCAGTCATAGTCACCTGTTTGGCTCTTTCGACAGCACTGGCAACTTGTTGTTGGTGCTTATTATATGGCAAAATAAATAAAAATAATAATTATTTTTATAACAATTTATTATATTATTTATTTGTAAGTGTCTAAAGCAATGTGTTGTGTTATATTTTATAATTAGAGTCAATTCATTGTATTGTCAATTGAATATATAGTAAATATTTAATATAATGTATTATATAAATGGATTGTTTGTCAACAAAATACAGTATATATATATATATATACTGCAGCTTTATATAAGAATTTACAGTATATATATATATATACAGTTTATACAATATATATAATAATAATAATATAAATATATAGCAATGTTTGAGTTGAATGTACACATAGAGTAGGTTTATATGATTGTTAGCTCTGTTGGTAAATATTCTACATTTAAGTTACTTTCATTGCTTTCATTGCTTTTATTGTGCAATCGATCGCTTCAATATTGGCTTTACTCTGTGTGTTGTTGTTATCGGCAAAAATAGCACCGGCACTGGCATACAGTATTCAATTGAATGATGTATTGTTAAAGCATGTAACGCATACTATACAACACATTCATGTTAAGTACACAATCAGCCAAACATAGAGGAAAGGGAGAAAAAAGAGAGTATAGAGAGAGGAAAGGCACTGCAAACAGACCAGATTCTGGGCATCAATATTGACTGAGAGATTGCTAAGTAAAGTTGCTCTAAATGTTTGGTTTGAGCTCAATGTATATTTAGGGTCCCCGGAGGCAACTCTCATAGCAAAACATTACTAAATGGGGGGTTAAACAGGGGATATCAAACATATTTTTATTTATTACATAGAAATGGTAGTACAGTATAAAGTGTATATTACTGATGTCATCTCTTTTAGTCAATTTTAATAAACATTGTCTCATTTATTTCTAAGTTATTATTTATATTAATATATTATTATTATTATATATGTATATGATTTTGAGCTTAAAAATTATAAGTTATAATAAAAGATTCAAATAAAATTAATTTATTATTTAATTTCGTTTATAAACAAAAAGTGAACTAGAGTATCTTTTATTTAATATAAATAGTAATTATTATTATTATTAAAACTTACATCAATATAAAAATATGGTTTATTTGGTTTAATGGTTTATTTGTTTATTTTAAAACTAAAATTTATTTGAATTAAAAATAAAATGTGAGATTTATATAATTACTACTTTGTTTTATTATTTAGTTTTTAAGCAAAAAAATTAAACCTAATTTAAGTTTTTTAAATGACGCTAGAAATAAAAATAAATACAAATTAAATCCATGCTATTAACTTATATATTTTTAGTTAACTAAATTAATTGAAATAAAAAACAAACAAAAAATAAAATTTATTGCACTAACAGATAATAACTTGTTTAAAAATAAATATTTATTATATTTAACAAAATAAAAATAAAATTGTTAAATATTAAATGACTATCAGTAATATAATAAAAAATATCACAATTTTCATATTTATATTTAGATAAAAATATTAAATTATTGATATATTTACAAATAAATACAGATTACATTTAATAATAAAATAAAATTTTACAATATATGTAATAAATTTAAATATTTAACATATAATGACTTACCTCTTGTGATAGAAAAGGTAATATTTGTGCGATAATAGCATTTAAACGTTTGGCAATTTCTGTCTAAAAATAAATTATAATCAAAACTATAAATAATTGTATTCATATATATAATTCAAATATAATAGTTTGTTAATTTATAAACAAATAAATTATTTTTGTAAACATTGTTTATCAAAATTAAATTTATAATTTTATTGACTTAATTAATAAAGTAGTATATAATTTGATCAAATATCAACATGAAATAAAACACAAATGAATTGTAATTTAAATATAATTTATTAGTATTTTTAAAAGTATTATTTAAATTTTGAAATTAAAGTGTTGTATAAAAATCAGTATTAATTAAATAATATTTGTCTCTTAAAAGCTATTAAAGTTAAAAAATAACATCAATAAATAATTTATAATTATATTTATGTTTTTCATAGACACTGAATATGTAAAATTTTTATAATTAATTTACATTATTATTTTTCTTTTTTTCAGTTATAAGTTAATAGTAAAACTGAGTTGTTTTTGTTAAATAATTCACTCAATTAATGCAAGTTTTTAATAATAGATTTGTCTAATAACGAGATCTAAACTAAACTAAAATGAAATGTTAATAATGTGTTTAGAGTTATAAAACTATTGCTTTCGTCCAAATTGAACACACAATTGATTGCTTAGACAATAGTTAGATAAATATATGGATAGATGTATGCCTTTAGATGGCATCTGATTAACAGTTGTGTCAAATAATGGCATTCAATACTAAAAATCTCATATACAGTATATTCTCTAAAAAGGAGAACTAATTTAAGAACAAGAGTTTTAATACTATATTATCGACAAAACAATTGCAGAGAGAGTTTGCTTGTGTTTGACTCTCAAATGACTGGACAGTGTTTGCACACAAATGTTTTGTTGCAATCTTTACATAACTTAATTGAATTCAGACTTTTCTACAATCAATCTCTTGGGAGAGTTAGAGACACGACTGCAAAGTTATTAAACAAATTGTACACAACTTTTAATTCATATTTGGTTTTTAGATGACCACTGTTTTGAAATCATTTTTTAATAAAAATAATTTAAATAAAAGATTACTATTTATGTATTGATTAACAATATTTGCATAAAAATAAATGCAATTTATTATAGAATATGTATATATTTGAATGACATTAACAACATAAGTGGTAATAAACTCTTAAATTAATAAACAAAATACAATTTGAAAGGTTTGCCAAAACAGTGTATTGTAAACATAATGACTAAACAAACGTTGGATGTGTTGTTAAAGGGAAGGACAAAGAATATTCTGGTGAAGTGTTTGTTTGCTTTTTACTCAAATAATTATTACTTTTCTTTTCATAAATGTCTGGCAATGATGTAAAATAAATAGAGTATAATATTCATTAGTATTTACATGTTTTATATGTTTGATTGCGTGCTATACACTAATACTGTATACTCTTAATTGAGTTCAACTCAAAAGCACTGCAAAAACGCTATTATATGGCATTCAGTAAATTGCAGACAACAATACAATAGAGTATTAAACAAAATACATGGTATACATCACTCGCATGTTTGCTATTTATAACATGAAAACCTATGAATTCAAGTACTAAAAGCTTATACAAAACATTATGATATGAGAGGAGAAATGCATTATGTATTGTATGATATTATACGCCCAAAAATGGCACAACGCGTGAGACGATACCATTAACGCATTCAGATGACGACCCACTCCTACCATCACATCATACAACATACACATCACATTCACATTCACATTTATTAAGGCATACCAGCGCTCAAACACATCACTAGCAATACATTTTATACACTATTTAAGTAGTAAAGAGAAAAATGATAGGAGAGGCCAGGGAGTAGTAAAGGGACATCACATACATACACATACTTTACACTCTATGATAACAGAATTTTTCATCAATTCAATTATTTGGGCGCATATATACATCTATTATATACAATTTAACCATAAATCAAACATACAATTTGTGATATACTTGCAAATCCCTATTCTCTATCATCTCTATCTCTCAGTGAACTCTTATGACAAACCCATTGATAGCACCATTGAATTCAGTTTAAATAATAATAAAAATATATTAATATTTATTCTTTTTTAAACTATACATAATTAACCATTTAATTAATTTACTTAATTTATATTAACACAAATAACATGTTTAGTTAACTATTGATTAAAAAAATAATTTTAGAAAAGTTATTATAGAAAGTAAAAATGTTATGTAAAAAACAATTGAGTTAAATCTATTTCATTATCAAAATTTATTACTTATTTTAATAAATTAAAATTAAATTACTATTGTTAGTCGCTATATATATTTATAGTATATATTTTTTGTAATATTAATTACAATAGAGAATTTGTATGTTTATTGAAACAAATTATGTTCAAACATCATAACATAATCTGCTTGTGCTTACTATTTGAATGCCTTCCCTAATGTTGACCTAATCTTATATTTCTCTTTGATTTTTCTATAACAACTAAAAATATATAGTAATGTATTGTGTATACAATATCAACATAACTATTTACATAATATACAGTATAAAAAAATAATATAAACTATTGATGATTTGTTATTGATTTATGATTATATGATTCATATAATTAGATATTTAATTCAATGTCACATACAATTAGCATTTTCTTGTTATATTATCTAAATTATATACCGTACTGATGCATACAATAATTATATATATATATATATAATAAATTGATTTGATTACATTGCATTGCATTTTATAAATACATGCATTATTTAGTCTTGTTTTTACATAAATAGTAATCACTTTAATTTTTATAAATTGAGAAAAATTGTAAATTAATAAACTTTAAATCTTATATTATTTTGAAATTATATATTTTTATAACAATTCGTAATTTATTTTAAATCTCTAACTTATTTGTAAAATTTAAACTATTATATATAAACAACATTTATAGTACAGTATATAAATGTAGTGATAATTTCAAAATTAGTAATTATTATATGAAAATTTATTCTATAATATAATTATATAATAGTAATTTGCAATGGCATAAGCATTTACTTGTTAACTATAAATATATAATTATGTGAATACATAGTTAATTTTGCACAAAATGTAAATGCAATTTAAATGTGTTAGTATATAAACCACTAATAATATTAATAATAAGTTATTATAGATTATGTTATGTCATAAATGATATTAAATTTTAAATACATATAAATTATATGTACTATAGATTATCAAATCCTATATTCTTAAATAAATGAATACAATTTTTAAAATCTTAATTTACTTTAATAAAAAGTAAATTTATTGAGAATATTAAATTAGTAAATAATAATTTTTATTTTTTAAGTAAGTTATCAATTTAAAAAAAATGAAATAAAAATTATTCCATATTCATCAATATTTTAAAATTCACATTTAAATTTATATATTTAACTTATAGATTATTTATATGAATTGATATATACTATCATATGATTAAAAGTAAAATACTATAGATATTTATCATGTGTTTATTATATCACTCAACATAAATACTGTATTTACAAATTTAATTTTTAAAATGTTATATAACAACTAATGAATAAATATATTATGTAAACGATTGTAAAAGAAATAATATTCAATCGATTGGCAAACAAATTGATACTAAAATAATATGTATATTATATTTTATATTACGGTAATACTATGAATTAATATGAATTTCTTTATATATATATATATATACTGATATATAATGTATATTTTGTAGATTTATACCAAAAATAAGCAGTGAGTGAGTGAACAAATAATTGAGAAAAAAAATATAATTAATGATTATTGTGAAATGTGTTGAAAAACTACATATTGTAAGTACAACATGATATTCAAAGCTTATATAAGTGTTTGTGTGAATATAGTATACATGACTAAAATTTAGTCCTAAATTTACGCACATTTAATAATAAAAACTATTCACAAAAATGTTTATCTTTTTATAGGTACATAAAATATATTTATGTTTATTTATATACAAATACTAAATATAAACAAATATTTTATTATATAATATAAATATAGAAATCAGCAAGTATGCACAGTATAAACAATATATGGTATAATAATTTGTAGCATTTTATTGAGTTAATATTAAAATAAATATTATATTTTTTTTAAATAAATAGTATTTTAAATAAAATACATTTTAAAAGTTGATGTCATAAATATTAATTAGAATAACTTTAATGTTAAATATATAAAAATGTTTATTATATAAAATTTGAACTTAAAGTTAAATTAAAATATATTTGAGATTATATACAGTAAACTAGTTGTTAAATGCGAGTAATTTGACTATAAATTTAGTTGTGTACGTGCACTGGGATCACATAGACAATTATGTCTCTATCGTGACTGTGCCCATTTGATACCCTCCCCGTTGGTCATCATTGAATGAACACATACTATATATACTATATATCATATATATATACACAAGTTTTATGAAGAGCTGAATAATCTCTTGGAAAAGTGGGAATCGATTTTTATATGTGCTCTCACTTACTGTACATCAGATACATAGTATATATCCATACGATTTGGTTTACAAGTAGAGTGTAAAGAGACAAGTGGTGTGTGTGTGTGTGTGTGTGAGAGAGAGAGAGAGAGAGAGAGAGAGAGAGAGAGAAAAAATAAAGGCATTGATTGTGAGAATCTTTGAAAAAGTAATAATACACATGAAATGTTTGGTAAAAATAAATTCAAAAATTGTAATCTTTCTTTTGTAAGCAAACATTTCAATGATATATTGTTGGCATAAGTTTATCCAAAACCATAGATGCTTTCGGTGTGTGATATTTAATCACAACAACAATAACTATTTTAATAGAAAATACTTTATGTCAAATTATAAACAGCTTTAAACACTTAGTTTTATTATTTATTTAAAGAAAATATTATTTACAACATTTATTGATACATAGTTTTAAGTGATAGACAAATAAAAATTTATTACGTTTATTTATTAAATACAATTAAATTAATTATTAAATTTAATAAAATGTTTTCTTATATTAACTTTAATATATTAAATTATAGTAATTATCAATATTTATTGTTCAGCAAAATTGTTCATTTAATTAATATTATATTAATATAATGTTCACTAAGACATTGTTAGAAAAGCTACAATATTTGTCTGAACTTCAAAAAATTAAAAATAGTGTGAATATAGTTAAAGTAAATCAATGTTAGAGTGAATGGATTTTTTTGTCAAAATAAGTTAATTTGCAATCAGTTGGGTTGACTACAAAAATACAAACTCATTTGTCAGCTTTTATGACATTGATTTTATATATATATATACATATTTATATATATATACTGTATATATGTATATATTTGTGTTGTAGAAAATTACATGTGAAGTGTATTGAACCAAAAGTGTTAATTACTATGTAATAGCAGTTAATTTTGACATTGACTTTAAATTAACAAATTAAATCATTTAAGATTGAAAATCTCATACTTGGGGTCTGAGGTTCGAAACCAATTGAAATTCAATTCTTTTAGCTTATAAGCCATGTAATGAATTTGTAACATTTTGGTTCAGCTTATTATCACGTATTTGATATAAATATTTTTTTTTAATTTACTAATAAAATAATTTCTTTTAGTTTTCACATTATGTTAAAAGTTTTAGACTAACTTTAAGGTTAGTATAATTTAGCAATAAGCCAATAACATTCTAACATATTGTTTATCTATTTTTATTAGTTTTATATTATACAGTATTAGTTATTATAGATTATATACAGTATGTTGTGATTTCGATTTTATTGCTTTTAAAGTTATATCGGTATAAAATGATAAAACAATTTAATAATAACAATAATGCAAATAACATTAATACATACAGTATTATAATTTACATATTTTATACATATGTGAGAGTAAATATACTGTATTATTTAAATCATTACATAACAAATACAATAAAACTATTTGTTATAAAATGATTAAAACAATACACTGATAGATGATGTCTGTGCGCACCGAAAGGCGCCGACAATTTACGACTCATGAAAACCATGGCTTCACTCAATCAGTCATTTGTATGACATTAATGTATTGTTGATCCACTTCTTGTGCTTATAATACAGTATACATTATGTATGATATATACAGTAGATTATAATAAATACATATACAGTCAATACTGTATAATACTATATATAATAATTCTGGTTTTACCCCAACGTTATTACCACTCAACACAAACATTAACTGTTGGTATGAAAGCTAAAGAGACAAACTTCTCATAAATATAATATCAAATAAAAAGTAATTGCAATCTTGTGTTTAATCTTTGAGAAAATGATCAAAATATAAGTTATTTAATTGAATTTCATATTCAATAGAAATAATTATTTGTTTTAATGTTAATTTGTATATACAGGTAATAACTAAATAATTTTCCAAAAAATAATTTCTCTTATTGAGACGTTTCACTTATATTAATATAATAGTATATTATTATTCATCCAAAAAGTTATTACAGACTCGTATTTTAATAGTAATAATATTTAGCAATCATTTTAAGTACAATGAATGGTTTACTATTGGCTTAGTTTGATTTGAAAAAAACAACACCAAAGATACAGTAGATGAATAGGGTATATATTATACTGTGGTGTATATACTGTATCAATGTGGATATAGATAGATAGATAGATAGATAGATAAAGAGGGGAAAGTAAAATATAATAGTGTAAAGATAATAGTGTCTGAATTGAATATATACAGTATATATTATATWTATTATATATATTTTGGTATAGTATATAAGTATATATACGTGTGATGTGATGCGTGAGACAGCAAGCAATACGTGATTGTCTCGTGAGTTACGCATCGTTGGTGTCGTATTGCAGGCAATACTGTATTGAACGTCATTAGCAGACAACTGGCCGTACATTCAATAACTTAACGCTTAGACTGTTGTCTAACCTCTTGTTTTGTGTTAGACTCTGACAGTCACCGCCACTGCCATCACCAATGACTATATGGTTTGTGCACAGCCTGTGAATGCTATACTAGATTAGTGGTGCGCTTAATAATTTCAACATAACATTCATTGAAATCATGTAATTTACAGCATTTGTTACACTAATACCACTTATAAGCAATTTTGTAAACTCGTCTCTTACTTCCCCCCAAACCATATACAGTATATTATTGTATACCATATCTATAGGCAGACCCATACGTCAAATTGATGGCTTTAAAAGTTTATTAATAGATAATGTGATGAATTCATATAACAAAAGCATAACATTTTAAATATACTATGAAATTATAAAAATTTTATAGCCATTACTTTAATAATAACATGACAATCAAACAACGTTTTTAAAACAATTTTTTAATTTAATAACTTTAGGCTATCTGTTTGTTTAACTAATTAATTTGTATTTATTATTTATTTTAAAAGCTTATATTTGAATGAATCGATTAAATTCCTAATAATTAACGAAATAATATACAGTATAAATAGTATACAGTATAATATATATATTTTAATTGTAAGTATTCAAACTATTCAAAAATTAAGTATTAAAACACAATTTATAAAAATCTTTTCCTCTAATTAATAATTATTATTAATGCTATGAAAAGTTGATTTAAATTAATTTATGAATTGAATTAAAATAACATCAAAATATATACTAATACTTATTTATATATTTCTATTATATTTAAAATTCAGAAAATTAATAATAATAATAATTTAATAAAAATCAGTACATATGCTTTCGYTGTGTATATAGTGTTAATATTATATTATATATAATATGTTATTATTAATAAAATGTATTGTTTGACAAGTCTTGCATTAGTAAAGTCTAAATTAGCGAATGCTATCATATAAACACAAATATACAATATTTACTACAATTGAGATAACCATACAATTATCTCTCTCTCTCTCTTTCTTTCTTTTTTTAAATCATTCAAAACTTAATTATTACATGAAAATTAATAATAATTATTTAGTTAACAAAAAATAAAAATGTAGGATTTGAAATAATAATAATAATTAATTTTAATTTTCATGGTTACTACAAATGATTATAAAACACGTTTTGAAAAAGTTTTGTTCACAATATGATATATAATAACTATAATTCAATGTTTCTTTCATTTTAAATGTACAGTAAAAATATGTTATGTCAACTTATAATCAAACATATAAACAAACATAATTGTGTTTTATTTACAGTATATAATATTATATTTATTTCTAAGGGATGTACTGAGAAAAATTGATGCATTCATTTGTTAAAAATAACAAATTAATGGCAAATATAATTGAGTGTAATTTGTAGCTCTAATATAATAATAATGATAAGTTATATATATATATTGCAAAATATTGTGTAGTAGTTTTAAATCACATCATTAATGTATATCATGTGTAGACTGTTTTGATTTGCATCAAATCATTGTATTTAGTTATTTTTGCCTAAATCTGGGTATAAATCATCAATTGAGTAGTTAATGCATTTAATGCTCTCTCTCTCTCTCTCTCTCTCTCTCTCTCTCTCTCTCTCTCTCTCTGTGTGTGTGTGTGTGTGTGTGTGTGTGTGTGTGTGTGTGTGTGTGTGTRTGTGTGTAACGAGATTATACGAAAATATATCATTAGTATTAAAATTATTTTATAAAAATGAAAATAATATATAATATTAAATTACATATAAATATAAAATAATGTTTAGTTTTAAGTAAATTTATGATTGCTTACTTGTTTATGCATTTCTACATTCAATCCATAAGACATTTCGTAATACTAAATAGAAATATAATTAAAAATTTATTATATAATGAAAATATTAAATGTAGATATAGTTTCAGAGACTTAAATAAATTAAATAATTATCAAATATAACAAACCATAACATAATGTCTTTGCATTTCAGTCTTTTCTGTCGCCAATTTCTCCAATTCAAGCTTTAAACTAACAATTAATATATCATTATTTATAGTTATGAATGAATATATATATATTTATCAAACAAATAAATAAATTGAAACATCAAGTGGTCATTACCTGTGATACTGTGCCTGAATAAAGTTGAACTCTTCCTTAATTCGTTCACACGTTTCCGTTACCGTGAATTTAAACGGTTGTCCCGCTTGTGGCGGTCCCTAAAAACATAATTGTTTGAAATTATTAATACAAACAGATAGTATAGTATTTAATTGTCAATAAAATAAATAAATCATCAATAAACATTTTGCAAATAATTTTTATTAATTAATTATTAATTATTAATAATTTCAATTTGTCTAATAATACCTTTAAAGTATGTATAATATGTATAAAGTTGTGAAAAAATTATAATAAACTTAATTTTTGAATATTTATTTAAAGAAAATCAATTATACTACTACTGTATAATCAAAGATTTAAGTAAATTAAATAGTTTGAATCAAATTACATTTTTTAAATATCGAAAAATATTATTTAGTTTTAAATAATTTTTAAAAATTATTATAGTAATAAAAACTGTATTATGTGATGTGATATAATTATTATTATTATTACTACTAAATATTTATTTAATCATGTAATATGCAAATAATATAACGCTATAATTAAATTGTAATTTTATTATTATTGCTACTTTGATAGCAATGTTAGAATTGAATAATTATAGTATTTATATTTAATGATATTTTATATTTAAAATATATTTTAATACATTAGAATCTTATAAATTTTTATTTAAAAARACATAAAATAATAATTTAATAATAAATAATTTAATTAAATCCATATTATTTTATTGTTTAATTTATAATAATAATTTCTGTCAATAATAGTGTGAATAAAAATAAAATTATGTCAAATTATTAGATTTAGTATAATTATTTATATAACATATACGGTGCAAATAACTGCAAAAACTAATATTATATTAGTTATATAATAAAAGTTATTATAATAATGTTTATGAATCTAACAAATTAACGACAATCTGAACTGAAGGTTATAACAATAAAAATAATTTTAACAAATATTTGTTTTTCAGTTCTTTATATTACTAATAAAAGACTTGTGTTGTGTTGTCTGAAATGCGATAATAAAATATTAAATCATAAATAAATCATAAATTGTTTAAACTTCATTGAAAAGTTAGTGCACATCACTTATGATAAAACTAATAAAACTAATAAATATAATAACATTTTATAACATTGTAAATTTATTTTAGAAGTAAACAAAATCAATATAGATTTAAATGATTATTGTTATATTAAATATATTAACAAAATAAAAAATATATATATAATCACTAATTTTGCAAATATGAAAATATTTAATTAATATTTATAGTAAACTGTAGTCTCACATACCGGATGTCGTGAATTATACATTATATAAGTGACACAAATTAGTTGTGACTCTCGTTTAGTTTAGATTCACTTTACAAACCAGAAGTATTGCACAGAATTTTATTTACAGAATTTGAAAAATGTATTATTAAAATGATTTGTATGAAAATGTCAGTTATTGTGGATCACAGTCACAGTAACCTTAATATTAAATATAATATTAGAGATGACAGAAGGATTGACTCATCACAAGAAGTTTGAGTCCATCAAAAAGTCAGTAACAGATGTGGTCTCAACTACTGCTGCACTCAATTCACATCAATGGTGGCCAAACCAACACAAGACACTGATATGCTTTCACTTATACATAAACACTATCTGTGATACACATACACACACACTCTCTCTTTCTCCCTGTGCTTATAGAAGCCAATCGATAATATGTCACAAAACATATAAACATAGAGAAAAAATCGTTCACAAACTTATATGTATATATATATATAATAATAATATACTGTTTGTTCTCCCAGTGCTCTCTCCCTGTGCGCAATATACCAAATAAACAGCACTTCACTAGCAAACTAATGTCTTGTATTACAGATAGACATACAATTCACACACAACTTATTAGAGATTGATAAAAAAGTCAATTATTTCTAAATCTCAATTGATTCAGTCATTGATATCATATAATACATTACATAYTCATTATATAAATTATATACAATTTATATGATGTTTCACTTTTAGACCTTATATATACACTTATGCTAAAAATCACTTTAAGTTAAAATAATTTCCGGTTTTTGCGTTAAAAATCGTGTCGTCGACTAATTAATTAACAACTTTACAATTATATACATTATGTTTATTATTTTAAGGCTAATTAAAATACCACTTTTGCATTATTAATGCAATTAAAACATATTTTTATTAAGTCACAATTAATTATTAAATAATTTAAATTTTGATATAAATTATGTCAATACAATTTGTTGATGTGTTAGAGATTATTATAAAAACAAGTTTTAAAAATGTTGTTTAAACAAAGCTTCTTGTAATATAAGAAGTTATTGATAATGCAATGAAAAATGTTTGTACACAATATTTTTATTTATATTGTATAGATATACTGTATTACTACCAAACAAAAAATATATAACTTTTTATTATATGGTTATATTTATTATAAATTTGTTTTGTTGAGAGCAATAGAGTCTGTAATTGTTGTGAGAGTTGTGTCACATTTAACTCATACAATATATACCACTCAATCTACTCTCTCTTTCTCTTTGGTCGTTGAATTAGTTGTAAGCAAAACAAATCACCAAAAAATTTAACTTTGGGTTTAGTTTATCGGAAGGCGGAGATTAAGGTTAAAAAACAGCAGCGATGACGGAGAGTGAGAGCTATGAGGGGATAGGGATGGCAGGGATAGTAAGCGATGGATGCGGTTATGTGGACACGCCTTTGAAGACCATAGAAAATGTGGCAAAGTTTAGCATAACATTCATTTGAAACAAACTAAGAGAATGAGTACAAAGTGTAGAGAATCAGAGATTTTATTTTAAAAAGTCACCACTGGTTTGGCCCGAGGCTTATCACAGCTATACTGTATACACATATATGATATATCTATATATACTGTCTATACTTATATATAGTATCCTTAATACTCTTTTTGACCGACCTTTGCCTCAGACTGTTATCAACATATGAATGACTGTATGCCACACACAGAGGTCTCGCAAAACACTAAATAACTTTTTTTACTCTTCAGATTTGCCCTCAAAAGTAGTTTCACTTTAATGTTTAAAACTCACAAAACAACAAATGAATGGATAAAAAACATTAAACAATGATTTTAGTCTTATCTCAAAACATGCAATGAAAGCAATGCACTGAAAATTCACTCATAATAATAGTGAACTCAATGGCAGACAATTGTATACAACAAGCCATAGATGGGAGAGTCGGGAGAGAGAGAGAGAGAGAGAGAGAGAGAGAGAGATGCCTGAGCGGGTTTGGGAGAGACATGAAATAGACGGTGACTATGAAGAGCTCGTGTCAGTCGTCAAACTCCTCCTAAATATTGTTTTGGGAGGACTTTGTATGGCTTTTCTTTCGGTGATGTAATGTCTGGAAACACTCCTTACGGTTGCGGCTGAAAAAAGTTTGTAAGACATAAACACAAAGATAGTGTTGTTGTTGTCATGGATTCAATAGTGAAGAAGAGATTAATTTTTTCACTGATATGTCAGATAATCGTAATGAAAATTAAGTAGCAGTAATGCTAGTCATGGCTCAGGCATACAGGCATACCACCGATGCCTACCATCACAACGCACTACACAAACCATTGGATATATTATACAGTATATCCAAATAATATATTCTATATATACTTTATTTATACAGTATATGTATATGTATATGATGTACCAGTTTGTGATATCAGTAATGGTAGTAATCATAGTAATAGTAGTAATGCAAGTAATGGTTCACTTTTTTTCACATTCATTGCCATTCCTCTCATACTCTCTCCCTTTCCCTCCTATCTCTCCCTCTCTCTCTCTCTCTCTCTCTTTCTTTTTTTCTCTCTTACACACACACACTCTCCCTCTTTTCTCACTCACTCTGCATCACTACTTATCATTTCAGATTAATAGCACTATTATCAGTAAAGCTCAATGAAAGCAATTACAAACAAAAAATGAAAATTAGTTTTGTTATAATACTCTATGGTATTAACAATTTAAATAATCAGTGTTTAAGTAAAGATAMTCCAAAAATAAGTTTACAGAAAAAATGATAGAATAAATACATCAATAAATTGAGTAAATTATATAAAATGTTATGCAATTCACGTTTTATAAATATAAAATGTTATATTTTTTAGAATATTTATTAAACATATAATAAATATTACTTATATAAATATCATATATGATAAATTATTAGTTAAAAAATATTTATTATATATAAATTTTTTGTTGAAATAAAAATACTAATATAAATCAAAATAGTTTGCGGAACCCATTCAAAAATCAATGTAAAAATAAATAATTTATGTTTTGTTGTTTCTTAATTTTGTTAAAATTTTTATAACTTAAATGAATTTCAATTATGTTATTTTAACAGAATTACAAATTCTATAACAAAATGTCAATATATAATACAATAATTTATTTTAGTATATATTAATATGTATTTATAGTTTATTTATTATTGATTGCATTGCATCCAACAAAACGTGAGCTAATGATTGAATAGTTATCGCAAATAAGTGTTAATAACATCAAACATTATATACAACTAAATATTAAACTGAAAGAAATGTTTTGCCAATTTTTTTCTTTTTTCATTTAGATGTCAAACACATTCACTGAATGTTTAGCTAAAAATAAGGCAATAATAATAATATATAAATTTAAAAGCAAGTGTTGAACATTGTATATGTTGTAAGTGAACACCAATTGAGTGGTGAATGAAAATTTTAAACAATTGGCCAATGGTTTGGTTAGGTTTAGTTTGGACACTCATTCAATAGCTTAACACTCGCACTGGTATTAAGCCTACATTAAACATACTGAGAGGAGAAGAGAAAGAGAGAGAGAGAGAGAGAGTTACTTTTGTATGTTTTTAGAGGGAGAATGAGAGTTTAGGGAGAGGCAGTGGGAGACAKGGAAAAGTGAGAATCAATGTCTATCTCTAATAGAGGTTTGACTACAAATAACTGAAAATTGTAAACCAAGAAGAAGTCGGTAAATATAAAATACAGTTTAAGCTCCGCATTCCTCCCCCTCCTCCCAACTGTTATTTATTTATTATTATTATTATTATTTGAATAGTATAGCAAAAGCTAGTTTATAATAAATCTCTTCAACGGAACTACACTTTTGCATACATTTTGACGATTAAAGACAACCCTCTTTCTAATATGTATTCACTTGTTTGGAGTGTTTATTGAGAATAATCGTTGCCATCGTTTGGAGGCTTTGGGGCCAACTGTTCCCAAACGCTAACAATTCATACGAAACATAAACCTTATGGTCCGTAACTGCTATCCAATTCCCCCCATAAACTCAATATACACTGTACTATATAATCTATATATATATATATATATATATATATATATATATATATATATATATATATATATATATATATATATATATATATATATCCTTTTTATACGTTTATTCATATTTAAACACTACAGTAAACCGGTCCCCATTCTATTATTATATTTTATACTGTAGTCATTATAATTGTTTGATACAATAAAATTGATAATAATAAGTAAACATTATATATATTTTATTTTTAAAAGAAATCTTGTTAGTGTATTAATTTAATTTAAATATTAAAGATTTTAAAAATAAATATTAGTTTATTTTAAATTAATTATATTGATTACAATTAATTACTAGTAAATAATTTAAATTTTATTAAAGAAAATACATTAACTTTATTAAATCTATCAATAATAGTAATTAACTTTAAAAAATAATTATAATTAAAAAATGATATTAATAAAAACTTAAAAGTAAAACTTAATATAATGTAAATTTAATTAAATTTGTTAGTTAATATAACAAAATAAAACTTAAACTTCAATAAGCAAACCAAACAAACGTTTTTGTTTTTATACTGTTTCCGATATTTAACTTAAAGTTTTTAATTAATAAAGTTTTAGTTGTTCAATTAGTGTTGTGTATAACTCATATAAAAATAAAATTTTTAAATACTTATAAAAAGCTTTTGACTGTAGTATTAGAAAATCAGACACAATATCTCATATTATTCAGTAAACAAATGCTAAATATTGTTAAAATAAATTTAGCTTTTAATGCCAAAAAAATTTCACCATTAAAATATAGCACATTTAGCAAAAAGATGACTATTAATGAGTTTTTATGTTATCGGTATGAATCAGATAAACTAATAGTAAATTGCTAATAATAAAATTTAAGCATATTATAATTTTTTAAAAAAATTACTCACTATGATAGATATTGAATCTGATATGATACCTCTATTGAATAATATAATAGCAATTTTATTGTACAGTATTATAATTAACAAATAATTATGCAAATAATTTATATATATAATGTTGTATTTTACTAATCTTAAAAAATTTTAAAAATCATAAAGATTTTATTTAAATACTGTATAAAGTAAACATACTGCAAATTGTATTATATATTTAAAGTTATTTAATTTATTTTATAAGTATAAATTAATAGACTAATTGTTATATATTTTTACAAGCCTAATTTAACAAATACATTTCTATATACCTAATATAAAAAATGTTTAAATTATATTTAGTTTAACAGAAAACAGTTGCATAACAATTACTAACTAAATAAATCATTATATTTGTGTCATCAAAACAAATTCAAGTGTTTATCAGTAAAAAGGGATAAAATTAGATTTATTTGACTTATTATTTGATGAGATGATACAGAATCTCTATTATAGATATTTCTAGCAATCAATGAATGAATGAATGAACTCAATGTGTATTAATATGACGACTACTGACTGTTGACTATGATGTCTATTATCTGTATTTATATATAAATAAATTTATATATCATTTGCCAGTAATTCAATTTATTAATAATTCAGTATTTTGGTATTGTATATAATTATTGCTTAAAATAAACTTATTAATTATTAATTTAAAAATATTAATTGCGATAACAAAATGTCAATAATTAGCATATTTGGTACAGTATTTCAATAGATAACATATAAAAATGAATGTTATTGATAATCCATTAACAAACAATCATTCAACTAATGCAAACAAATTGTGGATTTGATTTATATTTATTTTAAAATAACTTTCGACTATTTATATAATATATAACATTCAGACCTTTATTTTAACAATTTTTAATATAATACTTAAGTACTGTATTTAGAGATGGGCAAATAGAAAGTTTCTAATAAATTTCACTGAGAAAGTTTCTAGAAAATTTCTCAGGAATAAATTTCTATAGAAATTTAACTTTATTGTTATACTATGGGATCCCCATATCTATAGCTATTGAAATAATATATAAATAATGAGACAATACTACTATTCATATAACATTACACTATACACTACTATACAAAATGCGATACCTATATGTAAAATAATTATAATTATTTAATAATAATCAGTTTTCTAAAATTTTAATAATCATTTTATTATATATATAAAAATTTAAGATAATTTAATAATTTAATTTTTATTTTAATTAATAATAAAAATATTAATATTTAATTATTACTTGTAAAACCAATGTATTGTTACATAATAACATATATCCAGAAAACAAAATTAACATAGGGATCCCATAGATAGAAATTTCTTTTAGAAACTTTCTAGAAATTTCTCTATTATTTTATAAATTTCTCTTTTTTTGCCAACACTAACTGTATTGTATATGTATTGCATGTATTTCGATAAGAATTATATTACAAAAATTTTATGATCAAATCAGCAAAATATTGAAATACTTTTTAAACAAACATTCATTAAATCATTTGATTTTACTTAAGCTATGACTTTCGATATGTTTAATAATAATAATAATTCCAAAGCATATTAAGTCATATCTTAAATAAACATTTATTATTATTTAAAATGATTGTTAATTTTTTTTAATAATTGCATTTTTATTGATTTTATAAATTTTAAAAAGATTTTATAATAAAGACGTTAATTGGTTAAAAGTAATCCAATCGTTATAAACAATAAATTTATTTTTTAAAAATTGTTACCATTTATTGATTGTTTCTCTTTATAATTTTATGTAAAACAATACTTACCGGTATATGTTATAAAATATGTTATACATTATTTTATTTTTATTATTGTTATATATGTATTAAATATATATATATAGACTTATTAATTTTATTTACAGACATTTATAATCTTATACTTATACTGTACAATTTTATATATAATTATAAAATAGTACTTTATATTTATATATTTTTATAAAAAAATTTTGATAGCAGTTATCAAGGTTTTAATCAAATGTAAATTAACTTTAATAAGTTAATAAATATAATCAAAAATACAGTATTATATCATTATAATTTATTTATCTAGAAAATGTTTAATAAACAAATTCATTATAGTTTATCATTAAAGTGTAAATATTAGTCTACAATACTGACTCTATTATAGACTCTATATGACCATGGTTATTAAATTAGTTGGTTTTCATAAATTGTGATATATTGTAACATAAAACTTGAAGATTTGATAAAATTTGCTATTAAACTATAAATTACACATTCAATAAACAATAGTTGTATTGAATAGTTTTGCGATTAAATTTCTACAAAATTAACAAATTCTTGAATTATTAGATAAATATTGTATTTTTATTTCATTTGTTTAAAGACATCAATATTTTATATAATGTTTTAAACAAAAATATTTTTGATGTAATTATTAAAACAAACGTATTAATGACTTACTGTATAATCTAGACTATTATTTTTAAAGCTTTTAAGGCTAACTTATTTAATATAATAATTTTACTATTATATTGTTTAAAAAATATTTATTGTGTTATTAAAATACATGAGATTTTATTGATATTTCACTTAATTTCAATGTTATTTAATTCTATTCTATATAAAGCTTTATTATCTTTAAGTATAAAGTATATACTATATATACTGTATATACAGTATATATGTTAAAAACAACGTTATTTTAATCCTATTATTTGTAGTTTTCATAACACTATATAACAAGAGATAAGATAATAATTGTTTCAATAAACATTGTATTTATACAACCATTAAAAATATAGTTGAAATAATCAATGGTTTCAAATTGTGAAATAATTAAACAATATTAAGCATTTACATTATCACTTATGTTTTATCTAATCATTTCATATAAAGTAATACAAAGCGTTTTTTGAAAATCAAAATCTTTACGACAAAATTTAATACTTTAGTTTACAAAAGTTAAATAAAAATATAATAAACTTATATTAATGTTTATCTAAAATATTTTCTAAGTCTATTTGAAAAATTAATTACATTAATAATTAAAATAAAAAAAAGATAATAATAATTAACAAAAATTATTTATTAATTCATTCGTTTTCAACTTAAGGTCGTTTTATTTGCCATTTAAATATAATATACAATTAAATCATGAAATGCAATTTTATTGACCAAAAAATTAATCTAAAATATAATCAATAAATAGAAACTAATACATAAACAATTATTAAGCAAATTAAAAATAAAAATTATGTATATAATATTATGTCAATGAAGAAAACAATTGATACCACAAAAAATTAAAAATATATTAATAGATGACTTCATAAAGTGATGCTTTTTTATCTCCAGAACCGGTAACTATATATTTGTCATCAGATGAGATGTCACAACTCAGTACTGACGAAGACTCTTTTGACTGTAAATACAAACAAATCTATTATAATATCATTTCATTTAATATCAATTTATGAATCAAATACCTGAAAAATGGACGCTCCGTATGGTGTTCTCCAAGCATTCAATAGATTGTCTTTACCGGTGCTGACAAACCATTTGCCACAATTGGCAAACTTTAGCGATAATACACAACTTTCGTGTAAATGCAACTGATATTTGTCGGGTTTAGAGCAATGAAGTACTTCAACATTACTGCTCTCCATTCTGTTTATATTATTATACAAAATATTTCATCAATTATTATAACATTTGTTAAATCAATTGTCAAAACATACCCGACAGCCAACCAATCACCAGTTGGACAAAATCCAAGTGAAAATATTTGTGAAGAGAAGTCGTGTTGTTGTAGTTGACGACCCTTTAAAATAAAATTTAAAACAGTATTAAAATAATATTACTCTCCAAGTTTAATGTCTTACAACCTCTCTGAGATCCCACGATCGGACAGTATTATCGAGACCACCAGTCCATAGTTTATTGCCATCATTACTGATGTCAATACAAGATGCCCCGTCTGTATGTCCTTGAAATTGGCGAACGAGTGTTTGATTGTGAAGATCCCAAACTGCGATATTTCCATCACTGCAACAACTAAAACAAACTTTCGAATCGGGGCTAATAGCCAATGCATAACATGCCGGTGCAGATGATGTCAATTCAGCTCTAATTCGGGGTATCGAAGCGCCCAAATCCCATATACATATAGTACTGGCTTCTCCTCCAACTATAAGAGTTCTACCGTCGGGTAACAGTTTACACGAACGGATATAATTGTCTTTTTGCTATTTAACACAAATAAACAAAATTATATATATTTTTTTGTTTTACTTCATTTATATTTAAAATATATTACCAAACAATCCAATTGAGAAACAGGACTTTTATTCCCGGGTTGACTGATATCCCACACTTTAACACAACCTTTACCCCCAGTGTATACATATTTAGTGGGATTACTGATAGTGACGGCACAAACAACTTCTCCGTGATTTAGAGTATTTATTTGTCTGGCGTGTCGAGGAATCCCCGAACCGATGAGAGCATCGGGTGGGAAGGGAACGGGTTGTACTTGACCCTCAGCATTCACATGGAATGAATAAGCAGGCTTTCCTCCGGGTATAAAGCCAGGAGTTCGGAGTGAGGGATGGGCATCATATCCAGGAACCTATAAATATAAATATATATTATATAACAACTATTATGCATTAAATAATTAATTAAGTCTTACTAATCCTCGTGGATATGAATTGAGAGCGGGATTAATGTTGTTGTGCAATAATCCTTGTGGATAAGCACCGGCAGCTACACTAAGATCAGCTGGTAATGATGGGTGCCCAGCAGGTGCGCCGTGTAAATATGGATAAGAAGGCCCAATAGCTTTGGGTGTCTTATTAGTACTCGAACTCGGAGTTGTCGAACCAGAACTTGTAGGAGTAATCGGTTTAGACAAAGGAGTGGGAGGTTTGTCACCCTTTATAAAAACAATTATAAATATATATAAAATAATAATACGCCTAATAATAACATACAGAATGTTCTTTTGGTTTTGTTGACAGAGGAGTACTGCTGTTAGACGACGATCCCGATCGGGAGGGCGGCCGCTCTCGTTCCCGCTTAATACGGACATCAGACCCGTTTTCGTGTGGTGAAGGATCACCATTGCGAGGAGAGATTGGCTCCTGTTTTGTACTAAAGTTATAAAAACTGCTATATATATAACAAATAATATATACCTCATTAGCCACATCTACAACCAAATCCTGATCGCTCTTTTCGTCTTCACTGCCCTGAAGTATAGTAATATTAAATTAGTTATAATTTATTACAAATTAATAAATATGTTTATTATAAGTACATTTGCATCACTTTTCTCCGTATCTCTAGATCTTCTCTTAGAATTTTTATCGACTTCTGGAGAACGACTTCTATGTCTCGTACGCTCCGAATGCGGAGAAAATGATGATATTTCCCGTCTTTCATCTATTTAAGTATAATATGAAATCAATAAAAGAAATGATTTAATTTATCGCCAGTTTAACCATTAAGTGGTCGCTTCTCATTGTTTTCCCGATTAAAAGCTTCTTTAGAAAGAGATGGTGGGAGTCCTGGCAAATGAGTCGAATTATTATTAGCCGTCACTGAGGAGGCGCCCGGAAGAGATCCTGATGCTGATAGAGCCAAAAGACCAGCAGCTGTTGCTCCCGAAGGTGGCATTCCGGCAGATAAGGCGGCTGCGGCTGATGGCGGGAGTCCGGGTAGGCCCGGGTGGGGCATCATTGGCAATGGAGGCCCGTGAGAGTGGGCTGATTGGAGTTGTTGGGCATGTATTTGTTGCTATAATTAAATCAATCAGTATATTAACATATATATAATATTATTATCATTACAGTCATACCCCGATAATGGCATTGAGTTCAGTCATAGTAACCTGTTTGGCCCTCTCAACAGCACTGGCAACTTGTTGTTGGTGCTAATCAGTCAAACATTCATTCATTATAATTAATATTATTATTATATCTATAAATTATTTTAAAACAATTATAAAACACACCTCTTGTGACAAAAAGGGTAATATTTGTGCAATAATTGCATTCAAACGCTTTGCTATTTCGGTCTGCAATTCAATAAAAAATTTATTTAATTTTAATATATATTGTCCACAGAATAAATAATAAAATACAGTATTTATGAGATATACATGAAAACATAAAAAGTAAAATAAATATTATTTTTTTAATTTGGTACTAAAGTATTATTATAAATAAAACTAAAGATTTTTTTTTCATTATAATAATAAACATGTTTTAAATGTACACTTCATTCACATTTTCTGTGTAAATATATTGTCAATAATGTGTTATATTCTTTACACTTCATTATCCACTAAATATAAGCTAATATTTTCTTTTTAAAAAAGTTATTACAAAATAATCAATTATTTCATTTGTTATTTTGATTGCTTACCTGTTTATGCATTTCTACATTCAATCCATAAGACATTTCGTAATACTATTTCAATTGAATAAAATAAATAATAATGATTTGAATTTTAATAATGAGTTTAATTAAATATATTTTTTTAATATAATTATGTGTCAAATGATAACAAATATAACAAACCATAACATAATGTCTTTGCATTTCAGTCTTTTCTGTCGCCAATTTCTCCAATTCAAGCTTTAAACTAACAATTAATAGCAATATATATACATTTATAGACATTATAAACATTAATATATAGGATATGATATTATTAGTGAGTTTGCAATTGATATATATATATATATATATATGTGGACACAAAGGTATGGTATGTATGAAGTGGTCATTACCTGTGATACTGTGCCTGAAGAAAGTTGAACTCTTCCTTAATTCGTTCACACGTTTCCGTTACCGTGAATTTAAACGGTTGTCCCGCTTGTGGCGGTCCCTAATAATATCCACAATTAATATATCATCAAAAAAACACATTCACCACAATTGCCAACACTTGGATATCAATGGCACAAACAATGGTAACACATAATAATCCTATGGATCACATACCGGATGTCTTGAGTTATACATTATAATCGGCTAAACTGGTTGTCCGTCGGCACTGATGAGTACACAACCAGAAAACCGGTATATATTTGGTCAGTGAATCGGTGTCACCAAAAGATATCCAATACTTTTAGTCATTCACTCATCACAAGAGGTTTCGTTCAAATGGTGGCCAACAGTGTTGTGTGTGATGTGTGGGTCTCTCACACATCCAATACATACATACATTCAGTTGAACACAACAACGAGTCACTCACTCATACACTCACTCACTCACTCTCCCACAGCTTAAGCTTATAGCAGCCAATCGATAGAAAGTCACCTCAAATGTGATCACTTGCTGTCATTCATCATTGATTGGTTGAAATGTTTAAAAGTCACGTTACTTTACACGTGACATATCAACACTAATATGTTGTGAGGGGTGTGTTGTGTGTGTAATGGGCGGTGAGTGTGATGTTTGGTATGTATGGAGTGAATAGAGTCTCAATTAGAGTGTATATACAGTATGTATGTATAGCACTGGTATAGCATTGCTTAGTACTGTATGTCTGCAAATAATGGCATAAGAGGGGCACAAAAGAGACATTCAGTTAGAGTACATGTTTTGCAGCACTGGAAGCACACAACACATTGCACTCTCTCTCTCTCCCAGTGTCTCAATGAGCCCACTATATGGTCACGAATGATGATGAGCCCAGACATCACTGAACAGCCAGTTGTGCCGCTTATGGCTATAATGTTGTGTATATACTGTATATACAGTACTATCATAATATACGTATACATCTATCTATACATACATTTTTTTCTCTCTCTCTCTCTCTCTCTCTATATATATATATATATATATATATATATATATAAAGTTTTTCTGCAATTAGATATTCTTCTCGAGACATGAGATGATAACAAACTCTAACTTTTTATTTGATGAGTTAAACCCATAACACATAACCAATTGTAGACCTCATGCACGTCCTGTCCAATGCATTATACACTATATGTTATGTTAGGCTATGTTTTAAATATACAATCAAATTGAAAGTATTGTCAGCATTGTATAGCATTGGCATCGGATGTGTTTGGCAGTGATGCCAATGGAAAGCATAATATGGGAAAAGTTAGGTCTGACTTGAATACCACAACTCAACTAACGATTTAGTCAAACAGTAATACCATTAGAATAGTAATGATAGTAATGTCACAAATATTATCAACATTTTTATAATATTATCAAAAACAGTCGTTCACTTGAATTCATAAGTGTGTGTCCCCTCCCTGTCCGTAGGGTTTACCACTGCAATGAATGCCAAATAAAGGCAACATTGGAGTCAATAATTAAAAATATTTAATATATGATTGCCTTTCGCGTGACTCCGGGTCCGCATAATTACAGGAACTGATAGTCACTGTTGTATGTCATATAACGATCCCCAACACATGTGTGTCGATCCCATTCATGCCATTTAGTGTTCATCTCAATTGTAATGTGTTTTCACTTGTAATGTATGAACACTGAAATTAGTGAACCGTTCAACACAACTATTCTCTCTAAACTATATTCAGTATACGGTATATACATATAATAGATATATGCACTACATATATATATACATATATAAAGTATATACAATATATACACAGCTTTGTATGTGTGTGTCTGTCCACCACTTTCACCAAATGCCTGTTATATATCCCGGTTAGCTTTAAACGACTAAATACCCCAAATTGCTATCACTCTTATTACTAGTTTGGATGTGAGGTCAGACATGTGTGCACAATGTACTGCACTGCACATCCCTCTAATCTTTTTATTTTATAAGCTCTTTATCCCTCAGAAAGACAGTTAGATGGATAGATAGATAGTGTGTGTGTGTGTGTGATAGAGATAGAGAGAGAGAGAGAGAATTTTGAAAGATGTGAAAATCAAAGTCTTAATTCATATGATATAAAGTATAGATTGTATATTATTTTGTGATTTTAATTTGAAACTCCAAACCCTCCCTAAGGTTACCCCCCAAGGCTTGAAAGCCTACATTCCTGACAACGTTGACTAACACTAAATCAAGCAAAACATAGAGAGATGTACTCTATTGACTGTATTGACAATTGTATGGCACAACACATACATTGAGTATTGTGCTCACTATCAGAGCCATTGATCGCATTTTGGTGTAGTTTTAGTGGTTATTGCAATGGAAAAGATTTGTTGTCATCTCTTTATATTTGATACACTAATGTACTTATAATGTAATGTATGTTACTTTCAAATACTGTATGAACATTGAACACAAAGAGAGAAACGCTTATAGTTTGCAAAAAAAATGATAACAAAAATGTAAAGAAAGTGAAAGATTGTAGAGAATTATAAAGACTTATAATGAGGAGTATATGTAGTCTAATGTATAACTGGATGAGAGTTTACAGGAGTTTACACTATATAAGCAATAGAGACAAACCAATCCATCACTATTACACCAATACATCTAATGTTTAGGTTTGACTAAAATAAAGGTATGTTTTGTGTTGAGTCGACATTAAATTAGTGAAGAAATATATTAATCATTAGATTTTAATTTATTTTCCATCACTGGATGTGTGATGTAATGCGTGAAACAATTTGGCATTAATTGTCATACGTTGAGCACCAGTAGTAGTAGTAGTAGTAGTAGTAGTAATAATAATAATAATAATAATAATAATAATAATAATAGTAGGAGTAATAGTAGTTACGAGTATGTCGTGAATCTCTTTATACTAATCCCATTAGATGTGATCAAAACACAACATAACACAACTGTTCAGAGTATTTGTCCCACGAAAACAACTCTTAGAGAGAGAGAGAGAGAGAGAGAGAGAGCGTTATCATTGATTATGTGACGATTGCATTGCTTTCGCATCACTGCATCTCTACTTTAGACCAACGGATGGCAAAGTGTTTGTTAAGAGATCAAAGCCAATGAACACAAATTAATGAATGTATGTCTCATTCATTGCCGACTCATTCCCTCTTATATTCCCACTCTTTCTCCACCCAGTAATCTCTTTTTTCTCCCATTTCATTGATTCACATTCACTCACAACACACACACATATTTATATATATATATATTCACTCACTCACTCACTCACTCAAACCTCCAGTGCATTAACTAATAAGAAGTACAGAAACTAGTAGTCAAGGAAACAAATGGCACCGACTTTAGTGGTAAAGACGAGCAATAGAGCCGAGAATACGGTTGAAAACCGGCAGAACTGACACGATATAGCCATTGAAGGCTCACTATAACCTACCAGTCCTCACAAAGCAGGCTTCATATGGCATATAAATGCAATTTTATGGCTTAATAATTGCAAACGTCAGGAGAAATGTGTAAAAATGTTAAACCCATTGAAAACATTTGATTTAACAACAATTTGAAAATTAATATAAAAGTTGTGTTAACACTGTATTTATGTTAAGTTATGCTATATTTACAAAAAACCATTAATATATGAGAGTTAAAAGTTAATTGAAATAAATTAAAGACAATAATTATGGGTATATTTCGTAACATCAGACGGTCTTATTATAAAATGTTTTCATATTTTATTAGCAAATCAGACAATCATACAATAAAATTATTATAATTATATGTTTCTTTAAATCAATCAATAATAAATTATTTAACGTTTTATACAATTTTCAAATTTCTCACTTATTATTATTAATAATAATTAAATTGAAAAACAGATTAAAATATGGTTTAAATGAGTATAATATAGTATATCGATAGGAAACACATGAATGAACTAATTATAATAATAAAGTAATATAAATGATAAATATAACAAAACTTGTTTCTCATATCTAATTAGTTTTCTCTTCAAATAAGTTATTCAACGAAATAATTTTTGTTTGTGTTGTTTATTGTGTTATTTTATTTGAAAGCTCTTATCAATTGCAGACAATTTTCTCATTTTGTTTTAATATTTTTTTTGTTGATATTTTTTTGTTGATATTTTTTTGTTGATATTTTTATATTTAGTTTTTACACACTTTTTTCTTGTTTAACTTTTAATATTTATATTCTCCTAAAAAACCATAAAAACATTGAATTTTAATCAATGATAAAATGATGGCAACATTTTTTATTACTATAGTCTCTCTATTTCACCTCAATTTCGGAACTGAGAAACACATAACACTAAACACATTAAAACATTCAAAAATAACAACAAAAAGCTAATCAAAAAACAAAAGCCAGCAAAACATGCAAACAAACAAAAATAATAATTTGATGCAAATATTCATAAAACAAGTTCACTATAAATTAGAGCTCAACTCAAACTCAATTATTTATTTGTATAAAAGTATTCAATCACTAAATTACAGCTATTAATCAAATGGCAACTTTAGGTTAAAAATTAACAAAAATAATATATTAATATTATATTATTAATAATTATTATTAGTAAAAATGTAAACTTTTTGTCATTTCTTCTCAAATGTTTTTTTAAATAAAAAATAATAATAAATAAAAAGAAAATTTTGGTAATATTTTTATTAAACAACATAACAAAAATGTTACAAATTAAGAAAACTCATAAAAATTAACTTTTTCTTAAATTTTGTTATATTATATAAAATAGTAATAAAGACTTATTGAGTGGAAATAAACGTAAAAATGGATTTTCCTATCTTTATATAAATGTTTGAAAACCTTTAAATCTTATCAAAACAGTAATCAATAAGAATGTCGATGTCTTTTGGCTGACAGAAAATATGATACAAAGAGAAAGACCAATAAATGAGTGATAAATAAAAACAATTTAAGCAAACCTTAAGTTATGTTTTAAATAAAATAAAAACTTATGTAATTCTAAGCCATATATAATTAAGAAAAATAGAAAAGAAATAAAATTTGCTATAAAAAAATAATTCAAATGTACTCATCATATCTGGTCAGCGATTCATCAATAATTTATATAATTACAGATCAAATTTAAACTATATTATCGATCGTATGTTTATTGAATCACAAAATATATTTGTCTAACTTTAAAATCATTAATAAGAACATTAAATTAATCTGATATCATATCATCAGTTGATAATAAAAGATAAAAATAAATGTTTAGTTCTTTATAAATATAATTACGTGAATATAGCCTTAAGATGTATCCAATTGACGTCCTTCTTATTAGTATTTTTTTGTTTTAATTGTAAAAATTTGTTTTAAGTTTTATTCAAATTTTTTATAAATAAACGGATTGACAGATATAAACCAAAAAAATATTTTTGACATAAATATTAATTATTTTTGTAATACAATTACCAGCACTGTTCATATATAGTATATGTCAACAATACAAACAGTTATGTCTTTAACTCTCTTTAAGTCAGTAAATAATTAGTTGGTCTTTAACTGCATTTAATAATTTTTTCCAATGAATCAATTTTTTATATATTTTGGTGCATTTAATTGATGATCATTTTTATTTTATACCACATTTGTGACTATTGTTTTTTTTTGTCAAAACCCCGTCCAATGCAACATCTGATGTCAATAGAAATCCGATTATTAAATAGTTTGTCTTCAAGTCATAGTTTTAATCGAGTTTTGCCATTTAATAATAAATGAATCAACAGTTTCTATATGAATGCCTAAAATAATACAATATGTGTTTAATTCATGATTATTACATTTGTTTTTTGTGTATAACTTACCCGCACTCAGAGCTACGGCTTCAGCATTTGTAGGCCATCTATCAAATGAATGGGTCAAAACAGAAACCATAGGAATGCCAGAAGTGATATTTCGTTGAGTTCTTGTATTTTTGTTCAGATAATTACAATATTCAAGTAATTCATAGTAATCAATGGCTTCTTTGTCTTTACGTTTTGGATATTTAATGGGTGAAAGGTTTAATTTTTCGGTATCTTTAGGATATCTGAGGACTCGACTGCCGCGCTGTAGCTGTTCTTCGAGCCAACGAATGGCTTCTCTAGCGTTTGCATTCGTTTTCTTTAATTGATCCAAAGCTGAAAGAACTAAATATAGGAAATTCATTAAATATAATATATATATAATTCATTTAATTATTAATAAAATACCAATTTTTGGGACAATTATAATAAATCTTTTAGAATGAGTCAAATCTTTAACAAAATCTAAATGTTGACAATAAGCGCTTGAATCCAAAACCATATATGGAGGCAATTGTGAGGAATACTTTACGTCTTTTTCCAATTGATTTACTTCAGCCTATAATTATAAATTACAATTAGCCGTTAATTTTTTACTAATTATATAAAAATATAAATTAATTAATACTTTAAGCCATAAGTGAGCCATATTTCGCATAACTTTTTTATCATCATTATTAGTCAAATTTGTTTTGGATTCGTTGACTAAACCATTATTTGCCAAAGTATTAATTGGTTTTTGATTTAATGAAATAAAATTTGAATTATCAGACCAAGTATTATTGCTAAACACGTTATAATGGGTACCATTTGAGTAATTTGTGTATAAAAATCGCTTATCATTCATATCATAACTGATTCCATAAACATTTTGACAATTATTTGCATCACAGAGATAATGAGTGAATGCAATAAGCGATTCAATACATAGAAATCCTTTTTCGTTATTATTAAGAGATTTCTTAATGTCAAAGCATATCGAGTCAAACATTGTCTTCAAACAGTCGACATTTGAAAGATTGAGATCTGAATCCAACGGATATTTCTGTTTCCAGTTTACTTCAAAACATTTCAATTCCAATAAATTAGGAAATCTTTGTAATATTTTCTGTTCAATAGTAATCAAAGTATTTATAAAATTGATAAACTCTTCCAAACAAAGTTGAAATTCATCTGAAATTAATGTTAAAGTATTTGGATTATATCTTAACCACTCAACAATTACTTTAATGGTCGGTAAAAAACTTTCATTTATAATATATATAAGCATATCTTCAGATGGCATTAAAGGAGTGTTTATAGTCTTCATTGCATTCAATTTCTGTGGCAATGGATTTTCATCATCACTACTAACAATAGTCACATCTAAACCATACGAATCGCTGTCATCATTTGAATCACTCAAATCTGATCCAATTTCAAGAACATCTATTGTACTCAAAGCCGTTTCTTCTAATTCACTCAGTTCTGAGTCGTCGTCATCAATACTAAGAGCATTCTTGTCTTCATAATTGATGGCAGCTTTGCGTCTTCGCAATCTTGAAAGTACGCGACGGGGAGACAAATCTGGTGTATTTTCTTTGGATACTTTTGGAGTGGTATTTAAAACTTCATTCATAGAATTAAATGGATTTAATCCTAACTTATTTTTCAAATTTTGATGACTTGAAGACACAATAGTCATTAAATAATTGACCAAAAATGTTAATATAAAACTAAGTAATTGATTACCATTTAATGGACTTTTATTAATTTCTATTTGTTGGACCCGATTTATAATCAATAATAAAATGACTGACATTTCAAAAGTGGTCGTCGGTGTCATATAAGTTGGCATTTGCTCTGTAGTCAGCTTTGATTGCAAATTAAATGAAAGTTTCAGTGAATGAAGAGTTTGTTGAAATAGTGACACAATATTTTGAGTAAAATGATTATCCGATTCTTTGAAAAACCAAATATCGTTACATAACTTAAGAAAGAAAACAATCGATTGTTTAATAATCATAAAGCTTTCGTCGGAAGTTTCAGTGTTGGACTTCATTTCATTTAAAAGTTTTTCGTTATTTTCAAAAAGTCGTTTCATATTACTTTCGGCGCCTTCAAAGGGTTTATCACACATAAGACTAAATATAAATAGATGGAAATGAGATTATTTAATGTTAATATTTAGCTTAAACAGTGAAACAAACCATCGAATATAATAATAAACTGAGTCTAAACCATAGTTATTAGTCTCAGATAGTGTTCCCAATTGATTGAAAGGCATACCAATGTTTGAGTTCAAAATAAGTGCTAAATCATAGAATCTTATGGCAAGTTGTCGATACTCTTGAGCTTCTAAATCAAAGAGATAACGGGCCAAATCACCCATACATACGAGTATTCTATGAATGGCATTCTGTGCCCATGTCTTTGTTTCTTCGTTCATAATTAGTCTGTCGCCACCCATATCTTCAATACTTTGTTCAGTTATCAGATAAGGCATTAGACATTGTATATCAACGGAATATTGCTTTGATATGCCTATAAGTATGTTATAGTAAAGTCCAAAACCGGTCGTTAAATGACTCCGAAGTAGCGATACCTCTGGTGATGTCATTCGCTGTAATCAAATAGTATAAACAAATCACTTATTAGGTTTCGACAAAGTTTTAAAAAAAGTAAAAACCTTTTTGTTTTGTTTATAAAACTGCATTAAGTCGTGAAAACATCTCTTCCATAATAAGTCTTCAGCCTTTCTGCCAAATTCAGAGCCAGAAGAGTAGAGAATGTCTTCACACAAGTCTTTGAATCGGTCTCTGCTCTTAACGATGTTATCTGTGAACACATTTCGCAGTGAATCGGCGGACACAATGGCCGACTCCAACTGACGACCCATTTCTACCACTTCTCTAAAACATTTGTTCAAATTATATGATATATAATATAAAACAAATCAATTGATAGTTAATAACAATCATTACCTCATGAGTCGTGTGTTAGTTGTAGATCGCGAAGACCTCTTCATCATTGATGTGGTGGTCAGTAATCAACGTTTGCGTCAAATCATTGTTTACATCAAACAAATGTCATGAAAAAGACTGCAAACACTTGTGATAAGCCATTAGTGGTTAGTATTGATAGCAATGATAGTAATGATGGACTCAATCAACGATAAGATATGTTTGTTCGCAACCATTGCAGCAATCATTGCATTCATCACTAATTCAATACAATATATTCAATATATAATAATACAAATCATTGCCTTCCATACTATGCATACTATCATTGAATATACAGTAATATTACAGTAATATTAAAGTCATATATTATTATTAATACAAATGTTTGCCTATTAATAGCCAATCAAATCAACACAAATATTAAGTCACACTCTCTATGGACAGCCCTTAATATAATGCAATCAAAACGCAATCACTTTTCGCACAATTCATACAACAATTAGTCTATAAATTCAATTGATTTTAATATTAATCACTTTTTATTCATTCAATTATCAAATTATATTTATTTTTTTTAACAATATTTCCAATTTAATTGACTTAACAACTATTCATTTAATTGTTTTTTAGTATTTTCATAAATACTTTAATAATTTTTTCATTTTTAAAAAAAATTTAAACAAACTTTTTTTGTATTAATAAACTTTTTATGACTTTTGTTGAGAGTTTATTAACAGTTAGAAAAATTGATACAGGTAATCTGATATTGTAATTGATATGTATATTAATGATATTTGTCATATTTCTATTTAAAAATAGTTTGCATTTTTAAAAATAACTAATAAAGTATTAAATTTCAATAAATGTTACATTTATTTGAATTAAAATGTAAATCTAATAAAATTGTAACAATAATTTTAAAAGTTAAATTGATATACAATTGGTATAAATAATATGCATTACATATCCTATATATGAATTGAATGTATAATGAAATATCCATTTTTGGATTAATAATGGTATGGTTTGGTTGTATTAGCAGCACATGTACTGTATTATTGTCACCATTTATTATCTCATCGATCATTAATGCCTTTCCTTAATTCAAATGCCATACATTGGGAATAGCGGTCATAAAATATGCCCATATAAATCAATTGACCTACCAGTGCTCTATATATATATCATTTATAATATCAAATTATAGGTGTATTACATATAATTGGTTGCAATTAATTAATTGTAAATATAATGAATAAATGAATAAATTGTAACGTTTTGAGTGAATAATAGTAAAAGTAATGTTGAAAGTAAAGTGACGTCACGTGACATGTGATCACAAATAGGCGTTTAAAAAGTGTTTTGCTTTAGCTTTGTTTGTGTCTAATGTTTAATACATTCAATACATGTATTAAAGTCAAAGAGAGAGAGAGAGAGAGACTATATTATAGCTATGAATGACTGAATCAATGACTAATTTAATGCTATTATAAACACAACAAAATGTTTGACAATTGAATGAGTAATTGGTTTAAAAGTCAATCAAGTATTGCAAGTGTTATGTAATAGTCATAGACTTGTCATATGATATGTTTGTAAACAAATAGTATTGAATCGCTTGAATGTCACCTCAAAGGGACAGTCATTGTCTCTATAGGACAGTTACCCTTGAAAAGGATGAATCGGGTGAACTCGGTATCTATATTACCGGTAAAGTGGACACCAATGGCTACTTGACTTATGTGGTCGCAGACCTCGAGTACAACGGACCCGCTTTTAGGTATGTTTTCAATCAAACAATTTGTCAAACTTTTCATAATATTTATCTTTAAATATATTGCAATACATATATGTATTAATGCTTTCCTATTGTGTAATACATACTACAGTATACTTCAAATAAACTCTAATATAGTATTAATAGTTATATACAGTAGATATAACTCAAGTATATTGAGTTAATAAACATTTATTAATATAATAATAATAATGTATTAAAAGTTTATAATATTAATATAATACATGAAAATATTTAATTATAAAAACTTGTATATTTTCTAACTTATTTTGATAATTAAAGTGATATTTAATGTGAAACTTATTTGATATTATCGGACATTCAATTTATATTATTGTTTGTGTAATTTTAAAAATTATATTTTAAGATGATATCAAATAACTGGTTTTGGTTTATATGTTATAAATGCAATATTATATGTATTTTTATAGTATTATGCTTTTAAATAATGTTTTTATCATTATAATTAATTTAAAATTTAAAGCAATTTATTTTTATTGGTATTTTGCTCTTTTACTTTTTTAAAATATTATTTACATTAAATAATTATTGTCTACTGTTTTTCTCATTATATTTGATTGAAATGATTAAAATCATTATATGAGACAAAAATTATGAGACACTTGGGATGCTATTAGTTAGCGAAATGTGCAGTGAGTTATAGCAGTGGTTTAATTGAAGGAAATAAGAGATTATAATTCAATGTATTTTTAAGTAAAATATTTACTAAAACTTTTTTCGTGATATTTATTCATTTATTCATTTCTTTATTCATTATTTGAATTTTAAATTATTAAACTCATGAAAACATAAAAAATAAATAACCGTATAATGAATTGATTTACAAAAAATAACACATTTTCTTTAACAAAGCAATTGCTTTATAATAATATATTAATACATTAACAAAGTCTTGACCCAAAAATAATTTTTTCTCACTTTCTATTGTATTATTAATATTAGTAATTAATTTTTTTATATAATGCAAATGAAATTTCTTTGATAATATATGGTATCATATTTAATCTTTAATAATATTATTTTTTTAATAAAAGTTATCTAATTATTTGTGGTTATAACTAATTGTTAAAATTTTTCTTAAAGTTTGAAATGAATTTATTGCTTTTAATTAATCAATCACTCAATCAATGTTTACTATTAGATATTTATAATCTTGAATTTATTTAGTTTAAAATTTTATTGATAAAGCAAATTGTATTAAATTTTTTTAGGACGAAAGCCATTGAAAAAGAGGATGAGGTATTGGCCATCAATGGCATAGTATTGAGAGGTCTTCTACTGGAAGACGCACTGAGACATCTAAGATGTAGTGATAAAGTGGTTGAAATAATTATTGCCAAACAAAAACCAGTAAATATTTAATACCTATTATTAATGTTTTTGATAATTGATTTACACTTCACTTCCTTCTATGTCTTATTTAGAGTGAATCCGTGTTAAACAACAACGATTTTAATACCAATTCATCACACATTGACCTCAACTGTAAGCAACAGCCAAATCATGATCACATAATACACCAAAATAAACATTTAAATAATAATAATATTAACTTTAATAATAATAATTATAATGATAATAATGTTAATAATTGCAATATTAAGAATAATAATAGCATGAATTGCAATAATAAAAGTGAGACAAATGGACAAAAAGTGCAAAAATCAAAGTTTTATACAAAGTTTACTTCAGATAAAAAATCTTTCGGTGCTTTTCAATGGTTATTAAATCAAAAAAAGAAGTGTCTCTCAAATTCAAAAGGATTGTCTGCAAATGTTTCATCAAATAAATCACAACAAATCAATGCCAGCAATAGTTTGGTCAATGAAAAGTCCGAAGTATTAGATGCAAACAAACCATCAAATTGTACATCAAATGCAATTAACTACAATCAAAGTCATAATCAAACACAACAACGATTGTCAACACTTTCGCAGATGACTCTCAATCGAAACTGTCGACCCATTTCTACTCCAAATTCAATTGAAAATATTAAACTTAATCCAAACGTAAGAATTATTTGACATTTTAATTTATTCACACTATTATTACAAAAATTCTATGAAAATTTCAATGTTTAAGTTGTAGTTAATATTGAATTAGATATTTGACAGATACTAACATATCATAAGTTAGTTGTGAATTAGCAATCAATCAATAATGATTTGAATAATGTTTGATATACTGTATATAATCAATTAAATGTATAAATATTATACAGTATATACCAGTATGTAATTTATATTATCGTATAATTATTATCAATTACTATCATTATTCTATTGATCTGATATTATAAGTATACCTTTTATAACTATTTTAGCAAATTAAGCAATTTGAAAAATAATACATTTTTAAGGAATAAATAATTAAAATTTGAAAATAATATTTTCATTAAACCTAATAAGCAAATACTTGTGAATAATTTGAAACAAATTTATATAAAGTTATTATTTGTTGTCTTGTATTAAGAAAAATGTGTTATAAATTAATTAATGTTAATTATTACTAGAAATTTAATAGCAATGCTATAAATGCTGGTCTTTGGACACTTCCTCGAAGGCCGAAAACAGAGAAGATTGAGTCAAATACTTGTTCGGGTAATTTAATTGACAAAACTATAGTCTATCAGAAAGGACCCGATATTATAGGTTTGGGATTCAGTATTGTTGGTGGCGTTGACTCACCTAAAGGCTCAATGGGTATATTTGTCAAAACTATATACCCGAGTGGACAGGCGGCACAATTTGCTAATTTATTCGAAGGTTTGCTATACAGTATAATGATTTTTTCTTATTTATTATTAAGCCTTAAAAGAACATTGAATTCATTTAAAAACTAATTGAATATTTTTCATATAAAAGGGGATCAAATATTCAGTATTAATGGCCAGTCGACTGAAGGCTTGACTCATTCGGAAGTGTTGGCAATATTTAAAAGAATTAAAAAGGGAGATCTCGTCCTACATATTGGTCGCCGACCAGATGTTGCTCTAAACAGGTATTCAATTGATTATAATTTTAATAATTAATCGTTTAATTCATGTTTCACTACAATATATATTGTATTTAATTAGTGCTAAAAACTCCAAATCGTGTTCAAACCTCGATCTCATTTCATGAGTTATATCGTCTAATATTTAATGGACAATAACTCTAACTCGTCATATCATCGAAATGATAAAGTTATTATATATTATTATATTTTATTTTTATAAAATTCAATTTATTAATTCAAATCATTGCAATATTATAATTTTTAAATATAAAAATAAATAAATACAGTATTTTATACACATTTACAAAATAATTGATGACTTTTGAGATGACAGTTGTAATATAGTTGTTAATGAAATGTTGATTTAAATGATTATTGTATATCATATGATATATTTGTGATTTCCGGTAATTAATATTTTGTGCGTCAATCAAGTAATGACTCATTTGTTATCATTTTCTTCGTTATGACCAATGGTTTGGTGTAACATAAGACCAAGTATTCCGTGTCTATTAGCCATACAATACCTGATTTTCTGTTCTCTTTCGAAAAGGTCGTCCAATTTGAGCCACTGTTGTATCCTTTCTGCGTCCAACTCAGCCCTCCTTAACTTCTCCCACATGTGATGTTTATTGCATTTCTTTTTTAATACGCGACAGAAACGACCCGAATGTTCAAAAGGACACGAATCAGATGGTAGCGGACATCCACACACCTCGTCGTCCGTTATCTTCGGGTCTTTTGAATGTTCTGGACATAGAAGCCGTAGTCTATAACAATTCAATACAATAATTACTGATTTATTAAAACTAAATCTTTCTCTCGTTTATCTGAATCGATAATAATCTCTTTAAATAAATTGTAAAATTTTGTATAATTCAATGATACAATAAAATTACCAAAATTGACATAAAACTGAGTCAACATTTTTATAAATACCATACCTTTTGCAATAAGTTTTTTGTTGCGGATTATATGAATCACAAAACACTGTCTGTCCCTCTATTCTTGTCTTAAATATTGAACCAAACGATGTTTGAATTTCATATTTATTATAACATCTTTCCATATGTTTTAATGCCTTTATTATTAATTATATAAATTATAATTTAAGACAAAATACTGTTACAAATAACATAAAACATACCAATCTTTGACCGATTTCATGACCACATGACACACAATACATACTAAGCTCAGTCTCGCCCTCATTGTCTGCTTCATTGGACTCCTCTTCAGTCATCGGTGGTGTACTTTTGCCTTTATTAATCAAAATTTCTAAATCCTTCTGTTTGATGTCCAATTCATTGAGTATACTTCGCGCCTCTTGTTGTTCATTACGAATGCCTTCTAATGACTTATGACTTCGATCATCGGCATCGCATGAAGTGCTTTGCCATTGTCTGATACGATGTGGAAGGATTTCGACGATACGATTTGTGGCCAATTTGATGCCACACTCATCACTACAATATTTGGACCCTTTTCGGGAACTGTTGACACAGGCGGGTCCATAGCATTGTTTGGGACCCGTGTCCTCTTCAATCAAATGCTCTTTATTCTTCTTATGAATCTTTTTATTTGTCTCGTCTTTCTTTCGATGTCGTGATGATCGCGCTGTTGACCTTTGATTTCTACGTTTATTTTTATCCTTCTTGTCCTTATCAGCCCTGACAGGTCGTGCCCTTCGCTTTGTTGAGCTGTGCTTTTTGGTCTCTTCATACTCAACATCGTCAAAGTCTTCGTCGTCATCGTCCTCAGCATCGGATTCAAAATACTTTTTAAAACTCTTTTGATTAGATATTATAGGATTATAGTCGGGATCTCTTTCATAAAGCTTAGAGTTTGTGTCCAACTCTTTGCTGTTATTAGTTTGTCGAGCAATCGGTGCATAACTTGACTCCGATTCACGCTTTTTAGTCTGCTTTTTGGTCTCTTTGTAAACTATTTGAAGACTCGGATCTTTCTCTCGACACATCAAACAATAGAAATGTTGGATCCGTTTGGCGTACTCTTGAGTAATACTAATACAGTTGCCGTGAAACCATTCTTCACATTTGTCACATCCTATCATAAAGCGATCCGTATCTGATGTCCGACAAATACAATACACCTGTCGATCGGCGCCACCACTGTCTTCGTCGGAACCACTGATCTCTCCTTCAGACATATCTTCTTTGTTTGACTTTGTAGTCATCAATGACTCGTTTACTTCACTAGTCTTTGATGTCATGTCTTAACTGTTATGATATATAATATGATATAAATATTATAACATTTGAATCAATGGATTGGTTTGTTTACAACATAAATAATGTCATTAAAATAAATGATTGGATCAAATAAGTGATATTTTTATCTTATGTTGGATTAGTTGATGTCCACAATTGACAATACATTTGTTTAATTGACATTCAATTATATAATATAATCAATATTTTTATACATTTGTCAATACATTGCATATAATTTATGTTAGTATTGATTGCTTTTAATGATTGAAAAAACACATAATTATTGTTTGAATGACTTTAAGGGAGTGTTTGCAACAAATGTCTAATATATTGATCACTGATATAGTCATCAAAAATCGGTATCAAAAACAACACATTTGTCTTATAATTGAGATATTAATAGCAAAAAATCGGTAAAATATATAATATTACGACTAATATAATAATAATAGTATTAATAAATAATTGAATGACAGATAATGTCGGCCACATTGCGTCCATACCTGTTGGCAGTTCGGCGGACACTGGAAGCGGCCATATGTTTGGTTGACTTTAACTCACAAGTGGTTGAGAGACACAATAAACCAGAGATTGAAGTGAAGAGCAGTAAAGAACTGATACTCAATTCAGTGGTGATATCTCGTAATGAAAAGGAAAAAGTGTTGATTGAGTCGAGTATTAATTCGGTGAGGATTTCCATTTGCATCAAACAGGCCGATGATATCGAAAGGATTTTGTGCCATAAGTTCACCCGTTTTATGGCAATGAGAGCCGACTCGTTCGTCATTTTACGCCGAAAACCGGTGGTCTCTACCGATACTTTGAAGAAGCCGTTTGTAGTGAATAATAGCACAGGAAATGGTGACTCGGGTCCAGAAACTGGTTATGATATCTCATTTTTGATCACCAATTTCCACACAGAATCGATGTTTAGATATAAAATAATTGATTTTATTATACATTTTATGGAAGAGATTGATAAAGAGATTAACGAAATGAAGTTAGCAATCAATGCCAGAGCGAGAATCACTGCCGAAGAGTTTCTTAAGAAATTTTAATCACTGACCGCTTAACTGACTTAACATACATTTCTTGATAATAGTTGTAGTTTAGTAATCATATATTATTTATCTTTAATTTAATTACAATTACGGTAATTATTTTTATTGAAATTTGTGTTTATCTTTTATAAAAAACAATTGTTAACAAATTTATTAAATAATTGTTAAAATCCTTAATTTATTTTTATATAAAAATCAAATTATGAATTAATGATACTATTATTTACTATTATGTATTACTAGTTACCGGTAATAACTTTGTATTAATTTATAAACTTTTTTTATTTAAAATTATCATTTGATAAGATTATTATTACATTGTTTTTTAAATGATTATTATTTATATTTAATGAAGTAGTGATTCATTGAATAATAATTGTATTAATTACGGTTCGGTTCCACTTTGTATGGATATGCAAATAATTTGTTATTTATTTGATTTAAACACATTTTATTGTGTGATAACAAATGATTATACTGTATATGTTATGTTAAACAAGATATATCATAAATACAGTACAATATATAGTACTACTACAGTATATACAGTAGTATATAAATAACTTATGAGTTAAAAATGAATGCATGAATAGGTTTCTTAAAATAATTCGCTTTCAAAAAAACAATTTTAATATTTGCAAATACATTATATTTGACATTCATGTAAATCATATATAATTTTCATGACTATTATCTTTGGGAATCTTAAAACACCTGAGAGACAAAAATACTTGAAATTAATTTTTTATAACAAGCATACAGTATGTATAGTACCGGTAAATGTGTCTGAAATAAAAGCAAACAACACGATAGGTATAAAACTCGTGGGCAGTCGTAATCATTTTTTTAATAGTATATTATATTTGTATATATTATTATTATTATTATTATTACTATTAATGATTCATTAATTTATACAATATTTTGTAAAGTTTTTGTAATATAGTTTCTTCATACAAACTTATTGTACATTAAATGTTTGCGTTAATTACAGTTGAAGTCATTTGACTGTATAAAACAATATATTTATTTTTCAGTCTAGCAGTTAGTAAATATGTATACATATTATAATTGAGTTTACAATTGATTTAAATGATTGAGATTTGATTGTTCAATGAATAATGTGTTTGCAGTCGACTCGTCAATCAGTATCTATAGTTACCTGAAATATAAGCTAAAATCAATGAGAAACTCTGGTTTGAAATTGTGGTCCATATATAGCAACACACAGTTGTCTAGAGTTTACCTTTAGTTTAAACTCAATTATTATACTATTTTAATACATATATACAGTATAGTACAGTATATTGTATACAGTATACAACATTTACTAAATTATTATAAGTTTACAACTATTTTAATGCTTTTAGCAATAATGTAATTCAGTATTGTCTTATTACCTGTGAGTTCATACAAATAGCATACCTGTACTTTTCAAACAACAAATCTATGGCTAATTTTTACATTTGTTATAATAAACATTATATTATAACTAATATTAACATTACTCAACACTATATATCCTATCGCTTGAAGCGTTATAAAGTATTACATTTAATATATTAAATCTTAACTAAAGTTATTAAGTTTTGTTATTTAGGATTAAATTATAAAAATAAGTTGAACATTACTTTTATAACATTTTTATTATATAAATATCAAAGTAAGTAAAACACTAGTTATGTATTATATTTAATTTGTACACAAATACCCAAATATCCATTAAAGGGCTGAATAGCGCTTTAAATTAATGATTGTTGATTTGCATGAAAAATAATATGTTTCTTACAAATGTGTGTTTATTATTATATAAGTATTTATATTAGTTTTATTAGTGTTTTATTTCTCATAAAAATGAGATCTAGATTTGAATGATTTGAAAACATGACTTGTAGTGAATGAGTAAAAAATGTTAATTTAATACAAAACCCCATTAATTATAAAAATAATATTAAAATTAAATGATTTAATAATCGATTAAATACTAGTTATGAGATGAGAGCCCTTGAATATGGCTTAAGATTTATATTATATTTACTGTATATATGTATACTATATATATATATGTATACTATATATATATATGTATACTATATATATATATGTATATATATATATATATATATATATATATATATATATATATATATATATATATATATATATATATATATATATATATATATATGAGGTATTAGAGTGTTTGGTTTGTAGGGCCATTCGGTGCACTTGGATATCAACTAGTGTTTCATTACTACCATAACAAACACATTGATAAATATACCGGTTTTTCTTCAGACTTAACAACTATTATATAACAACTGGTGGTATAAATGCTATACTCGAGTAAACACAACTCATATATAAGTTATACAATATTATAGAGTATATTGCAATTTACAAGTGTTTGTCTGCACTCATAAGCCCTAAGCCCTACCATAATGTCATACCAGTGCTCATTCCAAAAACCATTGAATAACATTAACTCATATGAATGGCAAACCGCTATTTGATGTGTGGGTGCTATGGATTCATATATTGTACTATCGATTGGACTGTAGTTTAATTTAGATTGAAGTACCCGTTCAAATAGGACACAAAATCATTGAGTTATTGATTGGCAAATTCATTATCTCCTAAAATATAGAGTTCATACAAATACAGACCCCTTGCCTATTGATTATTGTAGTTGTGTTGAGAGGAGTCAGTGCTGAATGCTCTGGGATGTAGTGATGCACCGGTTTGTTAGTATAATAGTACTGTAGTTGTTGTTAGTCCGGTCGACACATAGAGTAGTATCGTCTTCAAGGAAGTGCATCCAATGTTTTATCATAATATTAATAGCATATAATATATTGCATATAACTGTTTGCTTATATTTTTGGTCTCAATCTCAGTGGTGGTGAGTATTACATAACTTCTTATAGTTTGAGAACAACCATACATTGCATACCTGTTTAACTAGTATTCAAACGACTCTTAAGAAACAATTTTGATAGTCATAAACATGACGTATAGAGTATCCAATCTATAGATTTTTCGGTTAGATTTAGTTTATTTAGTTTATAGTTTGCCAAATGTGTGTCTATTATACATATACTGTATATGTGGTTAACATTGTTTTTGTGACATTTGCATTAGTTTTAATATTTATTGCAATTGCCATTTAAATAGTCAACAGTTAATAATCGATAAAAATTTGGATCATTATTGAAGTGATAATCACTTAAATGTTTCATTGATATTATCATCATTTAAATAATGAGTAATTTATTTATAAACACTTGTACTGTCGTATCACAGTTTTATACATGACATTGATTTTTGATTAAACATTAAATGTATTTATATTATAAAATATATATGAATTAAATTATATGTAATTTTGATGTCTGTCTCGCAAATGATTTCTCTGGTCATTGAATGAGTTGAAGACCAAACTTAGTCTTGTTATCAGTTATTCTTATGTCAAACTAATGCTATTATTATTATTATTATTATTATTATTTGTGAAAATAGTTTTCTCTTCTTTAACTTCTCGCATGAATTCCACACAAAATAATCTAATGTTAAGGTTATTGGCCATCAATTGGTGGAAAAGGGCGTTCAGAGTACTGGTGCCACTATAGCTGCCGGTGCTGGTGTTCACAGAGCTGGAGTCTAATACATAAGATTTCTCTCAATGAATCCTAATCTCAATCTTCAATACTAATACTCCTATTTTTAGTGGCAATTGAAGTGCACATATATATGTGTGAGAGGGGGAACCGATACATACCTTTCCAAATGTTCAATGTTGAGGTTGCTCTCAAATCAACTTGAATTTTGTGTTGCCTTCAACTTTAAATCCCATACTTTTTGAGTTTTTGAGGTCTGAGTTATGTTTTGTTTTGAATACAGTTTACACATTAGTCTCTTAAATCACAAATATAAGCCGTTTTTTGCTTATTATTGATACAACTCTTTCAMTGATTAATTTGATAATAATTATTATATAACTATTATATCAAATATTTTTTGTCTCATTTCTTGTTATGTTTTGAAAAGACGGAACAACTGTTTTCTGTTAATAAAAATTAATAGTTGACTGAATATATGCAATGATGTGAATCTAGTATCTGCTGAGCTCTACCACCAACACTACCTACCAGTGCCCCATTGGTTCCAATTGTTTGGGCAAACAATCACATCGGATACACATCTTATTATAAAATGAGTTCATATTTTCAACAAAATTTATATATATATTAAAAGTTGATATTTAATTAAATTGTTGTCATGGCGGGGGTCATCAATGGGGGAAGTATTTTGCCAAACACTTTGGGGGAGTTTATAGCCAACAATTACAATCACGTGACTGTCGTTCAGATCGACGAAAGTGTGGTAAAGAATGCATTTGAAGACGACTTTGTGACTGTCCTTCAAGTGGGACAAGAAGTCGATGCAAATAATTTTATTGAAGAACTGATTGTTATATATCGCTTACCCGGAGAACGATTGGGTAAATATATTATTATTATTTGACTTTTATTCGACTTTTTAGTCTTTTAAATCAAATATTATTTGTAGTCATTTTAACAAATAATTCAAAACTGTATAATAATTTAATAGTAATTTTTTATTAAATTTGTTTGATTTAAATTCAATATAATTTATATATTTTAATCAATAAATTAAATCAACCAAAAGGAATGGCACTTAAATTTGAAGGCGGATTGAATGCCAGCGAAAAAATTAATAAAGTTTTTATTCAAAGTATAAACTCCGACAGTCCGGCCTCTAAAGTATGCGGACAACAACTAGAGTATCTGCGAGAAGGCGATCAAATTATGGAAATTGATGGACAGTCCACTACAGACATGACTAGACTGGAATGCATTGGATTGTTAAGGGATGCGCCCGTCTGTATCAAAATACGGGTCAAAAGGCATAAGACATGTCAGTGCAATCAGTCATCGGATATCATCCAAACAAAAGAATCTGATGTAAACTTAAACTCCACTTCCAATTCATCGGATACGGCAAATGTCATGCAATCAAAAGAAAATGCAAACAATTATCCGAGAAAAGTGCCGCCACCCGTACCACCCCGTTTGGCCACAACTATATTATCATCAAAAAGAAAAATCGTAACAAAAGGTTTAACACGAACTGACAGTCAATGTGATGCCGTAGAAAAGCCACCGCGAAAGAGGAGTTCACTTCCCCCACCGCTTCCTCCTAGACGTCCCAAAGTGCCGCCACCTAAACCACCAAATCATAAGACCAATACAGAAGCCAACGCCACAAATGATTTATTTAACAAAATTACAAAAAATGAGATCAACATCACTGCTAATCAAACAAATGCCAATAAACTTGAAGTAAATGATTGCCAAATAGTTGAAGGAGTCGTCTTTGATACTAATTTAGGACATAATTATGAGAAACAACCAGAAAATACTGAAGATCTTGAAAAAATTAAAAAAATTGAAAAAATTGAAAAAATTGATAATATTGAAGATATTAAAGATATTGAAGATATTGAAGATATTGAAGATATTGAAGATATTGAAGATATTAAAGATATTAAAGATATTAAAGATATTGAAAATATTGAAAATATTGAAAATATTGAAAATATTGAAAATATTGAAAATATTGAAAATATTGAAAATATTGAAGATATTGAAAATATTGAAGATATTAATAATATTGAAGATATTAATAATATTGAAGATATTAATAATATTGAAAATACTGAAAAAATTGAAAAAATTGATAATTTTGAAATTACAGAAATTATAGAAAATACTAAAAAATCAAATGAATCAGTTCTTCCTTCAGAAGCAGATGTATACTTGAATTTATTGACAGATGAAGATAAACTGGTATTTAAATTAGTTTTTTATTTGTTTTTATTTAGTAATCTTTTTAATATAGATTTAACCTATTTTCTGTTTTTTAATAATTATTATCAGTTAATTGAATCAGAATCAGATGACACCGGTTCCAGTGTTTCCACTATAATAGAGCGCTTCTCGAGAACAAGTACTGCAAATTCAAGCTTTTCTGATCACAACAAACACAAGACACCCACTATTGATATCGTTGGCAGAGTTTTGAGTCCATTTGAGAAACTCGAGAGAGAGTTGGACCACAAGGAAGCACTTCAGGCATTTGTAAATAACGCCGTCTCAGTCTTGATGAACGACGAAGACTTAAGACAAATCACTGACCAAAGTCTTTGTAATGCAACTTATTTTATGAATTATGAAGACTCTTGTGAGAAGACATCAAGTCTTGACTGCTATAATAGTATTAATAGCAACACTAATTGTAATGCAAATGAGATTCAGTCAAACGTTCAAATCATTGTTCCGCCCGAAGAGTTTGCAAATGACCTGAAATTGAGCCCACAATTGATGCCAGAATTGGTTACACGAAGTGAATCAGAAAATAATACAAAAGATAGTGATATCAGCAATAATGATGTCAACAGAGATATTGCCATTGAGTTGCCATCAAATATAGATATACAAGACTATCAAATTGAGACAAAAGATAACAATTTAATTACAAATCATAATATAAGTACAACACAAATGACACAATCAGATGTATATCAAAATATTGAAGAAAGTTTTGAATCAATTACTTGTGATCAAAATCAAAGTACTTTAACTCAAAATGAAATGCCATTAAAAGATAATTCTATCGATAATTTTAATTCAATTGTTACAAATGTAAAACAATGTCTGCAAAATGCATACATTGACACAAATGAAGTTAAAAATAAAAATGAGGACATAATTGAAAATAATGCAGAAATTAGTATCAATAATAAAGAAATGAATAATACTCAAGAAGAACAATCATCAAAACTAATTGATTTTAATGTCAATAATAATAATAATAACAACAAGAATAACGATGAAATAGATTTAGATCTGGATTTATTTGAAGACATCAGTGATTTAAACCGAGAGATAGAAGCACTCGAAGAATTGGTTGAATATGAGATAAGAATGGAATCAATGAAAGGATCTAAAAGCGAAACAAACATTTGCCAAAAGAAATTGCAAACAAAATCAGAAGATTGTAATTCTGTGAAGAAATCGAAAGACTTAAGAAAAGAGTTTACAGAAAGAAGAAATTCTGTTCAAACAAATGGCTGTAAATCTTCACCTCCGCTGTCATTCATTCCTAGATGTCTGCCATCAGTCAAACCACGAAAATGCATGTCTTATGGCAATCTGACAACACTTTATGCTACATATAATAAGTCAATCGACAACAAACCGAGTCTTATTCCACGTCTCGTCTCTAAACATAACTTAATTGCTAATAATAATAATATTAATAATAATAATAATAATAATAATAATCACAATAATAATAATAATCATATTAATCATACTCATAATCATAATATTAATTATAATAATAAAAATGAAAGATCAAAACCAAGTCAATGGCACCAAAATTCAACAAAAATACAAAATTCAAAATCAGTCCAAAAATCCAAAACTCGAATACTATCGGAACGCAAGAAAAATGATGTTTTCAGAAATGATTTAACGGATATCAAGAAATGTGTTCATCAAAAACAATCAAAGAATACCATTAAAAGTAAATCACTAATTGATTTGTCGACAAACTATAATTCAGGTAAAGATTTAGATATTTTAATAATTTTTAAATTTAATTATATATACCGGTGTATTGATATATTTATATAGTATAATATATTTTATAATTATTAATGTGTTACTAATTGAATTAATCGAAATAATGTAAGTTTTAAATTGCTAAATTTAATAGTGTAATGAATAATATTTAAACAAATTAATTTTATATATGATTTTGAATGATTTCAAATAATTAATTGATTTAAAAATTAGACTTAGAAATACAACGATTTAATGATTATAAATAATTCATAAGTATTTAAAATATATAAATGTAATTAAAATACATTTAATAGTAATATATTGTAATTTGTCAAAAACAAGATTAAATTATCTATTGTAGACTAACTATTATACAATATATTTATTGTAGTTTATTATATATCCGGTGAATAATATACGGTACAGTTATTACAGTTGTTGTAGTATTTCAACAAAATACTGAATCTTATACAGTATTTTAAATATTAATTGTTATGAATTTTTTATTTCATATAATTTTTTTAATTAATTATTACGAATTAATCAGGGTTAAGTAAGGGGGGGGGGGGGGGGGGGGTAAGGCCAAAATACCCCCCCCCCCCTAAGATCGAGAAATTGGGATTTTACCCCCCCCCAGACTTTTTGACCAAATTGAAAAAATTGTCGCTTAAAAACGAGGAGAAATGACCCCCCCCCCCTAAAATTTCGGCGCCGGAGGCGCCGAAAATTTTTTTGAAATTTATAAAAATTTTAATTTTAGTTGATACTATTTTAGTAAGTGTTTTTATGTTTTTAATATTTATAAAAATCTAATTATTGATTAAAAATAGTTAAAATAACGTTAAAAGTCTTCAAAAAATAACATTATTTTAATTAAAATAAACTAAAAAATTAAAAATTACCTATTTGTTGAAAAGAGTAATCATATTACAATTTAAATATAAGTTTAAGAAGTTAATAAAACAATAAATACTTATGTTTTTATTAATAATTTTTAAATTTTAAATAAAAAATTTAAAAATATTTTCAATTTTGTACTTAATATAATTAAACTTTAACGAAATTTGAGTTAAATAAGTAGTATTCAGTCAGTATTTGTATAAAAATAAAAATATATAACAAACTATAAACATTAAGTATTGTTTAAAAAATTAATTATGTTAAAAGTTAAAAATTATTAAAATACTAAAAATAACTCATAGTGTATCATTAATGCTTTTATCAACTATTTTTAAATCTTAAATACATTATTTTATTTTTTTTGTTAAAATTTAAGTTTTTATTAATTTAAAAAAAATTTTTTAAAAAATATTTATTTTTTATTAAAATTTAAATTTTTGTTAATTTTTAAGTTTTTTAAGTTTTTTTTATATTTTTGGAAATTTTACCTATTTTCCCGGGAATTTATACGGGAACTTGTGGGAATTTTATTGAATTTACATGGGAATATTCGGGAACTTAAGGAATTTTTAGGGAATTTTCTCTAGACCCCCCCCCCCCTTGATTTTGGATTTTTGAAAAAATTGCCGTTTAAAAATGCAATAAAAATCTTACCCCACCCAATACCCCCCCAAGATTTTTTGAGAATTTTGTAAATTTTACCCCGGTCTACCCCCCCCCCTAAAATCCAAAACCTTGCTTAACCCTGGAATTAATGTTCATATATGCTGTTTGCAATATTTTTGCAAATCTAAATATATTTTATATTAAAACATTTTTAAGCATCAACTGTATACACATTTGATTAAATCGTATAATTAGGGTTATATCAGTTTCCGTCCATCGTTTTATTTTCCAAAAGTTTCTTATCTTCTCTGGGAATTCATAAGGAATTTATTTCCTTCTGCTACCACCTATTAAACTCTAAACAACACATTTTGTTATAATGTTTGAAAAACAATATTATTTAAAACTTATAGTGATAAGTTATAGTGATAAATAGTGTTACTAAATCTATTGAATTAAATTTTTTAAATATTTAAGTTTTGGTACAATTCCTTATTTTTAACGATCAAAGGGATGAAAAATAATATATTTTACATATTTCTGGGAAAATTTAAGGGATGTTTTAGGAAACTACCCTCCCTGAAAATGTTGATAGAACGCTACCTATAATATTTAATTCTATACAATTTGATAATTATAATTGCAATTTAATAAAATTGATTTATTATAAAATTATTTACAATTTTGGCCTTTGGTTTGGTTTTGGCAACTTTTAAATCTAACGTATTGTTGACCATATAATTAAAATTAAAAGACTGTTAATAAATAAGTTTATAGATATTTTGTTTTTAATGAATCTAATTTATACTAAAATCTAAATTATTTAATTAATCATTTTTATTTAAATTAAATGTTCTTAAATTTAGTTGAGATTATTTTTGTTTGAGAAAATTTTTGAAAATTTCCGATTGAAAATTTCTATTAGAAAACACTAACTGTAATTTCTCTGGGAATTTATAATATTTTTTATATGATATACTGTATATTAAATTGCTTTTTGCATCTAATTTTCATTTATATCTTTCTAATGATATCTTATATTTAAATGAAGAACTGGTATAACTTGAATGGTTTGAAACCAAATCAAAGAGAACCACACCTTATGTGTAAAGAGATGGCAATCAATGGATCAGAGTCTTAATCAGACAGTCAGTCACTGATTGGCAACTTTTCTATGTATCAGTATATAAGTCAATCTACTTTCACTGGTTAGCCATACAATTGACTGCTTATGTATTGTTTCTATTATATAACTATTTTATGGTATAGTATTATCAGTTTTTGACCCGAGTGTTTGGCCGACCCCTGCGCTCTGAATGCACCCCCGCCTGAAATGCATGTAAACTACAAACTAGTTTAATAGTAAACCATAAAATCCTGTTGCAGTTGAATGTAATTTTATAAATCCGTTGAACATATTTTCAAAAGTGTTTAAATACAGTAAACTCCCAAATATTTTAACATAATATACATTATATGATACTCTTCTTTAACATTAATATGATTCACATAAACATCTTTTCAAACTTACTGTATATCATTGAATCACTTTAAATGATTTTAACTCATATTATGTCAAATATTTAACGCAATTGTTTTTACTGTTTTAATTTACATGTAGTGCTTAATTTAAATTAGATGTTACTATTATTGTTCAATATCTTTCATATCAAATGTTTCAATAATATTAATTCAAAATCAATATGTAATTTGTTGATTATACATATTTTGCCATTTTTCTGATTAATTAAACATAATTGTAAGTATTTTGAGATCATTTTTATTTATTTTATAATAAAATTATTGAGTAATTTAATACTGTATACAACAAAATACATATTTACAATATATCAATATATATATATATCATATATTTAAAAATATTACTTATATTTTATGATTTTGTATAAATACTGTATTGTATAAATTGCTTAAAATATTTTATAACTTTATTATATACTTACAATTTGATTGTTAAAATATTGATTAGTATTAAGATTCTATTAGTTGATTAATGAATTGACAGTCTATTGTTTTTATATTATTAATTACATAAAACAATATAATTAAATTAAACTTTATAACTATTTATTAGTTATAACTTATAATACATAAGTTAATATTTTAATACAATTATTGATATATAGTACTTGATATAATGAAAATCTAATATAAAAAATAGTTGAATTAAATTAAATGTATTTGTTAATTAATCAACTTAAATCTTTCTAATCTACAATAAAATTATAATAGTATTCTATAATAAATCTAAAAATAAAAGTTATTTTAATAATTTAACTTTAAGTATTTAATTGTATTTTGTAATTATTGTATACAAAAATATTTTAATTCATAACTTTAAAAATCGAGAAACATCAAATATAAAATCGTGTTTTATTTAATATAAGTTATTGTTTTATATTGAGATTTTATCATTGATTATAATAATTAATATAAAATTTAATGAATTTGACCTCAAATTTCTAATTAGACAGATGTGTTTCTTATCAATTGAAATACAATTAAATAAAAGTAATATTTTTCATAAAACAATTTCAACAAATATATTGTTAACATACTGTATAGTAACATAAATAATCATACAGTATATTATAAATACAATGTAGTGTTTTCAAATCATTTATTTTTGTTAATTTGTTTTTTAATATTAAATATTTTCAAAAAATATTTAAATTTTTTTAATATGAATATTTTGCTATCTAGTAATCAAAATTTTTTAGCATATTATTTAATTATTTATTAAAACTTAAAGATAAACTTAATATTTATACATAATATGATATACTGTACAATAGAAACATGTTTTTAAAGAGTAAATTTTAAAAACATTAATAATTTAAGCTATTTTAGTTTAATTTAATATAAATATTTATCTTATTGAGCTTTTAATATATCAATTATTTTGATATTAATTTAAATTATTTACATGATTTGGTATATTCTATATTTTATATTTCTTATTCTACTAATGTTAAAAATTTTATTTAAATTTGTGTTTTTAAAAAATATATTTAAGGTTTATGATGTATATATATATATAAATATGTTTATATAATGTTTGGTCATTTTTCATTAATCTTTGCAATTCACGTTAAATTTAAATGAATTTTACGCTACATTTACTCTCAACACTACATTGTATATAAATTAATGCTTATATAATACATATTGAAGCCATTAATATACAATAAATATTGATATAAACAGTATTTGAAAAATGTTTAAACCACACTATAATATTGTATAGTAGATACAGTACTTATCAAATTATTTGCTATAATCATTATTTAAAAATACTTTTTTATTTATATATAATTCATTTATTAACTAATTTAAGTGTAAAACTACAAAATCATAATGAATTTATTTGTTGGGAATGTTATGAGTTGTTATTACTATAAATAAAAAACAACACATGTATTACTAAAACAATGTATATTTTTATTTATTAATAATAACATCAAAACAAAT